TGCAGGCATGTTTAGGCACCATTGGCACTACCAATTCAAGTTGTTAAGATTTGATAGATTTGGTGGGTTGTGTTGTAAAACACACCTCATACACTTAAAAAAGTGTGAGGACTCAGTGGGGTAGCTCAGCACACAGAGCTGTAAGTGATACAAAGATGTGTATTTTATGGTGTGTGTAAGCAGTTAACGGAAGTTACCGCTTACCCACATGACTATATGTATCTTGTAATTACATATGGCTCAGGGTTCAGGGCTATTGCCCTGACAGACGGTTTGGTTTCGTGTTGACCTTCTCTCATATCAGGCCGCTGTTAGGTACAGGTCAGGCAAATAGGGATGACTGGCAGGGACAAGGCTCCAGGGTTGGGCTTCAGCCTCAGTGACTCCAAGAGAGCGCTGTGCCCACCTACTGTCTCACTGCCCACATTTCAAGGTGACTTGAGGCTGCCTTGTTAAGGGGGACAAAACCTAGTCAATATTCAGACTAAAGTTATGATGATGTAATATACAAGTATATATAGTAAGGAAACTGAATGGGTCAGGTGACAAATAAAACAAAAAGGGCCCGGCATCTGGGTCAGAGTGCATGGTCGTGACAGCTGCTCCAGCAGTATTTCCCCCATATATCCCCCATTTCTTCGTCGATTTCCACATAATTTGTATCATTAAAAACTGTCATCAAAACGAATCGAAGTAGGCTGTAGTGGAGAGATTTAGTGCAGCCATTGTGGAAATCATCGACTTTATTCATTGTGTGGCCATCAATCGGCATAATTTGCCAATATATTCACAAACCTGCCATTGATTTCTCTCAAACTTGGCACTATAAGAAAAGTATACTCCACAGGCACTCACAATATTTTTTCATATTTTTAAGACTCCTGAGAGACTCTGGATGTCGACCTTTTCCCTTTTTCCATGCAATCCATGCAATCCATGTTCGGTGAATATTCATGACAACACATCTTAGAACTTGAATGTGGTAATATATATGCTTACATGCAACATAACATGTGTGTTCTTCCTGTTATAAATTTCCTCTTACCCAGAGCTTGTATGTACTTTTAAGTGATGGAAAGAGGAGAATCTTCCAAATCGGTGGAGATTTGACAGAGATGCCAGCCTCTCAAGCAACCCATAGTGCATGGGAAAGGGGCTTGCACATACCAGAGATAATGGTTATCTACAATGGCTCGTAAAATCTCAAAAGCATTAAAAATCCCTTTGAAAACACTACGGCAAAGTATAAATGCTCAAAATCATTGAGAAACATTGCCCATTCCCCCACCTCAACCCTAATTTCGATAATTTTGATTTATCTCTTCCATTTTCCTGTCTACTATTTATGTATGTACAACTTCCCCTAACATCGCGGGACACATAGTTATCAGGACGTCCTCAGATTTTCCCACAGTCCATTTTTGGCAGCAAGCCGCATCACCAGGACGTCCACATTGAAATAGGCCGTTTAGGCCCTAAAAAACACCCCTTGATAGGGTGGGTTAATTGGCTGACTAGCCTGAGGATCTAGCATTGAAAGAACAGCTTTGACAACAAACTTGGCACCTTAAGCATTAACCTTTGTGATGGCATTGATCATCCGGTCATGCACCATTACTACTAGAAGAACTAGCGTCGTGCAAGTGCTAGGAAGATCTGCACCAATATTAAGCTATGGCTTCAAGAGAGAAAGTTATTTCACCTCAGCTCCAGATATGTGAACTGAGACCGATATTTGCCCTAGCGCCTTCTTGAATCTTCACTATTGCGATCCTACAAAGGATGCCAGCGAGAATATTCAGATGGCAAACTACAGAGCATGCGAATACACGCGTCGACATAAAAAAATGTCTGACTTTACCATTTCGCATGTAATCGGGCTTGGAAGCTGGTTGGGCAAAAAAAAATAAGACGGCACTAGCCAAATGGAAACAAACAAAGCTAATATAAGGATACAGCAACACTGTCGATCATAACATGTCAGAACGCACATACAAATCACCAAGGAAAAGGTAGAAGCTCTATGGACAGGTATAAACCTTGTCGTATCGAACAATGTAACGTCAGATTTTCGCTTCTAGACCGCTCCAATGCTTGTTTTTCCCAATCTCCCAACGCGGTATGCTGACTCTAAATCCAGCCTTGAGAAACACCTTGGCGAGCAAACTTGCCTCCTTAAAAACCTTCGCAATAGCATCGATCTGCACGTCCTTGCCATTACCACCACTCAGCGACAGCAGCTGATTTTTTCACCAAACCCTCGGACGTTGCTACCGTTTCTATTACGAGTCAGGATCAGAGTTTGGTGCAGAGATCGGACTCCGGTGGCGGAGAGGCCATGGCAGATGGGAGGCAGGGAGACACTGCTATGGCTTTCCGATGAACCGCTCCGTGTCGCGCGAGCTGATCTGGTCTTGCAAACCGTTTGCCACATCTCTCTTCGGAACAAACGTACGGTCTATCACCAGTATGCGTTCGAATCTAGAAACAAAAAAGAAAAACAACGCCATTCATTAGTAAACTTAGAAAAAAGAAGGAACTTGTAATGTCCTGCCTACAAGGGAGCGGAAGCAAAGAGCGGGGGAGAAAACAGAAAGAACACGGGAACGCACATGCTTTGCTAAGTTCGAGCTCTCCGTAAAACATTTCCCACAATGTGTACACTTGAACGGTTTATGTCCGTTATGCGTCCTCTTGTGAATCGTCAACGCACCAGCGATCGCAAAGGATTTACCGCATCCCGGTTCGTCACAGACGAAGGGACCTACAGCCATTCAAAACCCGATTCAACGAGGCGAAGTTCCCGTCGACCATCAGCATTAGGGTTTAGCGAAGGAGGGTAGAATTAATGAGCACAAGTAACAAGAACGCAGACAAAGGCAACTGAAAAGAGGGAAACGGTGGAAACTCACGCTCATTGGTGTGTCTCCTCTTATGCTGCTGCAGCGTAGCAGCCTCCGAGAAGCACTGGCCGCACCTTTCACACCTAAAAGGTCTATACCCCGTATGCGTCTGAAGGTGTCGTAAAATCTTCTGTTTACTGCTGAGTGCACCTCCACTTCCACCGCTTCCACCTTGTCTGCCGCTCACTTTCTTCTCACCCTTCCCGCCTTCTCCACCTTCTCCACCTCCTTCATCGCCAAGAGAAGTAGAGTAAGGAGCAGAACCCGAATTGTTCCGGTCACATCCCCCCCAAAAGCACTCATAGACATTCTTGCCGGACCCCACATGCACCGACGTCAAATGCTCCGTAAGAAGTAAAGGACTGGGAAAGGCCTCTGAGCAGTCTTTCCATCGACATATGTGCTGGTGCTGTTGCTGTTGCTGTTGCGTTTGCGGGTCACTTTCTGATTGCCGAGATTCAGGTGGCAGTTGTGAGTGAGGGGATCGTGAAGAGTGAGACTCGGATTGATCGTGTGAGGAAGGTAGAGTGGGTAATAAGCTGATCTCGGACGAATACTTTGCTTCAAGATCCCCATCCACACTTGACAAAGATGGGGTAGAGGGAACTTCGGGTGATGTATACGAAAACGGAGGTGAGGGCATTAGAGGTGGTGAGGGTATTAACGGATGATGGAGCTGGGGAGGACGAGAATGAGGGCGGCTTCGGAAATGGCACGAGGATGAGTATAATGGAGCATGATGATGATGTGAAGTTGCCGCTGCAGGCGGGTCCGAAAGGTGATGGTGATGTTCTGCGTGTGTGGAGGAGTGCTTCTCGTCAACGGGATGTCTTTGAGCAGACACTGGATATGGGAAAGGTGCATTGGGTCGAGTCCAATTAACAATTTCTTCGCATGGGTGTTCGCGGTGGTAAAGGGCGCTAAGGGTGCTTGTGTTTGTGGTACTACCTGCGGCGTCGGCCGTGGAGAAAGAGGGATCAAAGGAAGCCATGGACGGAAGGGGGATATGCTTGCTGTGAACATGATGAGATAGTTCATGTACATTCATGAAGATCTGATTACAGTTCGTCCATTTACACTGACAGATCGTACCCCCTTGAGAACTCAGGGGATAGTCGCCTGAGACAAAATTGCACAGTGACCCTGGATTTACAGTGGCGCTAGGGTGACGAGTCCTGGATGATGCTGGCGCCGTAACCAGGTGCGTATTTGTGGAAGAACTGGAAGGTAATAACGCATTGTCCAATTGAGCCATCGTTAGTTGCTCGACGGATGTAGCATTCCTGGGCGTGATCGTCCCATTGTCCAATGGATTTGGCGGCGAAGATAACGACCCTGAGGCTGAAAGATGTAAAGAAGGCAGAGAAGATAGCATCTCTGCGCTTTCTCCGATGCCGACACCAACACCACCAGATGTATTCCAACAGGGGTTCAACGCTTGAGGGAAAAGGTCATCGTGAGACGTCGAGCAGCAATCAAGCAGCTGTGCGTGTGTGGAAGACTAGCTTTTAAACGTTATTACGAGTGGTAAGGTAAAACACGACGCACCATATCATCCGCCTGTGCGCAGGAAGGATCAAAACAAGCCCACCCCTCCCAATTAAAATTAAGATCGGGTAAATTCATAAGGGCATCACAATCGGAATCGGAACAGATGTTTTCCTGATTGCAATCATTATCACAGAGGAGGATGCAATTCTTGGTACAAGATTCAGGAGGGGGTTGCTGCGCTGCATTGCATATGAAGCAGGCATCCTCGCATGTGGCATCGCACGATGAAGAAGGCTGTTGAAGAGAGCAAGACGAACAGTTCACAACGTCAGTGTCTGTATCGGTATTATTTTTGGTATTGTCGCCACTGGTAGTGAGATTGAAAGAGTGGGGATAGGGTGGATCGGAACCCATGAAGATAGCTTCGTTTTTGGCCATTTGGTAAAATATTCCTGCTGCTGGCTCAGGGCCTAAGACTTGGAAAGATGGGAAGGTTCAAGCTCACTTTAATGCTTAGGCTCCAAGTCAAGTTCACGATTCATTGACTGTGACGGTACTCGTTCCCGAATGTAGCTTATGTAAGCGTCACCCACGTTGAATTCTCACATCGCACTGCCACCTTCAGCTGTGCCGGGGTCTCGAGACCCACAGTACGACGCCCCCAGCAAAGGACATGCTAAAACCTATAATTCCACTCGTTGGACTGTTGAGCAAAGCATGCCTGTATGTCAACAAAGTGCAGGTTAGCGGTTTGGACGTTCTTCAACGCGCTCTGAAAGAAAGTAATGGGCGGGGAAAGGGTGTCTTAACTAGTAAGCATCCCCTTCTATTCCAGTATCGGCTGATAACCTGCCTAGCCTCCCCTCCATGGTTAGACAAGATCTCACTAACCCTCTCTTTTTACTAAGTCTCTAATCACATTTCAGTGTTCGTTTGATACCCTTCCATTCAAGTCTTGACACTTTATGCGTCATGTAGGGTAGACGAACCATTTGTATGGGGGTGCCTCCCGATCTCTCAATATTTCCGGCCTCGTGATATGCGGTGGACACTTGGCGCTTCTGATATCATGTTCACGAATCCGTACGAACATTCTAGTCATCACCGATGGATGGTCACTGCAGTACTGAATCTTTGTGCTTAATAGGATATTCTCTTCCTTCTTCCGTGCTGGGCAGGTTATCGAGACCTTTCGAGGGAGAGGCATATACCAGCCGGCCGTTAATGATGCAGTAAGAAAACTCGATGATGGAGCCTGGATACATCTCTTTCCCGAAGGATATGTCAACCAGGCTGGAGGCCTGCTAAGGTTTCGATGGGGCGTGTGAGTTATCCCTTTCGGCCTAGAAGTCTATCCCTGAAACTGACCTGACCTTAGTGGGAGAATCATCATGAACACTCGCGCATTCCCTACGATAATACCTATGTGGCTTTCAGGTATCAATTAAGCATTCTAGGGGAGTTGAGTTTTTACGATTAGCTGACCGGTTTGAAATACAGGATTTGACAAACTGATGCCCGAATCCCGCTCCTTTCCTAAATTCATACCCCGCCTAAGTCCTAAACACGAAGTGTCTATCACTTTCGGAAACCCTATAGATTTTAAAGCGTCATATTCCCCACTTGGACCGTCAACGCAGAAAGCAGCACAGTTAATGGAGCTTGGCGAAAGGCTAGAGACCCATCGCCGTCGGCGGAGATCCGACACCCACATATATTCGCAGTCACCAAAACCGCCCCTTACCCAGCGGTATTTATACCCTCTCTCGGATCACCTGTTCCCTTCGAGGCGCCAGCAACTGCTTGAGAAACGCATCCAAAGTGAAACTGGATTGGCCGAATCCCTGGATTACGGAATATCATCAGAAGCGGAGGTAGTCCAGTTGAGAAAGGATGTGACGGCGCACCTTCAAGAGTGTGTACATGCCCTTGGCAAGCTGGTGGGGAAGTAGGTTCAGAGGTGTGTTCGCATGTCCACTTGTGGATTCCGTGATACTTGCAAATTTACATTGGGCGCACCTTGCTTGATTAGAAATCATTACACTATCTACATGGAGCGCACGCATGGTTCGTTGTGACCATTGTGAGATCCTTGGGTGCGGGTCTAAATAATAGCTCTATGTGCAAATGCAAACTGGGTGGTTGGGGCTCTGTTAAGTTTCGACATTCTGGTGCATTTGGTGTGCGAATTAGTAGCGTCGCATTTGGTGTATGAGTTCTGCTCACATTGCGGAGAGCTGTTGCACCTTACCCGGAACGAGTAATCATGTTGGAAGACAGGCCGATAGTTCATCGAACTAAGACATCAGTACCAGATGTCTTCATGCATGCAGGATTTGGCACGCAATGAATGCGTATTTCCCCGTTACTCCGTAGGGGGTCCTGCAAATGTTCGATCCACAAATGAATTTCACCGTTCAAAAGGTCTTGTTTATCCTACGGTGAGGAACCCTACTTCGATGAATCCACGTTGCGCAGTAGTGTGCGAATGACAATTCAAAATTCCATGGATACGTACAATTCTCGGCGGGGCAGTGGCTTTGTCATCTAGCAAGAGCAAGGTGGTCGCTCCTTGATGGGCTGATTTATCGTGGATGGTAACTTTCTGCGTGTCAGAATCCCTCTAGAGCTTCTGGCTGGAATGCAACGCAAACGGGGAACGGGGTTTTGGAGTCCCTGATTCTGCCTGGGCTGTGTAACCATTTATATAGAGTGGCCTGCCACCCTTTTCCTGCTTGTGTGATCAAGGTTTTGGGATCGCATTACTGTATCGGCTGGTACTGAAAACGCTAAGCCTCGTCTCTACACCTGCATCGTAATACCCGAAATGCTAGAGGGCTTTTCGGATTTGATTGCAAAGTTCTTGGAGCTTGTCGTCTCCGCCCGTAGGATGATCAGAAGCTATTAGGTATTCCAAACGTCACCAATCACAACGTTAAGGTGGCGTGGTCCTTGATCTACATTGTCGCAATATGAGAATAGGAGCCGAGGAAAGAGCATGGACATAGACGGTCAGGGCTTTCATCCCATCCTGGATTGTTCTTTACGGGCAGGAAGAAGGCATCAGGATCATCATCCTCCACATCCTTGTATGTCAGTCAACCGCCGTACCAAACTTCTCCGTTGCAAACGAGGAACGCATTTTTTCTGATGGGGCGGCGATCGATCATCGAGTTCCAGATCCCTGGCCTTGGGGTCGAGTGAAATTAGCGGAGGCCCCTCCTGCTGTGGAATAAACTCCGATGTGTTCATAAATGTTACCGCGTGTTGAGCGGGAAGCCTAAAAAAGGGTACTACTTCAGGTAGGATTTATCAGAGTTGTGCCCTAGACACTAGTTTCTTCCGGAATCAGAAGAACGGCTGGATAATGCCGGTGCGGATAACTCAAACATTGAAACATGGTAGACGAAACCGAGCGACTGGCTCCCCCGGATCCGTCGGCCAGCCCTCATCGTGAGTGCTGACATATAGACATCTTAAGAGAGAGCCCCAAGGGACGATGAATAAGAATCGGACTGAGCAGTGAGATCCGAGAAACTGAATAGATGGGTGGCCAAAACTCATTAAAGTGCCTAGCTTCATCACCTCTCGGACTGTAAGCTCAAAGGAAAAAAGCGATGGGAAAATCCGCCGAAGACTAGAAGGTGATCCGAGGGATGATCATACAGTGATAACGAATGGAGTGAATGGAAGGCTGAACCGATAAAGAGATGCGAACATGTAGTTCAGGCTGGTGCCAGTACACATTCCATGACGAGAGAAAGATCGCTAATCTTGCTTGATTATTACGTAGAGGTCATGATGTAATATAATTTAGGTCCTCAATAGAGGTTCGGATGATTATGTGTGGAGCGGCTACTCCTCTCAGCCCGTAAGAACGTTGAGCCATATCAATTCAATGTCTTAAATGTCATCATTCATGGCCGTATAGGCATGCATGAGGGATGTAAGACAGCACTACTGTGGGTGAGGCTGATTTAGTCATTTCGTGCTTCCTTGTCGGTTTCATCAGAGGCTCATGCGCTGAGCGGTAACGGTTGTCCAGTATATGCTCTTCAGAAACCCAGCTATGACCAGAACGCGTGGGGCTAAAGCTTCCGATGACGGTATCCTAGACTGGTCTGTCCGACTGCGTGTGCGCATGTGTGTGACTTCTGGATATCTTGCCCGCAGAACAGATTCGACTGCAGATTGTTTACTTTTATTGTGCTCGAGGGACACATTGTATTCTCTTCATCAAATTCACCTGTGGTGCTTCAAATTCTGGCAGGTACCTGGTGTGAAGGTTGGCGACTCTTATGGTCGTGTTTTGTGATGCTTCAGCTGACCAAATTATGTCTGTCATTACTCCCAGAGCGATAGTCTTGTAGGGGGAAATGGGAATTGAGATGGCGAGTCGAAAAGGTTGCTTCAAGTGTGGAAATCTGGGGCACATAGCAGAGAACTGCCCATCTGATCAGAGGTTGTGCTATAACTGCCGTCAAGTGAGTTTTTTGAGAACTCGCTCGCCCTCTGGTTCCTGACCCTCGACAATGCTGCACCACCAACTATCTTTCCCATCTGCCGACCCCATGAAGGGAGGGCACGAGAGCGCGGAGTGTCCCAGTCCACGAAGCGTTAGCGCTAAGCAATGCTATGGATGTGGTGGAATAGGACATGTGCAGTCAGACTGTGCGTCATTAAAAATTGCTGCTAGGGCTGCGTCTAGCACATCTGCCAACACGAAGTGCTTCGTGAGTTCCCCCCATTATGCTTCAAGTTAGTGCGTTATGTGTTGAGATAAGATATATTTCCCCTTACCCCTATGCTTCTTAGAATTGTGGCCGCTTCGGACATCTATCCAAATTTTGCCCCTCTGGTGCGGCACCACCACGGCCCCCGGTTGGACCGGCGGCGTCCCAGCCACCTGTAAGATGCCTGAGGTGTAATGGCATTAATCATTATGCAAAAGATTGTACTGCGCCGATGCCTGCACACTTAAGTGGTGCTGTTGGCGCCAGGACATGCTATAAATGTCAAAAAGAGGGCCATGTGGGTTGCGCGATTTACATGCCTGACTTGACCGTTATTCCTCAATACGTTGATTCACAGCTTGCCCGAGACTGTCCGCAGGCCGATGTCTCGTCCGCCAAAATCTGCTACCACTGCCGGGAAGGGGGTCATGTTCGTACTTGCTCTTTGACACCTAACGTCAAAACTAATCCATGAATTAGATTGCCGCTTTCTGTCCAAATATGTCTGCCAATGGTATTGGGAATGGGGAGGCATTCCCATCAAATCGAACGAAGACTTGCTACCACTGCCAAATGGAAGGACATGTTTGTATTCATCAGGCCCTGACAGCATCGGCCGTCTTAATAACTATGCGCGCAGATTGCCCGTGACTGCCCCGAAGCAGGGAATTCTACCGATGCGGACAGATCTAAAAGATGCTACGTGTGTCAAAACGACGGACATGTATGTGGAGATGATTTTATGTGGCCCAGAATTTTCCTCCTGATAATGTGGCCCCCCTCAGATCGCCAGGGATTGTCCGGACGCTGGTGAGAGCGGCTTTGGCCCACGAAGTAAAACCTGTTACCATTGTCACCAAGAAGGACACGTACGTTATTGGTATTCCTCAGCATTTGAGCAGCAATAATTTGACACGCACGCTCGTATGACACCTCTTTTGCTAGATTGCTCGCGAATGTCCGGAGGCATCCTAAGTTGGTAGTTTGCAACTAACGTCTATAGAAAAAGACGCGATTCGGTACATGATTAGCACGCAATCCATTGGAGATGAAAGTTCGCCTCGCGCAAGTTGTGACCCCCTTCTTGTATTCGTATCCTGATCCCTCTTGCTCTGAGTGCCTGATTAGCGCTTTGTATCTACGTCCTTTTGCGTAATGCGGACCCAACAAGTGTCGGCAGATGCGGCACTGCCACATATGCCCGAGGCCCGTCAGGTCATTGACCGGTATAACCCCTGCCTGATTGACCGGTGTCCTTACTATTAGTAATTCTCCTTGTCGACGTACATGGCTACTGCGTTTGCGAGGGTGTACTGTGAAGATATTGAGAAGGAACATTATTCCGACTATGCTACAACTGTCAAGCCCGACATTGATTTATCTCATCACCTTTCGCAACTGTCTAAGCGACGTCCTGCATCGACGCTCAAGAGCCTTTTCAAATGGCTGGACGACCCTGAAATGATATCTTTCGCAGGTCTAACAATAGTATATTTTAGCGTTGCTGAGCTCTCGACTGACATTGTTGTCCAGGAGGAATGCCTCCGCCTGAGTACTTTCCGTTTGACTCGATTTCAGCAGACGCGTTGGTCCCAGAATCTTTGGGCGGACCGTCTCCCACATCATATACACAAGCCGCGCTTTCGTCTTCATGCAAGGATCATGTTGATACTACCAATCAACAAGACACTTTTGGGCCGGTGTCGTGGCTCTGGGGTTGGCTGTTCGCGAGCACCGAACACACGCCTCGCACGCGGCCCTTCACAATACCCAAATTTTCACCGGATCCCAAGTCGCCAACCGCCATACAATTAAGTACTTCTCTTCAGTATGGCACTGCTCAAGGTCACCCTGCCCTGGTTGAATTTATCACTTATTTCACGCGTAAAGTGTACCAGCCCCTGAACGCAGATTCTGCGGTCCTTCTCCACGTTGGTCAGTTCATAACTACTAGTTCTAGTTTCCCTGGACTTGATTGCGATAATGATCTGCAGGCAACACCGATGGTTGGGTAAAAGTCGTGCAGACCTTCTGTGAATTCGGCGATTATTTCTTGACCGAAGACTGGGCATACACTTCCGCCCTATCGGCGGCAGCACCATATGGCGTAAAACCCGTTGGTGTAGCCATGGACGGACAGGGACTCCGCGCCGATGCACTCGAAGAAGTTCTTGAGCACTGGAACCCTGCTCTCAGAGGAGGGGCGAGGTAGGACACCTCAAACTGGGATCTGGGGATTACGTGCCTGACGGCCTTTTTTTCAATTTTTTCGCCTTAGGCCTCATGGTGCGGGATATTCCACGAGCGTCGATCGTTTAGTCATGAGGCTGACACCAGACTCCCAGTTCTCTACACGGTCCCAGTTGGTCAGAATCCATGTGGCACGGTAAGGATTCCATCTGCAGTCCTATCGTACCATTGATTTATTCGATGACAGACTATGGGTGCCAAGCGCAAGAAGGCGATCTACGAGGTTTGCGTTAAATATGGTAAGCCACACAAGCCACACCCCGATTCAAATATCAACTCCCTTGCGGCAGATGTCATCATTGTGGAGGATGATCCCTACTTCTTCCTACAAGTCGGGGAGTACGTTGCGCCCAGTTTTCGCCCACATTCATCATCCTCTGCCATAAGCGGAGATGACGAGTTGAGGTTTATCGACAGCCTGGAGCCCAGTTTTTTGAGGCAAGTTCACGGTGCCACGTTATGTGAGAGTGCTCAAATGGCTTAATTTTCTTGCTTAGGTTCGATTACCAAGGAAGAGTCATACGCATGGACACGTTCTCAAAGGCAAACAACTCTTAGGCCTGATTTTCTACAAGCGAGCTGAGGGCACGAATTGTTCCCGTTTTCATTTTGTCAGACCATTGCACCAGGATGTCGCCTCGGCTGGTTTACCACGAACTCTCTCTTCGCTGAGAGACTGGAACGCCAATCCGAAACTACGACCCAAGCGCCAAGTGGCTTCGTTCAGGCGTGTTAACATCCCATAGTATCCCAGTACCGCTGTCTTAATGCTTCCCTTTCCAGGCGCTGGTAGCCCAACTCCTTGTTCACCAATGGAAATACCCTGGGTATATTCGCTGGTTACAGGGTATCCGAGTGGCGTACACTCAGCGACGAGACACTATAATTGATGTACTTGGTGAAATCTTCGACCTCAAGGAGGAAGAAACCGATGACACCAAAGGAAGGATTTTACCGCTCAGTGGGGATGTCAAGGTTTTCGTAGCTCGGAACAGGTCTCAGAGTGTGAACGAGAAGAAGGGAAATATATTATTCAGTTTCGTAGTACCAACTGCGGGGATGTTTTTATGGGTAAGTATTTCTTCCTTTGGATCACAATGCTCGGCTAATGAGATGCCTTCTATAGCTGAAACTTCATATGTACAACCATAAATCGTATTCGCCCACTGCTCCTCCACCGAAGACACCGGATGATGCGCTCGAGGCCCAGTTCTGGACGGAGCTTGCGGAGGATCACGTTCTCTTTGCCCCCGGCTGGATATTTGGTACTGATGACGACGCTAGACTTATATCTGCGGAAGCAGTGTCACCGGACACTGGGGCCCTAATCCAAGTTGGCATGGGTGAGAAGTATTGGACCACGATGAGTGAGCATGGGAAGTATGGCCATTTGCGAATGAGCTACTCCATGGCAACGGTGAGTTTCCGGTCTCTAAATATTGATCGAAGGCGACGTTTATAAATTTGAGTCGACAGGTTGAGGAGTTACGTCTCGGGATAACCCGCTTTGCGAACGTCCTTAGGAAGCGATTCTACCTTTAAACTCTTAATCCCTATAGATGTTCATACTGTATATAATCCCGTCTGAGGATAACCCATCCGGTGAGGTCAGTTACATTACCCGCGAACGCCATATATAGGAGATAAGCCAAAATGTTCGAAACCTGCCATCGACTGCAACAGCTGCATATCCCCTGTCCGGGATGAACAGTTTTGTGCGAGGGATGAAACGAACACATCCGTTATCGTCCATGTTCCGTTGTCATGGTCGGGTTCCTATCCCTGTGCATGTCCGTCGTCCGAGCCAACACCTTACATATTGTCAGTGCTGGCGATTGCTACTGATTGATCTAGGGGTTGGTCAGAGAAATGGGATCGAGTCATCTACTGGGTCTGTGGCTCGCATCACCGATGCGAACGTCAGCATGACCCCCGGGGACCGGCATTTCGGGTAAAGACTACTGATTCCGTGACGGGTACAGGTCTCTACGTTGAACATACGACCACTTGGATTGGTAGATGGAGCCGAGCATCTTGCAAAGAATAAGTGTGGCGGAAGGATTATATGATACATACTTTTCCGTGTTACTGGTACAATTAATCAATTGCTACCCATTTGACTCAGATGTACACTTCTAGGGACTATCAGACCCTGCTCGGAAGTCATCTTCATCTTCAGGATTCTGAGGGGGGGGGGGGGCTCCACATGTACTTCAGTGAGTGCCCAGGCTGGAAGTGACAGAGAACATGAGATGACTGTTGGGAGGATTGGAATGGAAGAATAGAAAGGTAGGATGACTCACTTGCTATGATTCCGTCAAATGAATGCTAAGTATCAAGTATACATGGAGTAACTCCAATTATGGATAACCAAGCAGTGGATTAACCTTAGTCTCAAGAGAAGTGAGGGAAAAGAAAGGAGCCTGAAGTTCGCAAGCTAAACATCCAAAATTCACGCACACACACACACACGCCACTAGGGGGAATATTATCAAGTTTAAATTCTCGACACCGAGAGAACGAGATCGAACCATTCCACTATTAGTTTTACTATACGCGCAAGTGGCGCTCTCCCACAAACCAGAAACCGATACTGACGTGGGATAGTGATCACAATGAGAGATGTGTGGAAGTCTGAGAAAGTAAAGCATGCGAGAACGCGCTGATGGATGCGATGAGGAAATTAACTCAAGGGTGTGTGCGTAATTAATTACTCCTGATGGAGGGTGCATACCAGGTGGTCGAGAAGATTACAGAGCAATTTCATGGAGGAAAAAAGTGAAGCCGATGAATCAACCGCTACACGGCTGCGAGAAGATAAGAGATATGATCCATAACAGGTTGACGGCATCCTCAAAGTTGCGGACACCAGATGGTTGGCAAAAAAACGGAGCACCCCATATGGGGATCCATCAACGTTTCACTTTCTAATTCTTGAAAATCAAGCATATATCCTTCCTGTGCATACATGACAACCAAGAGACCGAGATAGTTGGGCGTTGGTACAACACATTTCTTTCGAGTGCAGCGACGACAGGCTAGCCGAGGAGCGTTAAAAGCAAGCGAGAAAGAGTAAGAGCAGAATTGGTAAAGGGAGCACAAAGTGTTGGCGCCAAAAGGGCGGAACATGCGCCATTTTAGATCGGAGGCTGACCGGTAAGATTGATATGAACAGCCTTGACTTCGGTATAGTTCGCCAGAGCGTACTCTCCACACTCACGTCCGATGCCACTCTCTACAATCAGAAGTATGGAACATCAGCAAACAACAACACACCACTATAAGAACCCGCAAACACGGAAAAAGAGGGGGGAACTACACACGTTTATACCCTCCAAACGGAACGCTGACATCCAAAAGGTTATAACAATTGACCCAAACGGTCCCGGCTTTCAAGCGATTCGTAATCCCAATGGCTCTGGTGACATCTTTCGTAAACACGGCAGCTGCCAACCCATAAACACTATCGTTCGCCAATCTAATCAGCTCCTCCTCATTGTTGAACCTAGCCAAGACGACGACAGGTCCAAAAATTTCTTCTTTGACGATGGTCATTTCGGGCTTGACGTCGGTGAAGATAGTTGGTTGGATGAAGAACCCTTCCGTTCCGTGGCGTTCGCCTCCAAGGTGAACTGTAGCACCTTCTTTCTTACCAATGCTGATGTGGTTCATGATGCGCTGAAAGCAGGCGATCGAGCATTAGGGCTAGACTAATAATTTGAATAGAAGGGACGCGCACGTTGTATTGTGTCTCAGAGACTTGTGGCCCCTGGAAAGTATCGGGTTGGAACGGATCACCGACTTTAATCTCCTTCAACTTCTTCGTGAACTTTTCAAGGAAAGTATCGTAAATCTTCTCGTGCACAAACACTCGCGAACCAGCACAACATGTCTGTCCATGGTTGAATCTAAAAAAAAAGACCAAAGAAAGGGGGTACGGAATCATGCTGATCAGTCCCTGAATCACGAAAAGGAAGAGAGAAAGAGAGAGAGTGGAAGGAACTACTCACCCAATACCGAAGGCAGCCCATGAGACAGCTGTGTCCAACTCAGCGTCATCCCAAATAATAGCAGGACTCTTTCCGCCCAACTCAAGCGTAACCTTCTTTAGATTCGAGTTTGCTGCACTCTTCAAAATATGTCTCCCCACGAGCGTACTCCCCGTGAACGCAACCTTATCAATCCCCATGTGTGCGCTGATGGCCGCCCCAGCTGTGTTCCCTATACCAGTCAGGATGTTCACAACACCCCGAGGGAACCCAACTTCTTCGATGAGGGAGGCCACGCGGATGGCTGTGAGAGGAGTCCATTCCGAGGGCTTGAAGACGATCGTGTTTCCTGTTGCGAGGGCTGGGGCCAGTTTCCATGAAAGCATCCAGAGCTAAGTAAGGTGAAGGAACATTCATTCCTCCAACGCCGTCAGGGACAAGCGAGGATGACGCACGGGGAAGTTCCACGGCGTGATCTGACCAACGACTCCAATAGGCTCGTGGCGGGTATAAGCAAATTTGGTATCGTTCACTGTTCACCAACCAAACGAACCATCATCAAGGAGGATCGCGGTAATTCCGGGAAGACGTGAAGCGGTAGGTGGCGTCATCAGAACAATTATGTAAGCACGAAGGGATCGGGACCAGACGAGCGAGTAGGTACAATCAGTCACCCAAGGTTGAGAGGGCAGCGAATGTTGAATAACGAATCAGACGGGACGCTGAATGCGAGGTAAAAACATGGGGTCTCACGACCCACCTTCGATCGTCTTCCCATGAACCTTGTCCGCCCACCCAGCATAATACCTAAACGTATCGATGGCCCCCTGCAGATCCACCGCTCTAGCGATCGCAAACGCCTTTCCATTATTCAAAGATTCCAACGCGGCAAGTTCATCAGCGTTCGCTTCGATCAAATCTGCCAACTTGAATAAAAGTCTTGCACGTTCGGTGGGAGGGACTTTGGTTCCCCAACGTGTCTCGAAAGCTTCTCGAGCGGCTCTGACGGCTATATCGACGTCTTTGTCGGTCGCAGCTGGGATATTGCTGAGGGGTTTCCCGGTCGCGGGGTTGACGATTCTGTGGGAGAGGATCAAGGGAGTTACATCGTGGGGATTGGGCAGGGTGGGAATAAAGACAACAAAGTGGAAACAAAGTTAGATGGAGTCTGGGGTAAAGGGTCCGCTCCCTACGCACTCGACGGTGGTTTTGTCAACACCCTCGACGAATTCTCCATTGATATAGAGTCCAGAGTTAAAGGAAGACTTTCCGTGAAAGTTACCCGCCAAGTCCTTAAAGTCGTACTCGAAATTAGGAGGAGCCATACTGGATCGTTGGGTGTTGAAAGAGAGGGGGGGATTTGGGGAGGTTACGATTTGGAGATGGAGGGAGCCTTATCTACGTCTGGAAGAACTGCACCTCCACATTCAGGGTTTCATGAGCAAGAACTCGATTGGGATTGGACAGACTAGGGTTCTCCGGATCCGTAGGGTGAGAGTCATGATAGATTCATTTCTAGGCAGGTGATCAAGCTCTATTGGAACAGAAGAAGCCTAGCGCATTGGAGATCAACGTTCCTAACAATGGGTATGAGGCCCGATGACCTTTTCTCCTCCGATCGCGAGCCATCCCACACTGGCCGAGCGATTCCACAACTTACAACTTGGTGAAAATAATAATAATCAACTGCGCCACTGCGCCACGATAACGCTTTCCATCGTCATGGTTTCCCAGTACATAGTATGACGGATGCACAAAAGTCGTCGAACCCAGACTCGTACCCATGTTTTGCAGCGGAGTTGGCCGAATTTATTGTGTAATATCAAATTTCGGCCCTGGAATCTCCGTGGGCCGCATGTCCACTAGTGTTGGGTCATTCTAGTTACTATGGGCGAACACGGCTCTAGTATAGTTAGATGTATACGCCAAAAATAAAAATCAGTCCAGACATAGTTTGCAGACTACCCACTTGACCGTGCCCATGCATGTATGCGCACCAAACCTTTGCATCGTGCAGCGACAAATTTGCTGATTTTGCAAACTGATATTGCCTCGCACGACCACCATCTCACTTCCTATGAACGATAGCGGCATGCTTGGAGGTGAAGGTGGCCAAGTGCATATATGTACTACATATGCCGCCATCATTAAAGCTACTATCAAGGGTAGGACCTGGTACCACCGAGTCCTGCTATGTGTGAGCATGTGTACTATTGCCAATCGTATGCCATACTACCCGCCGCCAGCCCAAAAGAAGCCCCATGGATGGCATGAACGAGCTAGTTACTACTGTAATCAAGCTAAGTGACTGAACGTCGAAAATTGTCGAAATGATAATCCAAGATGTAGAAATGATTGTCCCAGGTGTCTGATGGATCTAACTGTCATAACTGCCTGGACTATGTACTTGTGATGGGTGCCTGGCGATAGGATTTACACAAATCAGTTGAACGCATCGTAATTATAGGATAATAAAAGCGTACGCTAGTACGTGAGGAGCTGAAAGTTTATTCCCATCACCTCCAGTGTCGCTGCAGCATTATTGGGCTCCTCCGAAGTAACGATGAGTTCTTCCAAGTGCGGTAGGCGTTGACTTAGTAAACTCCTCCATCCCTCATCTTCTCCCCCGCCAACAGCATCAATAAACTTTTCCACGTCCCAGTCTTCCGTGCCGATAGTCACACTGGAGAGATTCGGTGGGAGCAAATCAAAGAATTTGCGGCTCTCTTGCGGCCCATCGTCAACGACACTCGGATGCCCGAATAGGTACAAGCATGGGACAGAGAGCTTCTTTAGCGAAATGAAATCACTGAGGGTACCCATGGGTTCAAGACTTTCATCGATATCCGCCAAATAGCCTGAAACCGTAATGCGGAGAGTGGTCAGACTCCGGATTTGGTGTCGGAGAGCCCTGCAGAAAGCAGGAGGATCGATCTCATGATATAAGACAGCATCACCGCCATTATCATAAATCAGTATATCCAACGCTTCAGGGATTTGCAAAATGCCATCCAATAGCTCTGGGGCAACAACGCTCAAGTTGAAATCAAGCTTCTTGAGTTTTGACGATCGGTTGGTGAAGCGCATGCTTTGAAAAATTCGAGGTGCCGGACCGTCATCGTCGCTGAATTCTGCATCATTGCTGGATTCTGCATTGTTGGATTCTGCATCATTGTTGGATTCTGCATCATTGCTGGATTCCGCCTTGTGCCAACGAACCGTACCCCATCCTGCAAATTGGCTCACTCGGAATGAGTTGAGAGCGGGAAGGGACATAAAGGGGACGACATCCGCAGCGCGCAGACCATCCTCGTCCATGTGGAAGTTCAGCTCGAAACTCCTCAAAGACTGGAAGGCTACGGGGAGGGGCCCATGATATTCACCGGGACCCCAGGCCCACTTTGTGGTTATCACTGCATCAGAATTCATTTCCCGTATCACTAGACTTTCCAACGATGGCAGGATATGCATCAACAATGAAAAGTAAGGTCGACACCAACCCTTCTTGAGGTCGGAAACAGCACGAGCTGACATTCCCTTTTCGCGCGCTAAAGTTTGGAGAGTACTCAGTTTGCTTTCGTCTGCAACGTATGGCATTTCTGGCTTTGTTTCCTCTTCATCATAAAGGCCATACCATGAAATGGCAAGATGCCGGGTGAGTGGTCGTAGTTCAGGCCGCGAAATAAGCGTATGTACGAATCCTCGAAGTTGGCGTTCGTCTTCTGTCTCGTGGCCACCGTCCTCGAGAGACACGGACCGATATAGCTGAGTTTCGGCAATGCCACGTAAACGACGGGATGTGAGTGTGAGAGAGATGAGCTCAGAGGAGGATGACACATCCCGAGCAATGTGCATGATAATTTCATTGGGAATATCTTCGAAAGTGCGCATTGCCGTTGCTTGTGGATGCGTTTGACAGGCGGTTTCACAGGTTTTGAATTGCACGTGTGGAGTCAATTTGACTCATAAAAATTCAGCTCATATGCAACCCAACCCCACCAACCAAACCCAAACCCTCATTCTTCATAATATTATATCCTCGTGAATCGAATCGGCTTCACTGCACCCGACGGATCACCTATTGCGCACCGCAACTCGTCGGCTCGATGAAGCCCACGACTCAATTTCTTTGCTCGAGCTTTTTAGTCCAATTCAAGAATGTTGAACGCAACGTTGTTCGTCGGGCGCGCGCGGGGTTAGACAAAGTTCTAGCCACGTCCGTAAATTTGCCTTTGTGCTTTAACATTCGGCATCTAGCTTCACATGTCGTAATTCAACACCCTCACCGCATTTGAATGTAACCTGATCATTGGTCCGGTCTGTGAGATTTCCCCTGAGGTATAAATATGGAGGAGCCCATTAGGGCTACCTCCGATTTAAAAAGACCTAGGATGGCACCCCCAACCTTCGAGTTTGACTTTCAAACGACGGGTGGAAACTTCACCGGAAAGGTTGCTTTCAGCGCAGGGCTGTTCATCAACAATGAGTTTGTGGAATCTGTTGAAGGTTCGACTGTCGAGTGAGTCAAGTTTCCAACTCTCAGTTACCAAGTCACATTCACACACATGCGTTCTCCCCCTCAAACCTTCGATAAGGCTCGTAAACCCGACGGACGGGAAGCCTCTTGGTCATGTCAGTGCAGCCACTGACAAGGACATCGACATTGCCGTGAAGGCGGCTCGAGAAGCGTTTGAACAGAGATGGGGAACCAAGGTCCCACCCCCGAGCGTGCTCGATTGATACGCCGTCTTGCCGATTTGGTGGAACAACATGCTGATGAGCTTGCTGCCCTGGAAAGTCTGAATAATGGTAGGTTTTCTTTGGTTTGGTAGCCCATAATACTGTCAATAACCTCGATAATGTTCTAGGAAAGACTGTTTTCGTGTCACGATTTGTAGATGTTCAAGGCTTCGTGAACACGTTGAGATACTATGCCGGGTGGGCGGACAAAATCCATGGGAAGACCATTGAAGGCCAGTCGCTAACGTATTCAAGAATTCCCAGCTGAAATTTCCAATCTCCTTTTTTAGTGAATGACGCCAAGTTTGCATATACACGCCATGAGCCCATTGGAGTCGTCGGTCAGATTATTCCCTGGTCAGTGGTATCCAATGACGCGAATGACATGATCTAATACCCAGTGTCAGGAACTTCCCCGTGCGAACCGCAGCTTTTCCTGTGGATTGACGCTGAATTCGAATCCTCTCTAGCTCGGCATGTTCGCTTGGAAGATTTCCCCTGCACTTGCCACCGGGAACACTATCGTCATCAAGCCGTCCGAGTGGACACCACTCACGGCCATCCGTGTTGCGGCTCTTGCGAAGGAGGCCGGATTCCCCAAGGGCGTTCTAAACGTTGTTACAGGACTTGGAAGTGTTGCGGGCGCTGCCATATCGAGCCATATGGACATTGATAAGGTTGCTTTCACTGGAAGTAAGCCGCTCCTCTTCGGCGATCATTCGGCGAGGAAGAAGAGGAGAAAACTGATGATCAGCATCGCTTTAAGGCACGCTCGTGGGAAGGCATATCCTCAAATCGGCGGCTGCTTCGAACTTGAAGAAGGTCACCCTAGAACTGGGCGGGAAATCTCCGTCTATCATTTTTGATGACGCCGACTTGGACAAGGCCGTCAGCTGGGCCGCCTTTGGTATTGTGTAAGTGATAGCATTATCCCCTTCTCTGGTGGGTTCTCTGAGGCGTCTTTTAAAGATTCAACCACGGCCAAACTTGCAGCGCTGGCTCGCGTGTCTATGTGCATGAGAAGATATATGATGAGTTCTTGCTGAAGTTTACGGAGAAGCTGAAGAGCCTGAAAGTTGGGAACCCATTCGCTCCAGACACTTTCCAAGGCCCCCAAGCGTCCGAAACGCAATTCAAGGCAGGTTATTGATGTTCCGCTCCAAGCTGAAGTTAACGTTTTCCCTTTCACATTTCAGCGTATAATGGGTTATATCGAGAGTGGCAAGAAAGATGGTGCCACACTCCACCTTGGTGGAAGTCAGCATGGTACGGAAGGCTTTTTCATCGAGCCTACCATTTTCACGGACGTGAAGCCGGATATGAAAATTATGAGGGAAGAGATATTTGGCCCAGGTATGCGAACTTTCCAATCGCTCCGACTCAACCACTTTACTCATAGTGGCCACCAACTCCAGTTGTTGTCGTTGCCAAGTTCTCAAATGATGAGGAAGCTGTGCGTCTGGCGAACGACACGTTGTACGGGTTAGCAGCAGGCATCTTCACGAAAGATATATCCCGTGCCATCGACGTTTCGAACAAGCTTAAGTCTGGAACCGTATGGATAAACGAGTTCAACAAAGTCGAAGTGACCTTACCATTTGGTGGGTACAAACGTGAGCTGTTCTTTGATCTCCGCCTCCCCTTGGCCTTTGTCGGCTGATTGGCGACCAACTAGAGAGCGGAATTGGCCGAGAACTCGGTGAATATGCACTCCAGAATTACACTGAAGTGAAGGCCGTGCACATCAATCTTTCAGCTACGCCGCCGATCTAAGTGCATTTTCCAATCCAGCCTTCAGAGTTTGGACAGCGTGCTAGTGACCCTTGTCTGCGATCGTCTCCCCGCTATCAGAACGCGCGAAAGCATTCGTGATTTGACTGTATCCTTGTATTCATCTAACCATGTTGAAATTTGCCTCGTCTCTTGGATCAATCATTTCGGGTGTTCAATCCCAGAGCAGATGTCCCGCAAATCTATGGCCGGGGAATGGATCCCACTAACATGCAAACAGATCCGGGGGAATTCCGGGTGTGGAACTGATGGTGGTCAAAGCCTAGAACATCAGACCGCATATGCTCATGCGCAGCTGAGTGCAGCATTTTTTTTTTGGCCCAGCTTCAATTGTAAGTCTTCACACGGTGCTGTAAAAGCGCTAGCATTGATGGGCGTTCTGAGCTAAACATTGCCCCGTTCGGACTTTCCCCATCCACCCACGGGCTTATATACCAATGGGACCAAAAGTCTTAATCCTTTTGCGGATTCATTACATTCGGTATCAGATGATTTGCGACCTCTTTAGAACGATGTCTGTTACCCGGCTCGAAGCTGTGGATACAAGCTCCAGCCCATATCCTCCCCTCTTTCGCTTCCTTTCTATGCTTCTGCCAGAAAATGAGCCTACCTGTCTTCATGGAGCACGACTTCAAAGCGCATGGGCGCACGCAATCCAGTGGGATGATCTCATTCAGCGTCAGCCTCTTTATCAACAATGAGTTTGTTGACAGCGTCGACGGCATTGTGGAGTATGCTGTTGCTCTGATAAATCATCCAATTTTCAGGGTATGTTCGGATCACATATTGGAAATGACGGATCCAAATTTGCACAACGCCAAGTCTCTTCATTTCATCAGCAGGGAGCGCCGCGTCAAGATCGTGTAAATACTGCCATTTCATGTAGTCATATCATCCCCTCGCGGACTTGGTGGAGCGATACACGCCAGAGGGTCTCAGCCACTAAATCCTTATTGGTGGCTGGCTTTCCAGTGTTGCATTCAGGAAAGGCATCTTCTATATCTTCTATGTCCTGCATGGGCCTGGACATCTGAAGCTCCAATTCTCATCAACATAACAAGGTATTTCACTGGATGGACAGACAAATATTTAGAAGATTATTGAGGGTCACTAAGGATATCCCACAACGCATAGCATTGTAGTAAGACAGATCACTGATTTTATGCCTTGCGATGCCCACTTCTTTGGGATCGTTTCAGAAACTCCCCGGTACTTTTTTAGTCTCTTCATTTAACTTTCGTGCACCAGCGCCGCCTCCTTCATCCCCAAGCTTGCCATGTTCCCCTGAGATATTGCAGCAACGCTCGTCACAGGAATATTAGCCCTTCTCACTGTCAACCATTGGTGTGCCTGCTATCACGAGGTGGGTTTCCCTGAGCATGCGGCGATACCCAGCCATTGGCAAACCAACCTTCATTTCGTCGAGTGGGTTAACTTATGGGGTAACCGAGGTAATATGGTGCCTTACCATTGAACCTCACGACGGACTGGGACGGCATATTTTGAAAGCTGCCACTGAATCAAAGGTAATCCCGGGCTCAGGCTCACCTCCGAGTAATTGAGACCGCCGGTTTAGACACACCCATCAGCTGAGCAGTACGCGAGACCGCGAGCGTCTTTCGCCCCCAAGATTCGAAATTCAGGCATTCAAGGGAATTGAAATAGGGTGCTATGTATTTTCATCAACGAAAAAGGACATCGTTCACTTGGTGAACGACATGATATGTGGTCTAGCAGCTAGCGCCTTCGCTCGGGCAGATCAAAGTCCTGAGCAATGCACAGAGGGCAATACGAGTCGACTGATTGAGCGTTCCGTGCTATTTGGGGTGCATGAACGCGAGGACCACGCCTCAAATATCTGCAGGATGCGCCAACGAGCAGATGCAGGCTTTGCACTGACTGAAGAATGCTCTTGGAAGAGAATCCAGAAATATTATTTTTCATGCAACTTCGAAAGCTACAGATTTTTAGTCTTTCCGTCTCATCCTGTCTCGAGACCTTTCGAAGAGCATGGGAAAAAGGGAGTAAGACTCAGGGGATGACCAAGTTGCTTCCGGTTCTCAGATGGGTAAAAGCGGCAAGAACCGAAAAGGTTGCAGTCCTTTCGCTCCTCGTGGTTGATTGCACAGTGCCAGTACAATCCTGGCTATTGCAACGCGGCCATTCCTCAAATTTATAGCCGATCAGAGAGCCCTGCTTTGGTGCTACACGTTTGCACCTAGTTCCCTTTCACTTATCAACATCCAACAATATATCATTTCTCCATTCCGAATCCGCTCCCTTCCCCTGAGGGAAGGGAGGGGGGTTATGTCGTCCACTATTACGGTACCTTTAAAGAGCAGATCTGGTGCGTACCTTCATAATTTGTGATGCATTTGCCTCTGTATCCTTCCTCCGTATGATGTGAACCTTACATGTCCACCGATCATGACCAGTCTCATGAAGTGACAGGAAAAATAAAATCTAGAATTGTTCTGAACCCCATCTTCCTTCCATCCTTTGTACTTGAGTATATGTTCAGTCCTGACTGACTTCCTTTATTCCAGGTCACATTCGGAATTCATCCTCCATAGCTAATTCATTGGCATGCCCTCTCCCGGATTTGGCGCCCCTATTCAAGGTGCGTTTCGTCTTTGTCCGATACTTCAGATGCATATTCCCTATCAACGAAACACTATTGGAATTCGCTCGTTGCACACGAACGAAAACATGATTGCTGAAGAATGGAGTCCTCACTTTGATATTTTCAGCCCCAGTACTGTTGAGAGTGTAGAACTGACCAACTTACGCCGAAGTGTAGATTCTCGCACCCTTTTTTTGGTGTAGCTTTCGCTGGGTAGGGTGTGCCTGTAGTAAGGGGCCGGCGGTGCCTTTAACCATTTGCTAGGGAAATGCTTTGGTACTTTCTTGGCTGAGTCATCACGTCAAATAAGGCCGCTTACGTACATAATGACTCGGAAACGACCTCGACCCCATGTATTTACCATTATTTGTACCGTGACGCTTTCTATTAAGAGTGTCCCTTTCACAACAGAACAAACGCTGAAAGATTTTTTTGAGAGACCTAGCTATAGAATTTCTGTTAGCGTGCACACCGTCTTATCCAGTCCCCTTCATGCATGTCGCCCCCATCGTTTGAGTTCGATTTCAACAGTGCTCCTGGAGGAGGATTCCGAGGAAGGTCATTCTTTAGCACGGGGCTGTTTATCAACAATGAGTTCGTTGATGCGGTCGATGGTAACAGAATTGGGTGAGTTTAAATCCTTCTGAATTGAGCTCACTCGAAACATCCATCTGGCGCACTAGTATTGTTAACCCTACAAGTGGGAAAACGATAGGAATTGTGGCTGCAGCGACAGAAAAGGATGTTGACATTGCAGTGCGAGCCGCGCGGGAGGCTTTTGAGCAAAGATGGGGAATGAAGGCACCTCCCACGGAACGTAGACGACTATTAAACCGTTTGGCGGACTTAGTTGCGGAAAATGCGGATGAGCTTTCAGCACTTGAGGCGCTGGAGAACGGCAAGCTGCTTTGGGCGATCTCGCGGGGCCAGCAGGCTGACTCTCTTGTCAATCAGGGAAGGCATTGATTGCGGCCAAGATGATGGATGTGGAAGGGACCATCGGTATCCTGAGGTACTTTGCTGGATGGGCCGATAAGATTCAGGGAAAGACAATCGAAGGTTTGGCGTCCCAGCTGTTAATACGCTTCCATCCTTCATGACTGAGTTTTGGTCAGTCAACGACTCCAAACTTGCGTACACACGCCACGAACCCATCGGCGTAGTTGGTCAAATTATCCCCTGGTCAGCCCTTATCCACATCCATGGGTTTCTGTGTGCACGCTGATAGTTCGTAATTAATAGGAATCTTCCCGTAAGCTGCTCGCCCCTGCTGCTGATTGACGTTCTTTACCTATTTCGTCCAGCTTGGCATGTTCACCGTGAAAATTGCGCCTGCCCTAGCCACAGGAAACACCGTTGTGATCAAGCCTTCGGAATGGACGCCCCTCACTGCGATCCGCATGTGTGAACTGATCAAGGAAGCAGGGTTTCCCAAGGGTGTGATTAATGTTGTTACTGGATATGGGGACACAGCTGGCGCAGCGATCGCTAGCCATATGGATATTGACAAGGTCGCGTTCACTGGAAGTAAGTGGTGATGTTCAGGCCTCGCAACCCTTTAATGCTGTTCGATGTGCTTGGACAACTTCAGGCAGTCTGGTTGGGAGGCACGTCATGAAAGCTGCCGCTGCTTCCAACTTGAAGAGAGTCACCCTCGAGCTGGGCGGAAAATCACCCAACATTATTTTTCAGGATGCCGACCTGGACAGGGCGGTTTCATGGGCGGCCTTTGGTGCCTTGTTAGTCTTTTACGTTCTGCTCCTATCACCGAGTCCTCACAGAAGTTGCTCCTCAGAGCCAACCAGGGCCAACTATGCATAGCCGGTTCGCGTGTCTTTGTACACGAGGACATCTACGACAAGTTCTTGGCAGCGTTCACTGAAAAGATGAAGTCTGTGAGAATTGGCGATCCTTTTCTTCCAGATACATTCCAGGGGCCTCAAGTGACCGAGACCCATTTCAATGTAAGTGCCTTTCGGGATAATAACTGTCCCCCGACATGATGAGAGCTGATTTTCCAACCACGACCCAAGCGAATCATGAATTATATCGAGATTGGGAAGAGGGAAGGCGCCACAGTACATTTGGGGGGAGAACGTTATGGAGCCGAGGGACTTTACATTCAGCCGACTATCTTCACCGACGTAAAAGCCGATATGACGATAATGAAAGAAGAGATATTTGGTCCAGGCATGTGTTCCATTCCAACCTGCTTGCGGCCCATGACGATTATTCTCCCTCAGTGGTGGTTATTGCCAAGTTTTCAAGTGACGAAGAAGCGGTGAGGATGGCAAATGATACCGTCTACGGCCTCGCTGCAGGACTCTTCACCTGCGATGTGTCGCGCGCGATCAGCGTGGCGAATCAACTGAAAGCAGGTACCGTGTGGATAAACTGCTATGGTGCCAGTTCCCTAAATGCCCCCTTTGGAGGGTATAAACGTGCGTAGTTCGTGCTTCTAACCCCTCCCCTCTTCGTCGTGTTTCCCACCTGAGATTCGCCCCTTTTTAGAGAGCGGAATCGGCCGTGAACTTGGCGAATATGCTCTGGAGCATTATACTGCAGTGAAGGCGGTGCACATCAACATGTCAGCTTCCCCTCCGATTTAACAGATCTGTGGTATTCTTTTGGGTGATTGTACTTTTAGAGTTATCAGAGTCGATCTATAGTGAAGTCAATGGTCGCGAACCTGGCTCTATGTTACCTGGAAGATCCTGAGATGGAACAGCTGGGGAGCCGACACGCAGACTCTCTCCGTGTGATAATTGTTGGATGGAACGTGCTACCGGTTACGTGGAGTGAATTAACAGAACCGCCTGGGTGTAAGTTTGCAACACCGTGCAATTGTAGAATTAGGTACAGCCACCATGATATATCGGTGCTTATACCAGTAAATCCCAGGAGTCATGGGTCCACATAGGATCGTTCAGGCGTGATCTGGGAACATCTGGAGCGTATAGAACTAAAAAAAAAAAAGCAGTTCGCAAGCCTGGCGACCTGCCTGTTTACAAAGACGGGCTTGCTTACGTCAGCTAAATCGGGGATTTTGATCGCATCTCTTCATGCCCACCGACGTCGACGACCTTATCATCGCAACGCTGGAAGGACCAAATACACCACCGTCCGATTCTTTCTCGGAAACTCCACCTCCAGCGCCCAACCTCCCAAATCCTGATGGTACTAACTTGAATGAAAGCGGTCCAACGCCCGAGTCCGTTGGCGCCATTCCATCACAAGGTCCTGCTTTCTTCTACCAACGCCGGGATGAGTGGGTAAAAGGGGACTACCGCCCCTCTCAGGGAGGAAGAGTAATAGCGGACAAAGATCGGCAAACAGTTCAGTCGTCCGCTGGGACGCCGGGTTCGGGTTCCTTTGAACCTCGCACACGACGAAGCGACAATGGACCTCTTGCAAGGCTCGGAGAAGTCCTTTCGAGGCCTCAGGCCATTGAGGATGAAGAAGTATGGGAAGACTATCTGAAGAGTATTCATGCGAGGCTTGTTGGTGGATCAAGATTGAGGAAGGGCATGTCGTTGGCTCACGCAGTAAGTACCGTATCCTTATGGCGATTACTGTGGCTTTTAATGCAATCAATCACGGATTCTACTGGTCATGGGCATCTCCCGTCCATCATGTGCAGGTCAAGATACTCCATGCAGGGTGGCTTAGGGATGGGACTTGGACTGGGGCACCGGAGATGGCGCAATTTTCATCCACATCAAATCCTACGTCTGTATCTAGAGCTAATCAAACGTTGCGGTCCTTCAGGACTATTCCTGGTGGACAGCCTTCTCACACTTATGCTGCCAACGTGGCACTTGGATGTCCAGAATGAATGATCTGGGGGAGACTGAGTGTTCAACCTTGGACTCAAACAGAACAAGCCAGAATCATCGTCAAGATCTTTTGTCCTGCTCGGTGCTACGACAACGAACGCGTGTTTCAGCGCCTGAAAATGCAGAATGAGACTGGAAGGCCCTCTATCACCAGCATCGGCACACATCCATTAATAGATGTTGCAATGGTCTATTTTTAGTGTTGACTTGGGCTCGCGGCATTGTGAGGGAGTAAAGCTGAGCTACTGCACTGTTGGGGACCGCTGAACCATTCATGAGTCACTGACACCTAACACACATTCGTGTACTTCCAGAATTTAATCTCGATTTTTTTCGCCTACACACGTTTTGACATCGTTTCAACCTGAATGCATCATATCTCCGGGAACACACCCGTCTGACTAATGACAGTATAATTTCTTCGGTCTTGCATTTGAAGAACGGGAGGGGACCAAGTCAGAAGGCGTCATGACATTCAGGTCGAGGAGAACGTGGACGCAGCAACACACGGTCCTCAATGACCAGGACTCAAGCCTAGTCCATGGTGCACAAAACAACGCGTATGGGTAGAAGCAGACTTCGCGATCATCTGGCTCCCGGTGAGACCTTTGAGTGCAGGGAGTGCTGAGAACAATGAGGTCATGAAATGATTCGTGGCTTACAAGAATAACACCGTCCCCTCTTATGAATAGAAGGTCTAGGTTACGTTTCGCTACCTTGATGTGGGTGAGAATGACGGAATCCATGTAAGGGAAGAGGTCGAACTCACTCGAATTGTGGGCTGCTGCCCAGGGATTTGTTCATGTAATCCTTCGACAATCGTTATAGTCTCTTCAACATCGCTCATTATCAAGTTCATATGACCGTCGAACGCCTACAAAATGTATGACTTAAGGGGAAAAGCGCGCTCAGTCCAAACACACATGCAAGACGCCGGTTAACTCGCGGTCCCCGCGTAGCTTCACATAGATACGCTCACTAAGAGACAGGCGAACGAGATCGAGAGGTACCCGGACCCCTGATGTGAGATGGCCCTCCGCCATGCGCCGGAAGCAGTTATGACAAGATAAACGTGAGTACACGTGATGGGCCAGATTGAGTTTGAAAGTATTCAGCTTCAACTCAGCTATGCCGAAGCATTACTGTCGGTCTCACCTTACGCCTGGTTATGAGAGGGGTGCTTATGGAATGTTGCAGGTGACTACTGTGATGTCTTTTTAACCCATGATTCGGCTTCAGGTGAGAGTGACAGAATGGGTCTCCAAACTCAGCTCATGCATTTTATTCACCAGTACGCAAGGCTCATAACAGTGGGCGGAATCATTTGGCGAACGTTCGAGATTATTATGCTTGTACGGCGTTCCCTGATTTTATGCCCATACAGAGGCCATATGCCCTTGTGATCTGTTTTGGTAGCGCTGGGTCATGATAAAGCACAGAACATTATCGACCAAATTACCCAAGCATACGAATCCGGAAATGGGCCGCCGCCAGGAGGCTTTGGATTTACTGCAGCGTCATTAGGTGGGGAAGGGCTAAATAAGGCGTTGTGCTCCACTGACAATCAGGCATTCGTAAAAGGTGCTCCAGCGCCAGCATACGGCCCACCCCAGTTTGGTGCGTTTTGAAGCCAGAAGCTTCTGCCCTTGATTCGAATATTTTTCCCACGTGTTTAGGACCCCCACCTGTGTTCAACCCTATGATGATGAATGGACCTCGCTACATGGGTGAGTGATTCACGAGCGCATGTGTCTCATATACCTGCAACAATAACTCTACATCAGGTCCTCCGGGACCCAACGGTCCACCGCCTCCCGGGGGAATTGGTACGCCCCCCTTCCCACCCAGTGGACCAAGTGGCCCCAATGCACCTCCTTCGACTTTCCCCCCATTTACTCCTAATGGACCTGCTCCCCCTGGACAGTTCCCCCCTGGACCACCTGCTCCTGGTCAGCCATTCCCGCCGAGACCCCCAGCAGGTCCTCCTGGTTCGTCCGCACCCCCCGCCGGTCCTGGCGGCATTCACCCAGATAGGTGTGTCATATCGAGAGGTTCCGGGCGCAAAATCAGATACTCACTGCCGGCGTTCCTAGATTGCGTAATTTCATGTGATATCATTTGGAGTGTCAGCGTGCGCGGAGATTGTTTGTACGGCGTCAATAAATCGTTCTTTTCTTTCTTGTTGAAATGATGTTTCCCTTTTACAAGCATGCAATTCTAATTTCTATGGTCAGCTTAATATTCAAGGTAGGGTGTTGGACATTCCGCAGCCATGATGTTCTCTCCTGTTTGCTTGACGGAGGGACGTTTCAAAAGCAATCTGTCTGAAATGTGAGTATCTTGGATGATCTCCGAATATTCTGTGTTACCGTTACCGAGAAAGCCTATCGCTTCATGCAACCCTCACATGTCTCATCTTTGACAAAGGAAACTTCCAATTTACAGCAGCTGAGATTGTCAGATCGATGGGTGAGCGCCGATTTCCGTTTCGGGATGGTTGCCTAGCACAGCTTTGCGCACTATCCCCGCTTAGTTGAATGATACGGATGAAATACTGTGTCTAGTATGTACGGATGTTTCGTGAAATGAGGACGCGTATTAGGCTTCCTCATCAGAGGTCGTGGATCGGATTCGTAATGACATTGAGATCTCTATTTGTTTCAAGGAGTTGTTCGATGAGTTTAGATTAGACACTGAGGCAGCGCTTGAGCTAGTGGATGGCGTCAGTTGGTGGAGCGGCGGTTCCTCAAACAAGTAACCCAGTTGATCAAATGTGCCACGCGTGATAGCCGCGCGGTTCATTCCACCTGCATGAAGCTGATCCCGGCGTTCTTTGCATGCCATTGCCTCGTGCTCGGAGACTGTATCGGAAATGCTTTGACAAACGATAGAAAAACGGGGAGTGAAAGCGACCCAGTGTTTTGTGAACTTGGTAGTGTGGAGGTTGCCGTGTTTTCACTAGTGCCTCGAGTTCAAGATCACAACAAACTACTACACACGACCACTGACCTTCCTCCCCTCTCAGTTTTCTACCCCTGAACACCTCCTGAAGCCCCTGCATATAGGCCGTCTCATCTCTGCAGAGCTGCTGCCGATGCCATGGCTGAAGCAATGTCTAACATGATGATGGCGCTTCGTCCTTCCTTCAGGTCAAATCGCCAAAACTCGACGCGTCCCGTCACTCCCCCTGCTGATGATCGACGACCTCACCCTCCTAGAATTGACACAAGAGAAGCTGCAGAGAATGCTGCCCGCGCTGCCCAAATTCCTCCTGTCTTCAGGAAACAGCACATACCCGATCCATCCCTCCCAATCGAAATGCTTCTCCAAGCTGAACTCCCCCCTCGTGCCGATCTCCCCCCAAACGCTGAGCCTATGTTTTCTGCTCGCGGACCATCTGAACGGGCCCAAGATCTACTCAGGCAACCTATACCACCGCCTTCATTCACAAGGAAGATTCGAGAGCGGTTGAATCGCGCTCTTCGGGATGGTGGCCGGTCTATCCTTTCCCCTTATGATGATCGTCGTAGATGGCCACTTTGGTCTGGAACATTTTGGTCAGAGATATACCGAATGCTCGAAATTCGTGATCAGTACGACCAAGTGAGGAAGTGGCTGGACGCGAATCAGACTCCACGCTCCGCCCCTCTTATCCCTCGGCTGTACGAGGGCTGGAAAAAGTTCAACTGGTCAGAATTAGATTCAGATCTTAAAGCCGACGATCCCACCGCACATTTACCTCAACCAGATCGATTGTTACCTATATTATCGAATCAGTGGATTGAAGATGACTTGGTAAGTCTCGCCTTTGTCTGGATCTCATTCATCTCGTTCTCATGTCTCGCTACTTCAACAAATCGCGTCTCCAGATGGATCTCTTAGTTAGACTGACTTCCCTAAACATGAAGTCAAGGCCAGTGCCTCCAGGGCTCGTTGTACCGCTGCGGTTCTGGAGGGAACTGGTGCACTTATACGAGAATGACGGTTTTTTTGATGAGATGCACTATCCATGCCTATCCGAAACATGGCTAACAGTTAAATCCGGAAATCTCGACGTTGGATTCATCGTCAACGACGCGAAACCCTTGCCAGGCGATCAGGGGACTCATTGGACTGCCTGTGTTCTCAGCGTGTCGACAGGGGAATACCGCTTCGGGGATTCCTTGGACGCCCAACCGCCCCTACTGCTTCAACCTGCCCTCGAATTGTGGCTGGCGAGGTGCAATGCGTTACCACCGGGTGCCCAGCTCCGAAGAGGAAACGACCTCGATCACGCATCTCAAACTGACGGATGGTCCTGTGGGATTATTGCCGTGAATACACTTGAGCATCACTTCCTTGATTATCCTCTGTGGGGCCCCAACAAGAATGCGGATATACGAATCACCAAGTACATCAACTTGCTTGAATACAATCGCGGAGCCCCGGTATGTGTTTGGGAATGACCCAAGCTTGCTCTTCAGTATTCACATCCTTCCCTTCTGACTTTGTTGATTCGCTTGTTTCAGTTACCTCCGCCACGATCACGTGCTAGCTCCGTCTCCACTGACGCTTCCCAGCGGTCTCGTTCACGAACTAGGACTCTTTCCACCCGTCCAGATGTAGATTAAATTAAAGCCACTTACGCGTCATAACAGCCTACTAACATATTTCACTATTTCCAGGTTTACTTTGGTGATATTCCCGTTGAAGGGCAAGATTTAGCGGTTTTGAGGGGCTGGACACCCGAAGAAGGTGCCGGCATCTCTTCGAAATATCAAGTTACTGTGCCATTTCGTGCGGATCATTCTCGTTCTCGATCTAATGTACGTCGCAGGATCCCGGGCTTTGACAAGTATGTCTCGTTAATCTTCCTTATCTTCCAGTCTCGCCTTTCTCAGGAGAACGTCCCCATCCTCAATAACCAGGCGCCAAGCGAAAGTAAGTGGTTGCGTGGAGGATATGATGATAAACTTGACATTCGTGCCAGTTCCAGGTCGCCAAACACGTAATGGGCCCGATCAACCTCTCCCTATGCAGGACCCTAATAACTCCCCCCAACTATCGTCTCGTTCGCCTGCCATTCAACACTCTCGACCCATTGGTGTCCCAAGTGCGCCAGCTCACATTCGACCCACACGTGATAGAGGCCGCGTTCCTGCTGACATTCCTGCCGGTCAAGGTGAATGGGAGCGTGAGTCACCTCAAGAAGATCGTGGCAGACGACCGCGACCCATTATGCCGCCTCCACCTTCTGGAAAAATTGAGGATCCGCGCTTATGGCCTGAGGATCAACTGAATAACACGCCAGTATGTACAGCCACCCCTGTGTCATCAATCATTATATGGCGCTGCGTTGACCTCATCGGTTATTTCCATTCGGTTTTCATATCGGCTCCTCCCTTATGACTCCCTGCGCGCCTATTCTCCATTTAGCCCGAGGAGCGGGGCGCCATGTCAGCTGGCTGGGGTGCAGCCTCAGCGCCTGTTCTGCCGTCAGCACCTATAATACCACCGATTAATGGGGGTTTGCGACGCAATCCAACCTTGCAACCAACCAGTGGCGCCCCTTCGGTACCTGTCATGTCGCAGAGTGCGAATCCACCGGTGCCCTTCCCAACTTTATCGACGTCACAACCACAGTCGTCTGCTTTAGTCCGGGGACACCGACGATCGAAGGTAGCGTCTGTTTTATTCTGATTAAGAACATGACTGGTATGAGCCTATCACTTCTAGACTGACCCACAGGTAGAAATACCAGGCGATCCGGAAGGTTGGCGGAACAGCAATGCTTCTTCTGTCAGCTCAATCTGGAAATCCGTTCGAAAAAGTGTTGGGAGCGAAAGAGGCTCGGGGGGAAGCCGCTCACCTTCGACGGTACGTTGGCTCAGTGCACCAGATACGCTTGTGAAGCAGTGACGTTCTGCAGGATCGATCGGGGAGATCGTCTGTAGCCCTGTCCTCTAATGGGTCCTCAGTGGGACCACGGGGACGGACGGATACTCTGGGCACGTCTCCGGCACGACGACGGAGGGTACGTTTCTCAATGATATACCTGTCTACATCTAAACTCCCTACAGAAATCTTCACTACGGTCAAGCGAACGTCCACCAGGAGAAACGAGGATTCCTGGTTTAAGCGTCAAATTCGAGGGGGGGCACAAGATTGAGAAGGAAGTAGTCAACGTGCGTGCATCCACATCTGCGCGCAATGAAAAATTCATGTTTTCGAAGCACGATTCATATCGCCGTCGAGCGTCTTCACCTGCTGCCAGAGATGAGGTGGAGTGTCATTCCTGGGCTTTGTTAACATTATGGTGCTGACATGACATCCAGAGACGCGCCAGATACCAATTTCGGGAAGCGATAGCGCCTCCACGAGGGTTTTCTTTCGAGGATCCATGGCTCCCGTCGAAATGGCGTCAGGATGCATTGGAGAATAAATACAGAGTCGTAATCGACCAGGAGCCTAACCGCTTCGTAGTTCAGGGTTCTTCCCGAACTGATGTTTCGGACGCGACACAAGAGTTATATCGGGCAAGTATAAACCATTATGTTCTCCCTCTGCCGACCTAAATTTGTTACCTGAAGGTGTTCCGCGAGCATCAGAACAACGGTGCAGAATACTTCTCCGTTTCCCCACGGGCTGCACATCGCATTCATCTTTGGGCCATTTGCCAACGACTTCAGAAGGAAACGAATACTAAGATTTCAGTGGACGTGAACAATAACATGATTTCCCTCACCGGCCATAAAAGCGCACTGTCATCAGCGCGCCGGAGCATTTTATCGTATGCGCGTCAGATAGACGATGAAAAACACACCCATTATATTGTTCCAACGAGCAAAGATCTCCGGAGGGTTCTGATGATCTCCTTGCCTCGTATCATCTCTCAGTGTGGTGGGCCAGAAGATGAGGAGGAAGCTCGGCAAATGTTCACAATGTGAGTGAGCATCTTTGGATTCGGGAGTCGGTTTCGACTGACACGGTCGGCAGAACGAACCCAGGTGAAAATGGGGGTACTGGAGAAATGATCGTCGATCTGTGGTGTCATCCATCTATGTCAAGTCCGTTGAGGGAAGGCCTCACTCGAGAGGTCGAGGAATTCATGCAGAATCGTATGCGCGAAATATGGGCAATTCGCGTTCCCACGTGGCGTGTGCATGCATTACGAAACTCTCACATCTTCAGAAGGTACGACGACAAGAATCCAGACGGCACACTGATGCCATCCATTGCGGTTCTTGAGAAGAGATTTGGGGTTCAAATCGCATTCCCTGACTCCAAGCGACCAACTTGGGACCAACAACCGATCAAGAACATGCCTAGTCCGAGACCAGGCGACGGGTCCGAAGTGCAGTTCACGAAGCTTAGGGGTTCTCAAGCTCAACTTCCCTTGATGGTAAGCGAGCTTGAGGTGAGTTGTGCCCACCGTGATTTTCCGGTGATGCCCCGCTTATTCTGCTGTTTTCAGGATCGCATGAAGCGTTTTCTACAGGTCACTCTTCGAGTCCCCGCCCAATTCCATCGTGACCTCAAATCAACAAATGTCATCAAGCGTCTCGAGTCCATGGGCGTTGATGCCCAAATATCCAACCCCATGGATGACCACTTTGAATGTCTTCTAAGTGCAGTGCGCCAGGAGGATCTGGAAGCAGGACAACATGACATTTCACGCATGGCGAGCAGAATATCTAAGGGATGGCCTGCCATAGATCCACTGCCCACGGCGAAACGAAAAACAAGCAGGGAAGGCAATGTGATCATTAACGAGCCAGATCGTGTGAGAGACTTGCCTCCACCTCCACGAGGCGAGGGACCGATCACACGGGAGCGAACAAGATCGGTACGCGTTAAGCCCTAGGATGCAAGCGACTGCACTATGACGAAATAATACGCAGTGATGATGAACTCCGTTCCCCGTGCCATAGGACTCGAACAACCCACCGCTCTACACCCAGTATATTCCGATGCAACCACTTTTACCGCACTTATCCACAGTCGTCCTTTTCTCCCACCATCCACAATTCCTTTAATTCACTAACGTCCTGACTGTAATTTCTTTCCCCCGATTCAGCGTGTATAATGACAGCATGCTGGTAGGGCGTCATTTGTATTTGATATTCACAAGAGAATCAAAGTACATGGTTGATGCGTGTTAACGAAAATGTAGTGTTCTGACAAGTACGGTAAAGATGACAGAGTTATGTACACATGGGCAAAAAAAGACTGATGTGAGGGAACTGTACATAAATGGGTGAACTGTGTGTGTAGACACTAGACGTTTTCAGCCAAAACCCGAAAACAATATGCGGAAGCTGAACCGGGGAAAACCAAAAGCATATATCTGGCAAATGGAGTAAAACACAAAGCCAACATGTCAAGATCATCTCAATTTCGCACGGCCATCTTCTGAAGCAGAGGGTGAACCCACGCTTTCCCAATCTGATATGCTGAGAGGTCCTCCACCCCTAGGCTCAAGGTCACTAACGGAGTGATGAGATGGGCTGGAGGCTTCCGATACGTTCTCATTCATATGGGTGTGGGCATTCCGGATATCTTCGATCCCCAAGTCGTCAAAGCTCCCACTGCCGATGGAAAATGCCAAATGCGACTCCCCTGATTCGGATGGCGCAACTTCACCATCCGTCCATGAAAATGCAGAGACTGACGCTTCTGACCATGCATTTGGTGAGCTCTCGAATACACCCAGAGCGCCATTGTGCATATTGAACGAGGGGCCGAGGTAGTTGTAAGGAGGAGGTGAGGATAAGTCCATGTTAGGAGAAAGAGCGAAGACCTGAGGATGGGGAGAGGATGCGTGTGACAGGGTTGGATGACGGGCGTTTGTTGATGGCGATGTGTCTGTAAATTGTCTGCTTACCCCTGGAGAAGGGAAGGAGAGAAGGTCATTACTCAGTTCACCAATCGGAGGTGTGGGAGTAGAACCATGCAGGACGGAGTCAGGTGCCTTGGTTGATTCGGGGTTCGGATCAGCAAACGGGTTCGGCAGGATCGATGGTGGCTGCTGTACCAACGCAGTGACTGCGTTTCCTGCGGATGACAAGGGCGTCAGTGGGATTTGAGGGATGGGCAAATTTGACTAAAGGAAAGGGTTAAGATAACGACGCGGTGTGCAGCGGTTCCTTCCATCTCACCTTGTCGAGCTCCATCATTTCAACACCTGTCGAGGTGGATGCATCGTCATTTCGTCTGTTCTTCCGCTCCCGGACTTGATTAGAGTCCAAGACACTGTCAATTAGACGCTCCAGAGCCGAAGAGGTGGCATGATTCTCTCTATCACCTAAAGTGTGTGCGTTGGATGTGTCTGATAAGGCATGGCGCCTAGGGGGCGGCACCGCAGCCACTTCTACAGGAGCAGTCCCAGAAGCGCGCTTGCGCGCGTGCCACCAACCCTTAGCCTTTACCGAAACCCTCTGTATCTCCGGTTTGATATGAGGCTCCCAAGCCTATATACGAATAACCGTTACATGAAGCAAAATGCCTCGGAGAAATAAACCGCTCGCCTCTTTAACAGCGTAGGCAACCACCACGGTGGCTACGACTGAGACAACGACAACAGCGGCTACTGGGGGTGACATTACAAAGTGGGAAGGTGGTGACTACGGCAACTTGGATCGCGGTATCGAGGAAGCGCATCCGGAGTTGATATAGTCCACGTGCAGTTTCCCACGGCTCCGTTGCTCTTTTGACTGCCAAGAACCTGCATCGCAATCGTTTTGACTCCGTACGTTGTTACAAAGAAAGTAGAAACCAGCGCTCCTATTCTTTTGGGTTGTTAAACAGCGAGCAAGAGATGCAGGGCTACACGAAATACAAGAAAAGAAAGAGAGGCGTGGGAAAGCGGACGAACTAGGGGAAAATGACGACATGAAGCACCCACCAACTTGCATGTTAGTCAATTTGGACAGATCCCGAGGGCAAATAGAAGAATTTGCACCCAGTGCGACGAACCATCGACACCTTTATGCTGACTGGCGACAAAAAAAAAGACAAATAACTATGGACACAGTTCACCGATTACCAGGCGCAAGAACAAATGGCCGAACACCATTACACCGAAGGTTTAGAAAGGTTGAGGCGCATGGCATTGGCCTCGCTAACTGTCCGAGCTTGTAACCAACCCCGCTCTCTGTTTGGTCGGTGGTTCTGACTCAAGTGGGAACACTGCTGAGCACTCCCGACGCACCTGGAAGCCCCCGAGCCAGGGGGACGTTCGGGTCCACAATGCGACCTAAAGAGTGCTAGCCTTCAGTTGGCTAGTGATTTTAATGGCGCGAGCGATGTCAGGGGTGGAGACGAACGCAGTCAGCCGATAGATGCTGTCGTGGGCTGGGCGGATTAGCGCTTCATCTGCTGAAATTCTGTCCATGGAAATAACTGTCATCAGGTCCCTGTCACTCAGGTCTATACTTGGGGACGTCTCTTATTTGACAAAGGTCTTGTGTGGTCGAACGTCGCTGAGTATTTGTTGGCTAGATGCACACTCTCCATCCAGGTGCACTACGCGTTACTGCGTGTCCAGTGATGCGAAACCTCCCACGCAGAACTGGTCTCCGAAATTGATGGGAGTCGGAATATATTGGGAGCAGAGGAATCAAACCTTTGAGCCACTGGATCTTGCGGCTGAACGCAAGAGGCTCGCCTCGCTACCTTCTTCAGAAGCTGCCGAAGATGCTGTCCTGCAAGAGTACATTCATCAACAATAATACTAACATCTCAAGCTAGGGGGCTCCGGTACAACTACCGTGAATGCCCCCTGTGGAATCCGGCCTCTGCCATGAGTGACGCCATGCTCTTGGCGGTAAGAAGCCTCCACCCTGATGGCTTCCAAACGATGGTGATTCCCGTGGCGAGGACGGGAGTCTGGCCGCGTGGACAATCAGTACTAGTGGACGACGTCCCACAGGAAGAAATGAACGAAAGTCAGGACATCACAGCGCTTAGCGTGTTTGGGGACTATATTTTGTTCGTTGGCCATTCCACAACGTGGAAATAATGACAAGTGAAGTGCTGCGGACGCGAGTCACTGGAACAGCCATTATTACATGTCCAAACAAATCTGGAAATATGTATGTCAGCTTCCAGCTCACTCGGTCGTCCATCCAGGATCGGCATTAATGCTTCCTTGAATAGTGTCCACCTACTTGACCTTGACTTAGGTTCGTTCTCTCCGATATATGCGACATTACCTATTTAAATAGGATGAGTTGTAGATGAGCAATACGTATATAGTACAAACCCCATGAAGGCTGGCTAGGACGGGTTCTAGATCCATCGGAACTACTAGTAGTCACAGAACCGAAGTCAAACCCGATGATTCCGACTCCCAGACAGTTCAGTCCCCCGTGTACCCAACCTACTGCCCACGCTAACCGGCCAACCAATCGAGCTGCATTTTTTCCGGTGCCATAATCTTATCGAGCTGAACTCGGGCGTCAAAGGGCCACCTGGAACCAGCATTATGTCACCACGCCAGACCAGCCGTGTAAGATACGAGTCATGGTATAGGAGGAAACGGCGCCACGGGGAGGAAGTATGCTCAATCAATAATTTTAAGGACCCCAATCCTCGCGCTCAGAGATCTGTCCACAATTGGCGTTTATGCGCAAGTGTCCGACTCATTTCGACACTTACCAGACTTGGACCTGTGAATGTGCGTTCTTGCAAGCTGTGCATTAGTTTTCGTTGTCGGCCCCTGATCGGGGTCCACGTTGCGTTAAGGCATTCAGAGTGCAGCAGCCTGTTGCGTTTGGGGCATGCTTCAGTCCCTACTTCCAAAACGGTATTCCAGCACATCCGTTTTCTCGGCTGTAACTGGCCACAGGACGCCGGGGACACATTCGTGTGCTCGCTCGGTTGCTCTCCCGTAACCACGCGGGCGGTTTTAACACTTAGATTCGAGAAGTCGATTTATCCGTTACAGTATCAATACAGGCCAGGACGTAAGGGGCGCAGCCATCCATTCCATTTTATCCATTCAGTGTCCTAGAAGGTATTGTGACAATCGGTGCCTGAAAGGTTGATGGATGAACGAGCGACAGGGGAACGGATGATCAAGGGGCGAAAGGAAAACGGTGCCTCATCAATAAACCAATAGATAGATGACTGATGTAACCTGGGGAGTGTCGATCGTAGAGCAGTGAGACGAGTGGCTACCAAGACAGACAGAGAAAGCAGGAGACATGTAGCTGGACGTGTTGGAATCCAGTACATATCGGGGCAAACGTTGGACAAAGTGGGGAGTGTATGAGGAGTTAGTGAAATCGGGCAGGACGTGTGAAATTGAAAGGAGGGACACGATGTGAGTCTCATGTTCTCAGGACATAAAAACCAAATAAAAACAAAAACTGGAACGAGGGACACTGAAAACGTGACCCCAGCATTGTGAAATGTATTGCCGGATGTGAAATTGGGGGAGTAACCTAAATAGGCAGCTCGGCTTGATGTTTCCATATTCAATTGCAGTTTTGACATTTGCATAGGGCTCACTGCGTGTAAGGATTGCTGGACGAATCCCAAGGCGGCAGTGACTATACAATCTCGCCGCAAATTCTCGCCGCGAAGGGCCATGTCACAATGCCAGAGGGTATGGACATACCCATGTCCTCCATGCGGGCCATGTCTGTCTGGATAATAGCCATGGGGGCCAGGCCCAAGGTCCCGAATACGTTATGTTGCATGAGCAAGGGGTGAGAATGTGCCTGCGACCGAATTAGACGATTTCGCTGTACTATTTGATAATATGTGACATTTTTCCACCAAGATCATTCCATTCTCTTTTTCTTCTGTTCACGGCAGGATGAGCCCGGATTCCTCATTTAAAAGCCTTCCCTTGGTCATTCACTGGTACCCTCCCCCTCTGCGGCGCTCACGACCAGCGGAACAAGCTTGCCTCCTTTGTTCTGTTTTCTTTTCTGGGAAAGTTACAGTGGGGTTGTCCAACATGTTCAGGCGCGCTCTTTTCTTCCTTCTCCTCTTCACTGCTTCCGTGTTCGCCTTCCCCGCCCACAGGCGGGAGTTACGCCGCCTTGCACCTCAGCTTCGGGACCCTGTGCACGGAGAAACGAACGCGAAGCGATTCGCGAACGGCCTGCCTCCTTTACCACCAGCTTGGAGGAGGAATATTAGGGCCTCACGAACTGACGGTACGTCTGCCGTCACATTCACAAACGTACGAAAATATGACTCCAATATGGTTTGATTCCCAGCGGCCAAAAGGGCACAGGGCAGCGGCACAACGACTTGGAGCGGCAGAATTAAAGTAACTGGCGCGTCGGGTGGTGGGGCCCTTGGGTACCTCACATTGACCAGTGCTCAGGACCGGTGAGCGTTTCGTCTGCTTTCTCCAAGTTGTATCGCATCTGAGTTGGCGCTTTTTTGTCTCTTCTGGGATTGATCAATAGCTATATCGTAGGCAAGGCATCAAGCGCCGATACGTTTACGGCCACGTTATTTCAAAGTGGTATCACTCAGAGCGTGAGCTTTAAGGACACTGTGGGTTAATTTTTCTTTCTTTCTTCTACATCACCATTAAGTTTGTTTTTTAAATGCAACTTTCCAGAATGCTCCGAGTTCTCATCCCTATTTGGCTGGTCTTGTCTCGCCGGGTTCCCCACTCCGTACGACAAATCAGAATTTTGCTACTTTGGGAGATTCTGTGCAAAGTAAATCCGGGAGCAATCCACCAGCCTAACCCGATCTAATTCCATCCGAACGCAGCTTCTCCCAATAGTACCCCTCAATCTGGCGGTGGAGTTTCCATTGCTGGAGACGAATACGAGACGGCGATCTGGGATTATGACGCCTCATCTCAGAATATTGCACCCAAGTGGGTAAATCATGATAGCAGTGAGTGTCTTCTTTGTTCCATTCGGGGATTCGCGTCCTTGGGGGGTCAAGCCCTCTATCCACACTCGCTTACTTGGGACAATCCCGTGTAGGCACGCCAGCGATCTCAATCTTGTGGGATGCAACTGGACAGGCGATTTACCTCACGGCCAATCCGACGGGCGTTACCAGCGCTCATCCTGGGTCACAAATTGTGGTGCGTAAGCCGTCAGGATCGGCGTCTCGTTGTGTACGCGCCTGTTTTGCTGATTTTTACTCGCGTCTTGCAGACACTCTCTTTAGCTTGATGACGACCTGTAATGACAAGACCTGACTTCCCTCACTTGCTGGGCTCTTTACTTATCTTGGTATCCAGGCATTCAATCTAGTTTGGATGACTCTGCTATTTTCATTATGATTCAATGAATTGTTAACTTCAAGAAGCGTGTCCTTTTATACTAACGCACGGGAAACCATCGCAATGTTTTTCGCCGTATCGTGCTCAAGAACTACCCCTATGTTCATTCATTCCCGTTATCTTACGCAGAATTAATCTAGTTACTTTTAAGCTAGACATCAGAAAATGCTATGCTTCGTCGAGTCAGCAGGTTGTTGCTTCCCTTCTGAGTCGAATGCAGCTCCTCTGGCACATCATTGGTCCGGTGATATGACAGGCTCAGATCCCCATCAGTGGAGCGGAGGTTGTCAAACCATCCGCTCAAAGCAGCCAGTTCTCTAGTGACGTCAATGAAATGAAAGCAGATAGCTCGTCGAGTCTTCCGGGAGACTAGCGGTTGATGGCGATGACAAAGGGTATGTGCGTAGGTATCAGGGTTAGAGAGTATCTCGCTTGCCTTATATAAGGATGTCCGTATGGCACCCATGAGTTTGCAGCGCCAAGGCTGACCCGGAGGCCTATGACGTTAGATAACCATCAAACGGCGAACCCCAAGGAGAAACCAGACTCCCCAATGATGGTTAGAGCCCCGGTGGTGGTTGACCAATGATGACTAAGTTCCCAGTGTAAACCGCGAGCGACGGCACCAAACACGAGATGTATGATGTCGGATGAACGGCGAGCTCTACAGCAGTACTTTGGAATCGAGAGCAATAGCCCAAAGGTGTCTGATGAGCAGAATCCAACTCGTGGCAGAGTTTGACGCAAGATGATAAGGGGCGCCTTGAAATTCAGTCTGAAATCAGAAAGTATGCACTGAGATGCCAGCCAAATTCGAGGTGTTTGATACCGGATAAACTGCAGCTAGTTGGTGACCTCCGTGAGCTGACAAAGAGACAGTATGTTGATGCCGAGCGTGGAAGGTGGACATGCAATTTGGACAGCTGGACAGTTCAATAAAAACGGGCAGAGCAGAGAAGGGGACAATCGATACCTGGACAATACGTGGAATCAAATTCTAATGGTTGTGCCGGTGTCTAGCCTACATAACGGCGTAACCCCCCTCACAAAAAACTCCACTGGCTGCCAGATTGAGTGTTCCGGGCGACTTGAGAGCCGAACGAACTTGTCTTTGTGCAAGTGTAACCGAGTCGTGGGACGACAAGGACCTTGAATTCCGCCGCTATATATAGATAGCGCTTTAAGTTTCAGGTCATCGTTCGATTATTATTTCATATCGATCACCGACTATATAATAATATAAATTCCTCCTATTCACGGGAATCGCCGCTCACCTGCAACTCGGAGCGGTCCATCTCGTTCTGCCATGCTGCAGTGTTGAGGACGAGGGTCCTAACTTGCCTCCAGCATGGCGGTAGCTTCTGCAGGGGGAGTTCTGCTCTCGTCTCCCACCTGCTCGCTCTCGCTTTGGTGTGAACTGGTGAGTTTCCCTGGCGCAGCAAGGCTTGTAACTTACGCACGCTACCAACATGTTCCCCCTGGTTTCGCCTAGTTACCGCGCTCTCGTTCTTCTACTGATCGGTTGTCTCATCTCGTTGTTCACTCTGCACTTATTTCTTTGTCTACCCTCCACCTTCCCCAGCTCCTCCTATCATGCCTTGTTGTCCTGGAACACTCGTGTTCTGGTCTTTGTATTGGTACTGGTAATGGAGAAATCCCAAGTGCCCTATGATACCCGCTGAAGCCGTACTCGAAGGCAGGGCGCCACAGCGTTGGATTTGCTTCGTAAATGTAATAGCTCATCTAGGAACTTCCTTTTTTCTTGTATAGGAATGTTCTGGTTAGGCGCCAGTGATAGGAAGATGCCTACGCGAATTGGTCAATTAATGGCACTGCGTTCTTCCTGAAGCAATAACCTCGGTGTCAGTCGACGCAGTAAGCCACTTTTCTTGTTGCATCTCGGGCATGTTTCCATTTTCGAGGCTGCATGTAGCTGGTCGCCCAATCTTATGATCACACTAAGACTTATGTACATAATGAGATTCGAGTAGCCGATTGATCGTTGCAACCCCACAGTGATGTGTACGTAATCCGTCAGGCGGATCTATAAACTCGCCCAGACCCATAACATTGTGGAGGGCAAACTAGTGGATGGCCATCACGTAGACGAGTACATATCGGCGACGGAAGATCCGCTCAAACTCGCAGCACGTGGCCAAAAAAGGGACCAGTCCAGATAGAGTGTTATCATTGGCTCCTCGGCATAGGCCGATGATTCACCGGATGATCTGATTTGGTGGCCCCCGCGGTTTATCTCACCCCGCGTGCGATACGGCCCTGGAGAGCAGTTGAAAAGGCAAGAAGTGGTTTATCTGCATGCACTGCATGTCTTCACTTCCGAGCCCCTCATGTTGGAAAACTTCAGACTCGTACACAGGGCGTAGAGTTATTCAAAGCTCGCCTTAGGGGCGGAAGCGTACCATAGTTTTGAACTGTAACTTAGGTTGCATATCAGCTGAAATATATGATGGCCATTTGAATTGAATCCGGCAATGTTTATGGCCATGGGCCTGGAAGTTCAAATGTGGCATTCTCCCGTTCGCCCCCACCTTCAGGTCCATTGCGCTTAGGATGGCCTCTCAACTGGTTAGATCACCCATTCTCATTAATACACATGACTTGACTCATTGGTATTTCTTAGTCCTTGGCAAGATTCGTCCAGAGAGCCGTAAGGGGAGTGAAGAGACCCCAATCTGTAGGTCTCACTGTACTTATTTTTGTTTATCTAACTAATAATCTCTCAGCGTGCTTTATCTTCCCTACTCGTTCAATCACAGCCTAAACTTGCTTCACTTCCCCACTTCCCCGTCATCAAGATCTTGCCGACATCCCAAGATGATAATGAAATAACTGCTGTGCTATCGATGCGAGCTTTGACCCGACTGTTAACAATGCTGGAGAACCCCTCTCCTGGAGCAGGGCTAGCTGCTCCGCCAGAGAACTCTTGCTTCTCCTTTACGTCCATTCCCGGCAAAGGTATCGGTATGATAGCAACTACTCGCATCTCCCCGGGTGACCTCATCTTATCTGAGCGGCCCGTACTTGTGTTGCCTCAGAATCTGAAAGCCTCATACGGGGTAGATCCTCACCCTGTACATGAAGTTTGGCCCCTCCTAAGCTCAAACCAGCGGGAAAAAATAGAGTCACTTCGGAATGCTTTCGCCAGTCGCGAGACGTTGTTGGTGAATCCCGAGACATGGTCAAAGATCGGGCTCATTAGCACCAACGCTCTTAATGCAAGGCTTCCCGTTGCAACCGAAAACGGAAAAGAGGACTACGCGGGTATTTTCCCATCCATAGCGAGGTGCAATCACAGGTGCGTAATTTGCGAATCTGCTGGTAGTTATTTAGTCTGAATGAAGCACCGACTTCAGTTGCAGTCCAAATGCTATGTATGACTTTAATCCAAAAACTTTCAGTGCCTCCTTGATTGCCACCAGCCCCATCGAGGATGCCGAAGAAATCACCATAACCTACATCGATCCTTGCCTCTCTCAGAGTGCTCGCAAGGCATTGTTGCTTGAAAGTTATGATTTCGAGTGCGAGTGCCCCGCGTGTGTGTCATCAGACATTGCAAGCAGCGATCGACGCCGTATGCGGATATCCAATTTTATGGATCATTTGGAAGTCCCATCGCAAAAAAATGAGTTTAAGGATGACATCATTCCCTATCCTAATGTGGCCCTAACTCATCCGAGTACCACGCCATCAATTCTGCGGCGGGTGGTGTATGTCGCGGACGCCATCTTTCGCCTTATCGAGGAAGAGGGTCTACACGCACTGATCCCATCGAGCCCTATTTACCAAGTTGTCGAACGGGCGGCTTTTGCATCTGTGCTCCTTGGTGACAAGGATGTTTTCGACATTTGGTCCAGACAAGCCTCGATATATTCTCGAACAGCAAGGTGGATGCATAACGGGAAGCCATTACTAAGTGAAGATCAGTGGGAACAGGCCTTCAATGACCCAGAGGCGTATTTCGCAACTTGGGGCCGAAATAGCGATTCATGAATGTCGGCTTTCTCTTCTGATCCTATTTTGAACGGATTTTTAATCCCCATTATCATGTACTCCAAACCCTCTGTCCGTTTCTCCCGATTAGTTCCACATAAGGCTCTTGTGGTGATCCATCTCCAAAACGCAACTCGACTGCCTCTCGATCCCCACATGTACCACTTGCCCAAGTAGCTTGGCCTTCTCCAGTGGAGAGAACCTGTAAAAATTATACATTAACAATCCTTTCCCCTTGGAACCCTCCGACTCACCAAATTTCCGTCCCCTTGGAAGAAAAGAGTACATTTCCGGTCATCTTGACTTGTCTCACCCCCAAAGTCATGCACTATTCGAAAAGCGCCAGGGTCTAATGGCCAATGGAGCTCATGAAACGCTTTTTGAGTGTATATTATCACGAAACGACGTTCCGGTGACATCGTGTAGACAAACGCTCCACCGCCTGGATTTCGCGGTGATGATGGTATCGAGCGGGCTGTATACGAACCGAAGGGGAAACCATACTGGTGCGGGTACGAGTACGAGGATGCATAAAGAAGGAAATTTTCAGGCGATGGAGAAGTGATCCGAACATGTGGCTTGGAAGAGGAAAAGACTAGTCGGGGCCGACTTGGAGGTCGTTTGCTCTGCTCATGGTCTTGCTTCCGCTCTCTGGGTATGTGCGGCGTAAAGTCGAACCAGATGTTGTTCTGGTTTTCCGAGTTAACAATCGCGAGCTTCCCGCCTTCACTGAACGTGAGCGTCGCATTGCGATAATCTGGTCGATGGGGATTGATATTCCCCGATACCCCAGCCTGCCACAGCACTCGGCCTCCTTCGGAGAGACTTATAACACAAAGTTCGGCATCCTCCTGTCTGAAAAGTATTCGTATCCCCCCAGATAGGTCGATGTTATCACCGAGCCTGGCTCTGAGGTCATTTCCTCCATGAAATACCATCGCTTTAGATTCGCCGGGCTTGATGGCTATCAGTCCCCAGACTTTTCCCTCTTTAAATTCATTCTGTAGCACCAAACTGCTGATATCCGCCTCATCGCCTTCAGCGTTTCCCCATCTATCATGAATGAAGGGTCCAGGGGGGCGTTTAGGTAGCCGGGTGGTGGATCAAGCGTTGGCGATATGTCCCCAGAATACTGCACTGATGGTTCCGACACATTGCCAATGCAAACCCAATTTGCAACATCTGATCCAACTGGAAACCCGTACCCAATGTTCCCAGTTCCAAGACGCTCTTTCGAAGATGAATCCGGACCTTCCCAAACGGGCCCATCGATGTGGCGCAGATCACGAGTGATGAGGTTATTTGTCACATAAGCACCACGAATGATTTGGCGTTTGGATTGTGCACCCCAAACTGAAGGTCCTTGTCCTATTCCAATCTCCAAGTAGTTCCCCGCTGTAACGATTGTGTTGTGATCTACTCGAGTGTAGAGATATTTTCCCTCGTCTAAAAATATCATTAGGGATAGTTGTGGTCTCGATAAGACTGATGGCTTACGTGGATTGAAGTCAACCATGTTGATTGCACCCAGGCCAAGGCGTTTCTCTGTTACGATCGTATTAGATGTAACCAAAGACCCAGGAGCACTGAATAGAACTGCATGATTGACAGTATCATCAGTCGGCTAAATGGGTAGCTAGTAGGGTAACCTGCCTATAGCGCCATCTGTGGTATCTCTCACCAGATTCCCTGCGACCAGCCCATCTTCGCAAGCGTAGCTGATGCCATCCGCCCATCTGAACTCAGCCTCATCGCAGCCAACTCCCGCCGGGCCTATAATATTATTAGTAATCCTTATGTTGGTAGCCCCTTCGAACGCTTGTACAGTAGACCAATGTCGCGTGTTCCTGAGTATGCATCTATCAAGAACCTTCGCATCCCCAAATTTCATCTAGTTCCTGGACTAACGCAACAGACACGTGTCATACCTGGTTTCTCGCTGGTGCGCCCCCAAGCTGCACCATCACAGCACCCTTTTCATTCCAACCGTACTTTTCCTTGTTCCCCTCTATTACGAGGTTCCTTATCCTAATGCCACTCTTAGAAAAAGCGTGCAGAACATGGCCATCGCAATCCTCTTGAGCATCAATGATCGCCATTTCTTTCTCATCTGTTGGGTATCCTTCTGTGGCGAGCTCCTGGAAATCGGACAATTGGATCGTTGAATGGACGAGCCACCTTGAACGTCTGGGAAGATAGACTGTAAGTGGAGATGAGGTGTCGGATAGTGCGTCTCGAATTGTCTTGTCGGTGAAGTCAGATTCAGACTGGGAATGAAGGATTACGTGGCGACCAAGTGGGTACAAAGGGAGTTCAGGTGTAGGGTAAGTTCCTGGAGCGTATATTGCTCCCGCAGCTGGTCGTCCCGCCGGAGGTGAAGGAATTACAGCACCTGCTTCCTTGCTACGTTGCTGCTGTGATACGGGCCGTGGAGGAATAGGGGGAGGTACTGCGGAAACGGGCCTAGGGGGTATTGCAGGGGGTATACTGGAGGTACTGGGGTGGTTCGCCTCGAGGGCGTCATATGGGCGTGATGCGCCAGCGAAGGGTGGAGACCCCTGCCAAGTAGTATCGAACCGCTGATAATCGTTCTGGGGTATCGGTGTCTGATGTCCCGTATAGTTTTGAGGCGGGGCGCTGGCACCATAGCTTGGATATCCCTGGTAGTATGGGGAGTGTTGTGGTTGTTCGCCCCAGGATGCAGAGCCTACGTGACTAGGGGAACCACTACTACCAAACGAAGAGTCACCACCAAGGTGCAATTTTTGCTTCAGGCGATTAGCTAGTTGGTCAAATCCAGACATATCCGAGTCTTCAGCTTCGCAATTGCCTTAATCGTAGTCGCCACGATCAGATGTGACGTGACGCTTGTCGTTCGATCGAAGTTCATTTTCGCAAGCAGATTCCCGCCATCGCCCTAGTCCATGCGACACATGGATTCATGAATAGCTGGGTTCTGGTCTTCTTCAGCCTCGTATCTGGTTCAGCTCAGGGTTTCTTCCTCTGGAGAGCATACTGTACTAGCACGACCAACAACCGGTAACGCGTGACGCGAGGGTCTTGGATTGAATTGACAACTGAATTGATTGGCAGCCTCCGGCAACTCCCGAGGCCGTGGGAACTGGTTGTTGGTCGTGCTGGCACAGTTCGGTCTCATAACAAGGATGTTTTGCTGGCATGTACGCCTGCATCAGGACTGGGTCGCTCGGCCTAGACCCGAACTCCGGACACACTTCTGCCAACATCAAGCGGTTTCTCCGGAATTTCCTCTCGTGTTTCATTCAACTTCTGATCTTCTCTCTGATCCAATCTCCCAACACGGGATGGAAACGTGCCCTATAATAATATCGAGCTGAAATAAATTAAATAATCCATTTGAGTCGCAATAAGAATCGCCATACCCAGCACTGAAAGATGGGATCGATTACACTTGACACACACGATTGCGCTAATCGATTCAAGAACAAATCAGACATGGATGGCCAATAAACATCGAAGAAAAAGTTCTATTTCAAGTCGGAGACCCAGTATATCTCTCAACGGACAATCTTAATCAAGGTGAAAATAAGAATAAGTCGCGAAAGTCGTCTCCAAAATTTATTCGGGCATTGCGAATAGTCAGAGGCTTTACCGAACGCGAGTTCTGAGCTGGATCGAATTGTCAGACGAACCCAAAAGACAAGGTATCCACTCGGTATCTCGCCGGAAACTGCTAAGGCCTCAGATCCCTGATGACGATATCCTATTCCCCAGTTGGAACGTGAACGATTGCGTAGGACTCGGTCCTTCAGAAGACATACTTGTACGACGCGTCATAAAACACGGCGGGCAAGGCAAGAATGCAACATGCTTTGTGCAGTGGTCGAATAGCTCTACGAGCTGGGAACGGTGGAGCTTATTGCGCGGAAAGACAGCGCTTTAGACATCTTAGGGGTAAGCAACCTGCGACAAGATAATATACCGATATCAGACATCGCTAAAGGCATAAAAGGCCTAACTCTCGCGACGATATCCCTAGGACCCGTTCACCACTAATTATATCTAGATAATCCCAACTACCGGTGTACGCGCACACGATTACACCGCCCAGGAGGGGCCCCGGGTGCGATAGGGCCTAGGTTCAAAATCGTACTTGAAATGGAGGCTAAAAGACTACGCGGCAGCATGTCGCCACCTAGCTTTGATCGAATCAGGAAATACCGAACCCACAACGGGACCTCGCTTCTGGCAGCCCCGGGTCGAAGTCAACGGCCTGTCCAACGTAATCCTAAACGCAATTGAAAGCCACGCCCTGCACTCTCCTTTCCTCGAGGCACAGGCGATATTGAGTTCAGGAGCGGTGATTAGCGCTGGAAACCGATTCAAACGTCCTCTAGCGCCTCCCACTTCCTTGCCTTTCAGTCTGGATCGACTAGCCCCCAACCCACCGTGGCGCGCCCCATATTCGCCGAGGCGGCCGTGGACGTGGTAGGATCAATGACACGGAGCGGGCCCTATCACAAAACCTCCGCAAATGGCGCATGTACCTCGATCGCGCTAAGGACTGCGTTGGACAGGCCGTTCACTCCCTCCAAGAAGGGGGTCCCGGCCCTGGCTCCGTTGGTCCCGCTTCAATGCGTGCCAGGTGTCTGCATACTGCAGCATAAGCTCTTGTATCCATGCCTGCGACCAGCTGAAATCTTGGTCTCGCGGATGTCGGTCTAGGCCTGGCGGGTATGTGGTTTGCAGTGTGTGTACTCGTCATTGCTGGATGGTGTCCCAAGAGGGGTGCAGAGTGATCTAAGCGTAAGGAGACAGTTCCAAGTGTCAGCCCTCTTAAATCTTCCGCAAGATCCAAGGAGAAATATTATCATGTCTCAGGCCCGTAATATTCACGCCCAAGACATTTAAATAGCTGTCTTTCCACGCAACAAACTGTGCTGTTCGCCCATTTAACCGTTCTCTAGTTTTCAAGTCCGGATGGTCATTTTAGAAATTGACTCGCATTATAAGGTTAGCTATTTCTCCCTTCTTGGAGTGTTTCTTACGCCGACTGTTGAAGCAGGAGGGACGAATTTAGAGCCGTGGACGGTTGGAAGAAGCACACTCACGGAGTGGCTCAAATAGCTTTCCTGGATGAGCATGAATGTAATATGTTTACTCATAACTGCTTTGATTCTTGAGCCCACTGCGGCGACTTCGGTAGACATGGATTGCGGCACGTTTTTCAATGGCATTAATAGGTTAATAGACAGTGGGCAGCGTGTGTCTTAATTCATCACAGACTGCGCGGTTTCGGGACCAGATGCATTGGGGGACACAAGAGAATCTCGCAGGTAGTCGTTTTGTTTGTTTGTTTTATTCTGGATATTTAACCTGCAGAGCTTCAGGAGCGCCAAGGGCAGGGGTCTCGAGAAAAATACATGCAAATAAAGTAAAAATAACAGATAAGTCCGATCTGAGAAAACTCGTCCTTCTTCGTCCGAATGAAACCCAAACCATATTCCCCTGGTGAGTCGTACGCAGGCAGTCGTTCTCTGTCGCTGAAACATTCTAAATGAAAGCTTCATTACGTCTTGGTCGACTTGTGTCGGATGATTCAGAGTTCCCTTTCTGCCAAGCAGCGGACAGGATAAAAGGGGGCTGTAGAGGCGGGCCCCCTGATGTGTGATCAAGTAATGGATATACTCAGTTAGGTAGAGATGTATTCGAGACACTCCAGGGTGTCCCATGATGAAAGAGGTATAGTCCGCGGACATTGAGTCGGGGGTGATGGGCGCCAATGCTGTTCACTCCTGGAAGTGGTTGGGTCATTTGCATCTGGGGCAGCTTCGGTGTCGTGCCATTGGTAGGATAGCGAGCGGTGCCTGCCACACTGTGAATTGTAATGTGTTTATCTCGAGGCTTCAATTCAAATTCGATTTCTGGATTTTGCTCGCCCACAGCGATCTACCACGTACTTCCTCTGTTGTGCGAGCCTTGACATTATATTATACAACTATAGGCATCTCGATCCCCCGTCCTATTATCTTAGTTCACTATGCCGCCGTCAGCTTCTAAGCAAAAGCGAATGGCTGAAAAGGCCGCCAAGGCCAACCTAAAAGCCAAAGGGAGTACCACGACTGGCTCGACGCCTGCTGGCTCAGAGGCGGGGGAAAGTCCTGCGAGCACTCCGATTACCAGCTTATCTGCTAATGCGAGCCAAGAAGACGTGAGAATCACGATGCAAAAATTAGCCATCGCGACGAATCGGTTAGTTATGTCTTGTTTTAAGGGTTGTAACAATAATCGATCTGCCCTGAAGGAGTGCTGCCGGTATCCTAATTTCCGATCCTAAGGGACGAGACATTAAAATTAGCAGTTACACCCTATCCTTTCACGGGCGCCTGTTGTTCGAGGGTGCTGAGATTTCTCTTAACTATGGCCAAAGGTAATCCAGCGAGCATCTGCACGTACGTACTACTCCTCATCACTGTTCTTCCAGATACGGATTACTCGGGGAAAATGGATCTGGGAAATCTACCTTTCTTCATTCGTTGAACGAACGTGACATAGAAATACCAGAACATATCGATGTTTGTACCCTTCTGCGCTCACAGAATCCCTCCTCATATCTCCAATTCCCAGATCCACCTCGTGTCAGCAGAGGCTGCACCGTCGGATGTCAATGCTGTGGACTACATCATAGCTTCTGCAAAGGCTAAGGTAGCCCTCATCGAGAAACAAATAGAAGAATTAAGCGTTGCCGATGATGTGGATGAAGCTATGCTTGAGGCCAAATATGAGGAATTGGATGATCTGGATCCGAACACCTTTGAGGCTAAGGCAGCCAGCATCCTTCACGGGTTAGGGTTTTCACAACAGATGATGGCCAAGCCAACCAAAGACATGTCTGGTGGTTGGCGCATGAGGGTAGCTTTGGCCCGCGCACTTTTTGTCAAACCCCACTTGCTCCTGCTAGGTCCGTTGAATATTTCTGATTTCTATCGCAACCGTTGACTTCAACTCCACAGACGAACCAAGTGGGTGAGACGCAGATCGGAATGTATTCGTGCTACTGACAGCCTTGGACAGCCAACCACTTGGATCTAGGTGCAGTTGTCTGGCTGGAAGCATACCTATCCACCTACAATCATATCTTGGTTGTAAGTTTTCGGTAGTCTCTTCCAGCTGCGAGGCCAGCCATAAATCCTTTTTGCAGATAACCTCACATTCGCAAGATTTTATGGACAACGTCAGTTGATGCTCCTTACGTTGGTGTCCCCATCCTGATCTCATAACTAGGTTTGCACCAATATCATGGAGTTGACACCGAAAAAAAAGGTGCCAATCATGGACGCTACACTCACGATTCATCAGCCTCATGCACTCCCTAGATGACATACTATACAGGGAATTACAGCGTCTACGTGAGAACCAAGGCGGAGAATGAAACGAACCAGATGAAGGCATACCACAAGCAGCAAGAGGAAATTGCGCACATAAAGAGGTAGTTTTGCGGTCGCGCTGTACCACTGAGGCTTCGCTCCAGCTGATAATTTTTCAGATTCATCGCAAGTGCTGGTACTTACGCAAATTTAGTGAAGCAAGCAAAAAGCAAGCAAAAGGTGGGAAATCTCCCATCGTCCAGGCTGGGCTGACTTCCAGCGCACTCTAGATTATTGATAAAATGGAGGCAGCTGGTCTTGTCGAGAAAGTCGAGGTTCCGAAGTCGTTGCGATTCGACTTCGAGGACGTTGCTAAACTGCCGCCTCCCATAATTGCCTTCAATGACGTCGCGTTCTCATACTCAGGCAAGGAGGAAGATTTCCTGTACGAGAATATTTCATTTGGTATAGAGTAAGTTCCACTCCCAAACGACCCCTACAACAATTGCTGATCCATTTTCACGTAGTATGGACTCCCGTATCGCCATTCTGGGAAACAATGGGACAGGCAAATCTACCCTCCTACATCTTATTACCAGTGCGCTTCAGCCAACGAGGGGGTCCATCTCAAAGCACGTCAACCTTAAATTGGCCAAGTATTCACAGCACTCCGCCGACCAGCTGCCTTACGACAAAAGCGCACTCGAATACTTCACAGCGCTTTACAAGGAGAAATACCCGGAGAAGGACGTGATGGTAGGTTGCATTCTTCCGCCTATTCAAACTTTTTTCTCACAAAACGCAGGCATGGCGGCAACAGGTTGGGCGCTTCGGTTTGAGTGGCGCACATCAGACATGTCCCATCAAGCAGCTTTCAGATGGGTTGAGAAACCGGTAAGATCCTCATGCTTTACGCTGACCGGATGATATTGATATTTCACCCAGCGTGGTGTTTGCGCAGCTCGCCATGGAGCATCCGCACATCCTTCTTCTGGGTACAGTTCTGCTGAAGAACATAGCATTCAACGTACTGACCGAGTGCTTCTTAGATGAGCCAACCAACCACTTGGACATGGGATCCATCGATGCCCTGGCAAAAGCAATCAAAGAGTTCTCGGGAGGTGTAGTTATTGTGTCACACGACTTCCGTACGCATGTCTCTGGTTCCCGAGGACTCGTATCTGATGGCAATCTACTCCAGGTTTGATATCTCAAGTGGCCGAAGACCTTTGGGAGGTCAAGGATAAGACAATACGCAGTCTAACACGTGAAGGCATCGACATCAAAGAGTACAAGGCTGGACTGGTCAAACAAAGTTTGTCTATTGTTACCTCTGCGGGTAGACATCTCTGACGATGCTTCATCCTTTAGGTATGAAGATTATCGAGAAGCTCCAGACAAAGAAAGGCTCGTTGGTGTGAACCTCAACCAGTTATGATGACGAACTTTGAGTCTATTTTCCGTGTAAGACGAACTACATAGATACGTCATTAATACATACATGGACCAGTCATCCAGTCAGATCCTTCAAGTTGATAGGTTCTGTACAGTTTCGATGGCGGATAATGCCGAATTAGCGTGGGAAGTACTTTTTTCCTCACATCGACGATAGCGAAAGAAGACATTCCAAGAACCCCGACACGTAAATGTGGGTCTTGGATGTAGTACCTGCATACTCGGGTGAACTGACCCGTCTGCATTATTTAGCTCAGAATGTCTGACGCTGGAGATGACGTTAATCCACCCATTGAGGTTGAAGTTCCCGCAGAGGCCCCGAAAGGGAAGCTCTCAGTTGAGGATGCTCTTAAGGTGGGAATGATATCTTGGCTCATACTGACCATCATGCTAAGACAGTCAAATAGATGGTTCTGAAGAATGCCCTACTTCACGACGGTCTTGCCCGTGGTCTTCGCGAGTGTGCCAAGGCCCTCGACAGGCGTCAGGCCCACCTTTGCGTACTTGTCGAGACTTGCACCGAAGCAGAATACATCAAGCTGATCGAAGCTCTTTGTGCTGAGCACAAGATCAACCTCATCAAGGTTGGAGATGCCAAGGTGCTCGGTACTTGGGCTGGGCTTTGCAAGATAGACCGTGAGGGTAACCCACGCAAAATTGTCCGCACATCATGTGTCGTTGTGACGGATTATGGTGCCGAGAGTGAGGGGATGCATGTTCTTCTGGACTACTTCCGCACGGTTCGTATGCTGTCTATGTTTTGAATCTTTCCTAACTGATGTTCGCCTCAATTAGCGATGAGTATGCTCGCCCGACTGCCATTCATTACTCGAGCAGTTGCGTCATTCGCACTTACGCTGTCCTTCCCCATTTGAAAGATAATGCAATCATCTACCTCAGATATCCCTTCATTGTTCAGTGACTAACGTGCAAGCAGATGAGAGATTTAGTAATGCCACGAGGGCGCCATGTCCAATGTCCCAACTGATTTCTTAATCGCCTTGCAAAATTATGATTAAAGCAGCTACCGACTAATGAATGTCGCACCACGGGTGGTCCTGACTGTTCGTGGGCTCGCATTCAAGGACCTGACCGTTCCTTTTATTTATTCACCACATTTACTGCCATCAAAATGAATATCAACACCTGAGGAAGTACAAGTGCGCTGTCGCTTACTTAATGCCGGTCGTCGGAACTGCCGCGTACAGCCATACACTACAAGATCAATTTTGAGACTGTCAGTGTGTCCACCTGGGATAACATGCTCCCGCCTCAAGGGTGTAGTATCAATGCCATCTAACGCTAGTAATAAATTTCGCGACATGGCTTCATCTCCTGGTCGTCGCCCCTGGTCTCTGCTGGTTGAGTACTCCAAGCTTGTGTCCACACGCGTTTTTCGCCGGCACGTATTGTTAACTCGACCTATATGCTTTCCCAGCCAATCAACCACTCGGCTCTTAGGATGGTCAATGGTTCCTTGCTCCCCGCGTCCCTTCGCTCCTCAGGCAGGCCACTCACTTCCGGTATGATTAGCGCCCTTTCTTTCGCCTTCCCTCGAGGTATCTTGTCGCAACACACTTGTACCCTGGCCCTCAGCCGCCGAACGACATGGAGGCCATGATGGATCTCCTCCATCTTCGGTCAGCTCCGAGGATTTGTGGCGGGTTGTTCGGGATCGGAGTAGCTCCGATCCCAATTGTATCGATCAATCACGCACATCCTATTGCGAGTGGTTGCTGTACGGACTGCGGCCATTCCGGTAACAAGACGTGTACTAGCTCTGGTCTATGGTACACTCTGTGCCCCGCGCGTATTCTCTCAATTAATAATCGCTCAGGGATTGAGGATTTCGCCAATACCTTCATAATGGAAAAGGGCATCGGGCAGTATCCTTCAACATCCCGCTGCTGGATGGCTTAGTGTCCGATGTCCAAAAACTTAAACATAATCACTACCCTGGTGGAGTACTGGATATGCGACAGGGTGTTCCGAACCACGCGTTCGGTGGCGGGCGCGCGCCGCGCGCGCGACTTCCCATATTAGCCCTCACTTTGAGTGTCAGCCTGGCAGGTACCGTAAGAGCTTTGACGCGAGCACACCTCTGCATCCTGTTGGCACGATCGCGTTTGGACTTCGGCTGGCTCCGCTAAACTTATGCCAATGTGAATTCCGCTGGTCCTATTTCTCCTTCACTCAATTGTCCTCTCACCTACCGAGTAACCTAGGGTCCTTCATTCCCCCCATACATACGCTTGCAGCCTCTCCTTTCCCACAAACCACAACCCAAGATCAATGATCAATGATTGCGTTTGACACGCCACATTTTAAATGCCGACTGTTATGACACTCCTCTCGTGATCGGTTTCCGTCCTTCATTTTGTTCTCTCCCCTTCCCGCTCTCTTGATCTTCAAAAATTGGTTACGCCTTCACCTCTCTGACGTCCGCCGGCCTTATCCATCCTTCATCATCTGCACACAATGACTTACTTGCACTTTGTCAGAGCGATTAAAAGTACCATTCACTGAGCATAAACGCCGACATGCTTGGCCTGTTCACTTCACTCCTTGTCATCGCAAAAGAAGATTGCCTGCGTTTGATTGTCTGAAAGTGTATGATCCGCGTTTATCTGGGTCGGACTGTGCTGTCTGAGGTAGCACGCTTGATTAGTCAAAGTTTCTCGCACAAACGGTAACTGAGACCGAAATTAATTATGGGCAGATGATGACCTATCTCCGGGACCTGCACCACTATTCTAACGGCACACTATAGCAGATAAAATTTGATGTTCAGAATTCAGCGAGCTATCTCTGTCGACTCTCCTTGTCAGATGCATGGCTCCAGATACACCGTGGGGGGGGGGGTCTATTATCCAAGGACATGAGATGTAGAACCGAGTGAAAAATGCCATTTTGGATCTCAGAACAGATTACAAAGGGAAGACCGGCCAGCAGTTATTCGGACTAGCTACTTGCACAATTTCATACCTCACATACCCAGAGAGCGCTTTCAACCCTTCGAAGACCTGTCTAGGGATAATTATCAAGCAACAACGGGAACGTTTGTCCAGTCTTTCATTCCCACTGGCATTCAATATTTACGCCGCCGAGTCCTCTGCAACTTGGATCAGTGGCGACTTACCATGCTCGCTGAGGGGCAAGATTGCTCTTGCCATTCAGGTGGGGTTCATACCAAGCATTGTCCAAAGTCCAAAGTTTGCAGTGAATGATTTGTGAGTCCTCCTGTGGCAGTCTGACTGTTTGTGTTTTGTTCACATCGTCAGCGGTAACACGGCCACTGTTTGGATTCCCGTGCTACGCGGCCGTTAATTTACCTTGCATCCCGCGACGCTTCGGGATCGGTAAGCATTCTCCTATTATTATCTCCCAGCGAGGGGCATAGCTTTATGCTTGCCTACTCCGTCACATCACGCGGGTCATCTGAACGGCTAGATGAGGTTTATAGCGCCATGACCGATGACAAACAACTGTAGACGTACCCAGCCCTGGAATTATCATCGTCAGCAACAGGATCGATGTCGAAGACGAATGCGTTGTCTCCACGCAGGAGGGAGAGCGGTTGGCACGAGGCTGGGGGTGTGTATTATGCAAACCAGCGCCTTCCGTATCGACGAGCCGTCCTGCGAACTCATTCAACAGTGCCGGAAGGCAGGACCTATGACTGGTCTGCCACCCCAATTCTATGGCCCTGCGATACGGCTCCAGATGCGCTGTCCACTACGACATTACCCCTCTGCAGCCCACCGCCAAGAGGGATAAGGAAGGGGGGGATCGGTCTGCTGGCTGCATTATTATGTGACACCCATGAATGCCTTGATTTCACATACAAGCATTATTATTCCTGCCCCATTCACTATATACACACCTATCTTGATTCTGGCACAAACAATCTTCCCCTTCATTTTTCGGGTGCGCGTGCGCCCACCTGAATTCAGAATTAACGAAGCGCTCGGAAGATGTATTCACACCACTAGATGCTGCTCGGAACCAGAACTGGAGCGAACAGTGCGTCTCCTTGCTGGCATTGAACCACGTATTAATATTGGTGGCATCAGGTACCAGCCTCTAGGAGCAATATCTGCTGCGGCGGGATCCGGATGGATGGATGGATGGATGGATGTATTCATTTTAAAGTACGTAACCGTGCCTATCGGCATATGCCGTACTATAGTGACTCGGGTGAAAAAAGTTTGGAGAACATAAGGATGTGAAGAAAGGAATTTGTGTGACCTAGGAAGTATGAGACATCGAGTAATCAATGGTGTGAAGGAGAATAAAGTGAGATGAAGCAATAACACATAAAGGGGCATGCGACCCCTGCACTGAGATTGAACAACGGGTGAGGGAGAATGGAGGTGGGAAGAGGTTGTATAGAGCCAAAGAAAAGGACACACGACCCCCAGTGTTGGGGTCGCATGTTTTGCTGCTGTGTGCCTATGGTTAAGTCAATGTTTGAGTGCGCGGTTCTTGCGGGTGGGTGAGTTGGAGGGTGCTTTCACGGGTTTATGTCACGGTAGGCTGGTGAATGTTCCAGTGGCAGCGAAAGGCGATGGGTGTTGGTGGCATCTTGCTCATGCTTGTTGAATAAAGGCATGTGGCAGATAGGCCTTTGGTAGAAGGGGTAGTGGAGAGAAATGAAAGTGTTGGGGTGACGGCAGGACTTGAACCTGCATTCCTTGCAGTCAACTTTTTGTCGGCATATGGGGCTATCGTTGGCGCTACCACTATCGCGCCTCGTCACTAAGAGGTAGTGGAGAGAAAGATGAATCGGAAGGGTGTTGGGGTGATGGCAGGACTTGAACCTGCACTCCTCTGGCCTGCCCATGGACTTATGGAGGCTACCATTGGCGCTACCACTATTGCACCTCACCAACCCAAAAGGTAGTGGAGAAGAGAAAAAGAAGGAAGGGTTGGGGTGACGGTGGGACTTGAACCCACAGTCCTCTGGCCAGTCCCGTCTGGGCTTACGGAGGTCACCATTGGCGTTGCCACTATCGCGCTCGTCATCCCAAAAAGGTAGTGGTGAGAAGAAAAAGGATGGGTTGGCTTGACGGCGGGACATGCACCCGCGCTCTTGCATCTCTCCAGCCAGTGCGGCTCTGGGCTTACGGGGTTGCGGTTGATTGGCATTACCACGGTGGCCACGTCATCCTCCCTTCAGATGTTAGAGGCCTAATTAGTTTTAAACAGGGGCACCGCGTGAAGGTTTAGGCCCGTGCCGGGTGTTCGCTGTAGTAGCAGAACTCCCCCTCGACTGACATCCATCGTCGAGGCCCAGGGATCCGGATCCGTGTCAGTCTAAGGCGTCAGCCATGCACGTGGTTCATCGTAATCGTACTCGGACAGGATGTCTTTTTGGGTGATGGTCGATGCCTCTCGTGGACCCGTCCCATTACCCAATGAATCTTTCTACACTTTCATTCCCAGCGCGGATGTGACAGTAAAGTTGCGTCCCGAAGTATCAGGTGGCACCGCCCACACTTTGCGCCAAACCGGGACGATACATATCTCTAACCAAAGAGTGAAGAGTCATGCTTTCCGTCCCTATCTCATATCTCATTCTTCCCGTTAATAGCTCGTCTTCATTGCCGACAAGGCGACCCCCCAACCTGAGTCATCTCTCGATACCATATCTATTCCACCGCTTGCCATCACCTCAACCTCCTTTTTGCAGCCATGGTTTTCCGCCAATTACCTCAATCTGACACTCGGAAGACCAGTAGAAGGGGGTGGAATAACATCTGGTAGTACTATTGAGGTTCGACTCAATGATAGGGGTCTGTTTCAGTTTGTTGAGATTGTTGAGAGGATGCGTGCGCAGGCCGTTCAGAGGATACAAGCCCAAATCGAGCATAATACTCTCCGTGAGTTTCTCTGAGGATAGTTCTTACCTCAACAAAATGAATGTTCTTTCCAGCGCCCTACGTTGAACCCTCAGTGATTCAAGATGCCCCTAATCTACCTCCCTCATCTTCCACTGGTCCAACCAACGAGCTACCTCCCGCATACGAACTATAGAAGGTACACAGTCTCCAGGACTAGGGAGGACACAATTTATAAGTTTCCGCTATTAGTTGGCATACCTTCGTTGGGTGGTGCTGGCCATCCGCCGCGCATGTCCCTAATTCAGCGTCTAGCTATTCTTGTTCATAGTATTTTCTGTGAAGTTGGCGTCCGTGATGATTTTGAATAATTTTCTCTCGGCAGAACGGAAGCTTCGGACATTTGGCTCAGAAATACTCTCCTCTCTTTTGGCGTCGTGCTGGTTCCCCCAGTTTATGCTATTTGCCATCTTTCTGATTTCAGGGTCGAATTATCGCATTGCCATTTTTCGCAAGATATGGGGATCGTGTTGTACCTCTCCCAGCCTTCCCGATAGTGATATTTGTTTCAACGTCGGTGTTACTGGGGGGAAGAAAGTTAAGATCGCGATTTTTGGGGTGCGTTTGTTTCTTCGCCCCTCTACCCATCTCCTTAAATAACGCTCGAAGCAGATCTCTGTACACTTTCACGAGCACTTACACACTCCTCAAGCAGTGAACGCTCCGGTGTTCGACGGCCGTGGTGGGCTCACCAGCCCACCAGCACCACAGGATATACTGTCCGACCAAGTGATTAATTCTGTTTTGGAGTACATATTTCTAGCAATGTCGCTGGAGCTGGTCATGAAGCGACTTTATGGGCACAGTTCATTAAAATATCAAGACCGCTCGCGACGTGTTCGCATATGGCACGATTGAAGCTGATGATTAGCTTATCGGTTGGGCTTCTAATAGTTCCCTCATCAGCAAAGATAATACAGGCGTGGATTTATTCTAAGAATCATAACCGTCTATAGCTCGAACGAGATACCCAAAAGACTTCTAAACAATAACATGTGCGGTCGGCGGGTTTGGTGGCGACAGAGAAGTGATCACTCGGCCCCAAAGCACCCCCGCCGATAATTATAAGAACGAGGCAGCATTGAAGGCACGACCTGTGTCTTGCGCCGATTCCTTCAGGTTGCGATATCGAAAGCCAGGGAAGAGGCGGAGGGACTTGGAGTTGGAATATCGGATGTCATCTTTATAATATTGACCATAAGTGCCTTTATTGGGAATGTGTGGAACACCGGCATCGTGCATGGCATCGACTATGAAGTGAGTTGATGCTGAGTTATTTCGTCAGCGGCGGTAGCGTCGTAAATCACGTACGCATTTCTTGCCACGAGAAGGATTCTAATTCATGGCGTAACCACAGAATGAGTCTCTCGTTCATCTAAGAGGGAGATCAGGCGTACCAGAGGTGAAAATGACGCGTTCGCCACCAGCGGCTTGAGTTTCGAGGGAAAGAACGTGGAGGAGTGCAGAGTCTCGAACGTCCACGAAATCTCCGACGAGCTCGCCACTGTCATCGCCAGTAGCCAGTACATCATAGAGGATTTGCAAAGATGATGACAAATGATCGGCACTGGGTATCTGGGATGAATGATTCAGCCCAAGCTGAGTTGCTTCTGGGTAGTAGGAACGTACATTGTTAATGAAAGGCTATTGAAAGGAAGAGACACGTCAGAAGGACAAAAGGCGAAACTCGGGACTGCAAGGCTCACCCCCCAATTCCAAGTGGACAAAGCGGAGACGAAGTCGAAACTAGGTCTTTTCTCTTCCATCCACTTCCACGCAGCCTGCTCAGCGAGAAGCTTACTGGCCACGTATACTGCGTATGGGTTGGATCTCCTTCCATTCTCGCGGACGTGAGCGGCGACGTATTCATTGTATATCCTCTCATCAAAAACAACAGGAGGAATTGCGCCGCCAGAATATACGGCCATGGCAGTTGAGGAAAAGATGATGCGCCTAATGTTAGCACTGCTCGCAAGGCATATTAGGCACAGGTTCCATACTCATTAGGCACTCAAAACGCACCCGTATTTGGAGGCGCTCTCCAGCAACCCGATAGTGCCTCTTATGGCCGGACCCAAGATCTCTGAATGGGGTGCCAATGTCGGCCAGATCCACACATTGGAACCAATAGTTACACGCACCCTTGTGATCTTTGAATGTGAACCGAACCGGAGTAGCACAATGTACGATACCCTCGACGTGACGGACGGCCTCATCGAATGCCCCTGCCTGGCATGAAAGTAAATATCATAAAGGTTGCAAGAATAATAGAATAACGACTTACCTTCTGGATGTCGGGTATGATGGTGTATTCAACTTTTCCCTTGTACGAAGGGAATCGTCTAACCAAAAACTCGCCCTCCTCTTTATAGCGCGTACTATAAAGGGGGTTAAGGACGAAAACTGCCGAGAAGGAATGCTTACGTTGCCAGTACTGAATAACCTCGATCCACAAGGACCTTCACAACCCATGCACTGATATTTGTCGATCAGCACCTTGGGATCCTGCTGCATGATCCAGATATACACTTACCCTACATACCCTACAGGAGGAGAGTGTAAATAAAGGGACAGACACAAGGAATGTCAATACCCACCTGAAGCACCAGTGACGAGGATCTTCGCGGGGGCCGAGATAGCAGGCATGCTGATGTGAATATGGGGGAATGGGATGTGAACAAAATAGTTGAAGAAGGGCAAGTATGGAAGGAGTACAGAACATAACCTCTTGACTTGGTTTTATACGCCTCGGGGCACTAGTGCCTCCGTGGCGTCAAGGGCCCGTAGTCAAGATAAATTTCATCCTCAGCGCGAAAAAACCGGAGATGCAAGCAATTGATGGGAAAGCTAAGTCCAAACACCACACCGCATAAAGTAACAGATGGAGCAAGAACATGCACTACCAGTGTTGTGCGTTACGATCCGCAGCTGACCTGTACGTCGTCCAGGGACTCGGAGGGTCGACGAGCAGCAACTAGCGTGGGAAACCGCAAGACCAATTGCGATACATTTCGGCCATGTCATTTCCGAAACCAATGGGAAGATAAAAGCAGCGTACGACATGCGGTGCCCATTCGCCTTACGTTGGGATACGAGGCTTTTAAAGCGTGCTCCGAGAATGTGATTTATGGTTGAACCTGAGAGGCTGTCGGTGGAACAAGCTTTATATATATACGTACACCGGGACGGGATCGCTCATTAATCAATATAGAGTTGTATCCAGCCTCTCAAAGTCTGGAAAGGGGGGCATTACGAACCAAGAGGTGACCCCAGTCGGAACATTGGTGGTAAAGAAATTCCGATTTCTGGGCGGTTAGCCGCGTATGTGCATGAGAAGTCGGCACATAGGGAGTATTCTAATCAAATTCCGACCAGGATGTACTGTGTCATGTAATATGTACTGGTACTATGTGACATTATGGGTGATGGGAAAGTGAAGCTTACTTGATATTGATATTGTTGTCGGGGTTCCACATGCTCTTCAAGTGCGTCAACTCAGAAGGAGCATGGTATCACCATGTCGAACGGTCATTAAAGCCTGGCCTACATCGTAATCTGAATGAACGTTACTGTATCGTCGGCAAAGCGTTACGGACGGGCGGATCACAATTTATTACAACATGAAGGTCTGGACTCAACGAGCCTGATAGTAAGGAACCTTGATGTAGTGGTAGCATATTAGTCTTCGGTAGATGACTGATAACTAAGTGTCGTCGGTTCGATCCCGGCAGGTTCCTCGCTTTTTTTTTTTGTTCAACGGAATTATCATTATCCTTTTCGCTGGCACGATGACATGCACATGAATTGCCTTTTGTCTCTTCAAATGCCGCATCAATCAGGTAGAAGTGAGGCGAGAAACACAACAGAGTTCTTATGATACATCTGCTGTAACTTGCAAACCAGGATCGATCACGAAATGCTCCACCCCGTATAAAGCAGCAACCGAGGCAGTTGCGCCACTGAGAAGCAAGGATAAAGGTGTCCGAGGCACAGGGACCTCTGGTGGATAGAAGTGTGAGCGCATCCGATTCAAGAGAAGATATGTTAATGACCAAGCTATGGCATCGAGAAGTTTGGTGAACAACGAGCGAGATGCAGAACCACATAATTGTTACCCAGAGGGGCAGTGAAACCGAAAGGGGCTTACCGGTAGCTACACCACTTCCGTTCCGTACATCACCTGTGTTAACGATGTAACCCGCCCCGGCAAAGACAAAGCCGAAAGAAAACCGCTGGACAAATGGGGGGAGAGAAGGATGTTTAGGCGAAAGCAATGACGTTCCAATCACTAAGCACGGAGACATGTAAGAGGACCGAAGACTGCGTGAACTTGGGTACGCACACAAGCCGCTCAAGCCAATTGCTGGCCATCTGTTGTAAAAATCGCATGAGCGGCTCCACAAAGAATGGAAGAACTCACGGTGTCGATGCTAGCCCATGGAGGACGCCAAGCGCTTTGGTTTCCCCGACGCTAGTCTCAACAGAAGTTTTCTCAACCATTATTCACACTTTAAAAAGCGCGTGATTCCGGGAATTCAACGGATCCGAGCCTAAAGTTCCCACGTTCCATGCCCCCACCAAATCCAAATCACAGACTTCGCTGAGCCTTACAGCAGAGCTTTGGGAGAGAGGAGGTTAGTCTTTTTGTATTCCCCAAGCCCACGGCCCCCAATTATTTTATTGTCTTTCCTCCAGCTTTAATAGTCGTTATGCCTGCAGTTCCTGGCCCGCGAGGGGATCCCTCCTTTGGCGATTCCAGAAGTCCATTTTCCGAAAAATCCCTGCGAGCTTATGTGAGGGCGTCGAAATCATTTGACAACTTAATTGCGCTCGCAAATGATCGAGAGCGATGGGACAATATGAAAGCCGGCGCTAAGAAAGTCATGTGGAGAGATGTTGGGGAACCACCAATACCAATCGACAATTTCCAGGAATGCCTTGAGCATGCTCTGAGGGGTGGCATAAGTGAGTTTTTCCTGTAACATATCTTGTAATGGATGCACTGAAATTCATGTTTCGGTCAGGAGCCGGCCTTCTGGCAGGCGCTATCCGCGCAGGCGTGAATATTTTCCTCCTGCTTTTCAAAATATTGCGGAAACCCAAGTGAGTGATTTTATGCCCTGTGTATTTCATTGCCTTTTAAATGATGTTGACTCAAAGGTCGTTTCGCACACCATTGGTCCTTCGGGCTCTATTTGGCACTGACACCCTGCGTTTCGGCGCAATGCTTGCGTCTTTCGCTTTCATTTACAAGTTCATTCTTAATGCTCTTCCCCTCACCCCTGTTCCTGACCGGCTCGTCATCCTCCGGTCTAAGAAAAAATTACTCGATATGGAAGCCACCCTTGAGACCCCGGACGACAATCTCAGCACAGGCCAGCAGACGCCTCTCACTATCCATTCAAAAAAGCATCCGGAATCCAAGAGAGGTCATCTAAGTCTTCACAGCGAGATAGTGTATTCAAGATTAGATGGCGCAAGGTGGCACGCCGTGCTTGCCGGCGCTTTGGCTGGGCTGAGCGTTCTATGGGAAAAGAAATCACGGAGGATAACGATCGCCCAGCAGATTTTCGTCCGGTTCGTATCCAGTTTGCTCTCGTTCTCTATGTGTTTCATTTTTTCCGGGTGCCACCAGCGGTCTTCAAGGGGTTTGGAATGCTTGGAGCCCACGGCTGGGCATTGAAATGCCTTTCGGCCCGGTGATAGTATTTTCTCTTGCGTAAGCTGATCCTTGCCTTCATTTTCGTGGCACTGAGATGATATTTACAGCTGTGGACAAATTATGTATGCTTTCCTTCTTCGACCGGAAACCATACCACAGTCGTATAATGACTGGTACGCAGCTGAAGCGGCCTTTGATCGTACTGGCACTCATCGTTCCAGCAGGATATTGAGAGCATCGAAAGTATGGCCAGAAACAATGGAAATAAACCGTGAACTCGTTCGGAATGGTAAATTTGATCTTCCTAAATTCAAGACTCTCTTGAGCCGACCAGTGCGTTTCCCTTTCCTGTACCATTTTTTCCTTTCTCAAGGCATTTCTCTACAAGGGTAATACTAAACGGAACCAAGAGGCTCTCAATAATATATGGGAACATGCAGTGAAAGGCGATTTCATGGGACGTCAGAATGGCACATGCCAGATGATCCATCCTTGGCTCGATAGTTGCATCCGGGTTGAGATAGAGCGCTTCGTGTCCGTGTGGACATGGATGTTCCCCATATACGGTGCTCTTCATTTCATTCCAATGATCTTGTTCAAGCGAAGACTTTTCATGAAAGAACCACTCGCTATGCTGCTGAAGAGCCTGAAAGGGACGATGCGAAGCTCTACTTTCCTAGGGATCTTCGTAAATATTTATCAATGTAGGTCATCCTGTTTGCCCCGTGCCATCCACTTACAGCCCCGTACCTTATATTAGCGATATTATGTGCAAAGAATAAGCTATATGACTCACAATGGGCTGCAAACAATCTGAGCCCTCAGATGCGTTCCGTCCTGATATCTCGCTTTTCATTCTGGCTCCTTGGTGCAATGTGTGCCCTGGCTCTTTTCATCGAGGAATCGCGGCGACGTGCCGAGTTGGCAATGTATGTTCTTCCCAAAGGGCTTGAAAGCGCATGGAGTATGATGCGCAACCGTGGATATGTCCCATTTATACCCTGGGGAGAGAGTGTTGTGCGTGTATTGTGTTTCTCGATTTGATTCACTGATAAAGTTGTGATACCCAGCTGAGCGCTGTCGCCATGGGCATGGTAATGGTATGGCATCGTCTGTATCAATTCTTCTGTAACTAACACGATTCCCTGCATTTGCACTAGAGCACTTATCAGGCAAGCAATATTTTTCTTGAAGTGTGTTTGCATGTGCCGAGCACCATTCCCTTAGAATGATCCCCACCATCTCTCTGGACTTGTTCGCCGCGTTCTCTATCAGTTCATTGGCCCAAATTAGATCGCCTCCCGCCCCATAAACATTGACAGTCGTACACTCCCGTGATTCTCAACCACATTATTGCTCCATGCGCACGGAACCCGAGGGTGCGGCAATGGGTAACGGCGTAGCTATTCTTATTGCTTAGTCTTCGTTTCCGCTTAATTCATTGGTAGATTATGGCGGTAATTAGTCCGTCTAGGTGCTGATGGACGACTTCGAGGTTCCGAGTCGAAAGTCATCTTTGAACATTTTTTTGCTCTTCTGATCGCATGATATGTATGGTAGACATTCACGGTCGTCCCAGTTCCGTGCTGCGGAATTGCCGCTTGAGGATGGATTAATGTGAGATATGTAGGCCGTGATCCACTCGTTTCAGGAAGTCAGGCATTATCGTTGATTCCTATTCCGTCGTTCACCCTGGGCCATGATTCTGGCCAACTCACCTTGGGCTGTTGAGTGTTCAGGGGGTTGCATGGCTGATGTAGGGATCTTAACGTCGGCAGAGGCCGGCGATTGAGTTCAAGGTGGTTGACGAAATCGTAAGACAATCAGAAAGTCGCTGAACCAAGGGCCGAACTCGATATTACACAAAGGGGTGTGAATACAAAAATCTCTGCTCCTACTATCTACAAAGTGTCTCTGCTTTTATACCGTTCTGGGGACGTTTATGTAAGCGTCTATAAAAGCTGAAACCCTTGTAGATAGTAAAAGTAGAGATCTTGTATTTACACCCCTTGTGTAATATCGAGTTCGACCCTTCAGCGACTTTCTGATTGCCTCAAGTCTCTCAACCACCTGAACTCAATCGCCGGCCTCTGCCGACGTTAAGCTCTCTCACAGCTGAGCTTACGATGGGTCAGCGACAGATTGCCGTTTGGATTGACTCTCCAAGTAGGTCGTTCGGGTCGCAGGTAGGCAATGGTAGGCACCTACATCGCAGCACCCATTAGGCCATGCACCGAAAGAGGACATTCCATTCCGGATCCGATCCTATGACGGCATGCACTGCGAAACCCCATACACGGCTTTCCCTTCCCGCCTTCCATTACTAGAGTGCGTGCTTCGCATCGCGAATACCTGCACGCCATGGGATACCTATGGGCAAATGTTGAGAGGAAGCCTTCCTCCTTTGAATGCGAACGTGACGTTATCAAGAGGACGGGGAACGTGTAAAGGACGAAACGTGAGTGGCAATTGATGGGATCGCTACGAAGTAAGTCACATGAGACTAAAAGGTTGAGAAGGAATACGTCATCAAAGTGACACGATTTACGCAATATCGGTCACTATGAAAGGGTTTGTGACACTCTGTCTTGACGGGAACCATTTTCTTCTTATCCCATAAGCTGCAGTGTCCAGAAGACCATTGCCCCTCGGTGACTGGGCAAACGCGTTGCTGCGCATGGAGCACATGGATTGATCGGACATTGGGCCTCAGGCTCACTGTGCCATCTACCGCCCCTGTATCACTAAAAGTCTTGCGAAGCTTTTCAAAGTGCTCCAACGCAAATTCCCTTTGTGCTGACGAATTTCAGCTATTCCCACCTCTCCTGAGCTCGGCTGTTCCCAAATTTCAGAGGCAGCACAGGAGGACTCCTGATGTTCTAGCAGATGCAACGCCTCTCTTTATGTATTGGATGACTGTTATTAGTAACCTGAGACGTGATAATCCTTAACTCCAGGATATCTGCTTTCACATCAGTGGGCGAGAAGTGCTAATCCCAGGTCGCACTGATGAACCGGGGGACTGAATAGCCTTTGCTGCTGTTGCCCAATTCAACTATGTCAGGCATGGTTGACCCATATCCATGCCATTGGAGACCATTACTTTAGCTGGGCTGCATTATTTAAAAGCCAAATTGTCGACAAGAACTGATGTTGAAGGCCAGAGAAGCCCTGAACTAGCAAACATTAGTCAGCCCTCTGGAACATCTGAGTCCTATTGGTCACTGTTACCACTCCATGCGTCTTACAGCGTACAATTTTATGTCACCACGCAGACTCTTAGATCCGCTGCGTACTGCATAATATTCCAATAATACTCTCCTGATGCTTCATCGCACCCTTAAAAAAGATTGAGAGTAGCAATTCGGACACCCCCCCAGACACAAGGACACCTGACTGTCAACCTCACCACGCCGCAGAATCTTGTCGTCTCTTGGATCCCTGCTATACGTGGATGATGCGCACTCAGCTTAGCGTTCTTATTTTGCCCCTGGTTTTGATCCTTGTGCCGTGCGTTTATGCAGCCTTTCTAAGTGTCGATCGTCGTGCCCGCCCCTCCGCGCGTCCGTCAGACTACCCCGATCTTCTTAATACGAATTCTAAGAGACTCGCCGCTGGCCTCCCTCCGTTGCCCCCTATCAGAAAGTGGTCTCAGAATGATATGACTGGTATGTCAGCGCAGCAAATACATACACAGATTGACCTTATATGGTTCCACCGCCCCTCTTTTAGCTGCGAAGAGATCTTTGCCCTCCCATTCCATGTGCGATCTGATCTTATGCATTAGTCGACTAACGCCTCACCCCCTCCGCCAGTGCTCGAAGGGGGACCGTGAGGGACTTCATCGGAACAATCAAGGTGACTAACCCAGCCACCGGCAGCACCTTGGGATTTCTTGGAAAGAGTCTCGTTGATGACCAGTGAGTTCGGGCGCCCTTGGAATTCAAGTCCAAAATTCGATGGTGTTGGGGCCACCTTAGTTATAGACTTTCAACGCAGTCACAAGCCGCAGTTTTCTCATTTCGTGCAGAGTCGACCGAAACTTCCTATATGCTCCTCATTCGGGACATGGTCTGCAACTTTTCTACGCGATCACCTCAAATATTACTGACTTTGCTGCCCCCGCGAACGCTGATGCATGTGTTTTAGGATGGTGCCCCTTCAGAGACATACTTGGAAGCCTGCATTAACAACAGTCGGAATCTCAGGTCTGACCCACCAAATACTGCGGTCCTCACAAATTCTGCTGCTAGTGCGTCTTCCGCTTTTTTCACAATGAGCCCTTAGCTTATATTTATGAAGTGACCCCGTCAGCCCACCCTGGTGACTCTCCGGAATCTTTTCTGGACGCCTTAGTGGGGGATGCATGTGAATCCGCGATTTGGGGTTACGACCCATCATCGATGGCTGTCACCCCGCAATGGGTTAATTATAATTTAGGTACGTCTTCTAAACACATCAAATGCTCGTTAACTGAGTACTATGTTGCTGTGTCGAAAGACGTCCCCCCATCTTGGGTCATGTATGACTCAACCAAGGACATATTCTTCATTGTGGTGAATCCCCCCAGGTATATGATGTCAAATCCTTCAGCTCAGGTAGTTGTGAGTGAATAGTCCTCCCTGGATCAATTCCCCCGACAGAGGATGATACTGTGGAATTTTTCTAGGTCCTCACGTTAGTTAATGACCACTGAGACTCGTGTTCTTCCGTGAAAGGGGCCTGGTCATAATTTACGCTGTTGGACGCTTAAATTTGGTGCGATTACCCCTGCGGCAGCTGTCTTTTAAGCTTTGACTGCTTGAGGCTATATGATTCAAACTGCTCGGTACAGTAGCTACCGGTCCCTTCTATGATAGGTCTTTTGGCACATTCATTTTAGGCAGATGAGTCAACATGTCACTCATTCCTTCCCAGCTTTCTGGCCAGCGTTTAAATGCTAGGACCCTTTTCAGAGCGAATAACGATTCAGTTGAAATATTTTCCCGGTGAAACCCCGATAGTTTTCATGGTGTGCGCAGCTCAGACGTTTTTTTATGAGAGAAGCTGATGGGTCTCGGCCATTTCTCGAAAAAGGAACAGATGGGCTCACCTGCGGTTGATCTTCGAACTAAAACATTTTCTTTGGGACTTAGCTTGGACGCGTAGGCATGCACACCATGCTGCGCACCCTAGCCTCATGGGTCCCACAAGGCTTTAGAACCCTCGAAAGCTTGATGGGTCCAACTGTCCTACGTGCTTCTGTACAACAGCACTCCGACAATGACCCCAGATCCCAGACCACAGAAGCGGCGATGATAGCACATGCACAGATCCGGCTACAGGTCAGATTAAGACCAAGGGGCTTCACGCATCGGCAACGTGGCTGTTGTGCACTATTCTAGTATAGTGCACTGTATTTCCATGTCAACGTGTTTGAGAATTGACGTAAATCCTTTGTTGTGGACACTTCTTGTCGAGCTAATGGCCAGTTTCATCTCGTTACATGTGAATGGGTCTAGATGTCGTCTGTACGACATCGGAGCTCACATTTGCTGTTGGATGACTATTACGTACCTCAGTTTAGGTGATATAGCTTATCTACTTTACGTCCCCAGAACAATTTCAGAACGCTTATGTAACCGGGTGCACTTGTCACTAACCGAACGGCGCGAGGTGGCCATATGCAAGGTGCCCTTACAGAGTCGCAATATATAATACTTGGGGGAGTGAGACATTGTTGGAGAAAGAAAAAGTGGATCATTGGGGAATAGAAGGAATGCCAGTATGACAAGCCAGCCTGCTAAGTTAACGCGGAGTGCTTAAGAAGCCATTGGCACCCGAGGAGGATATGACATGCTTTCGTTCAAAGGGTTGGGACCTGCTAAATAGGGATATAGCAGGCTATGAGTCGCACGCAAGAAAATTGATTCCCACACATGTCAACTAGAGAACAGAAACACGTGCAGGATCCTTGGCGTTCCGCTCTTCGTGATACCACTGTTACACAATATTGCCGAGAGATCAAGATCGGCTGACCTTGAGCTGATGTAACTATCCATCAGTGCCCGTGTTAAAACAATTCAACGAGAGAAGTGTAGAACAGGACAGGAATACTACCCACCGATCTTGAGCACTAGTAGTGCCGAAAAAGCCAATTGTTTAGATTTCTGGCAGCCCAGTGACCTTTGTCCTTGCTTAGCCCTGACCAGGTCGGCTTTTATGTCTTACCTTAGCTCGAGTTGGCCGAATTTATTCGTCTAGTCGTCTAGACCGTTGTACCGCTACCAGTAGCGCTCATAAGCAGCTAAATAAACACCTTCTATACGAGAAACTCGCACGATGCACACAAGCTAGGGGGCGCCACGCTCACTCGCAGTTCGCAATCCCTCACGCCTCTAAGCTAGCAGAAGAGGAGGCAAATCTCTTGCGAGCCTCCTTGCATGCATCCTCACGTTGGTCTTCCCATACACGGAATCCCGAAGCTGAGTCGCAATACTGCATAGTAATTTTGTGCCCCACAAAGGAAGGGAAAAAAACGACGGGAGTGATGATGTCGAAAACAGAAAAGACGAGGATGTCGTCTTGTCATATCCGGAGCGGACCGAACGGATACACAATTCATGATCTTGCCGCATGGTGATCTACCCATGCAGTCGCCCGTAAAGGAATCGTCGCCCAGCAGAGAAACACAACACTCAAGTAATTTCCTTCGCCACGGTACATTTCCGTACGTTCCCAGTCCTACCGGTGCTGAGTCGGCGGTTGGACAACTGTTGCATGCGGATCCCGACACATGCGACTCCATGCTCCTGAGGTACCGTCCCACAACGCCACGCATGTGGTTGTGCCGCTTCCATATGGACGTAATGTATCCCAGTTTCGCGGGTTGGGCTCTCAGCAGGGTTTGAAGTAAAAGTTCGATCCAAAAATCTGTAAGGAGAGAATTTCCTGAAGGCAAATCAGTTTGGCCAGTTTCCCTGTGAACTCGAGTGTAACCAAAATTATTTTCCTGTGAACGTTTTCTTGTTTCCGCGGGAAAACGTCCAGTTGAACTTATGTAAACACTGGGTGGTACGTAAGCAATAACAAATTACCGAAAAAAGGGACCTGGCTCTTGCCTTATAAGGGAGTCCGCTGGCACAAGTTTGACATCGAGTTCCTTGTTGAGGGGAGGTCTTGTTTCTTGCCTTCGACCCCCCGGTGCTGGTTCTCCCCCTTAACGAAGTACTGAATGACCCAAAAGGCAACAATTTGGTGCTGAAATCTTAGGTTAGATGGGCAAACCCAAGATACCATTTTATATTGTTGGGGTCACGGGTAATAGGTGCAAATTAGATGCGTTGATTTTTTTGCACCCTTGCTGCAATCGTGCCCGTCCTGGCATTTTCCGCCTCTACGGGAATTGCGCGTCTGAAGTGATAGTTAGAGTGTTCCAGCGAATCGTGTTGGCGGACGACCCACTCAACTTGCAATCTGGCCACACTGGCGTTAGCAGATGAAACATCTTGCCTTGTCGTGCTTAGGTTTACATCTTGTTGACTAACTCATGTAAACGTAAGTGTCACAAATGGCAAAGATAGCGGCATGCGAATCGCATTGATAGGGTGTTTGTTCTAACAATGTTGCTCCATGATAAGAAGAATGCAGATCCAAAAATGGTTATTGCCCCAGCATAAGGTGAGGCAATAACGCCGGAACGAGGCTCCTGATGCGCTAAAAAAACGCAAGGATGTTGCCGTGATCGAACTCCGGACATAACACGTAAAGAGATGAGGGAAAAAGGGAAAAGGGAAAAACTCGCAATGATAGTAAGCTCCAAGTCCCAGGATGCAATTAAAGTGAAGTTTCTTGTGGGAAGTGAAAGAAAGCAATATGAATGCATGGGAACCCATGCATCATCTCGACTTACAGAACCCTTAAGTAGCCGTAACGAAAAGCCATGGAAGGCAGTCCAAGTGAAGTGTAAGCAGAAGATAAATAAAACCATATATATGATAAACGAAGGGCAGGCGCAGCAATAAATGCGCCGGCCAACATGCTACATTAATGCAGCAGCAGGCCATTAGAGTCCATGATTCGGCTATAATTAATTGACATTGATCAACCGATTGGAGCAACTGGAGTAAAGACAAGTTGAGTAACAAAAGCACAGACATGGACAAATAGCTGCCCGCTTACATTCCACGGTTTGGGATCCAGGATGATTAAGGATTACTGCAGATGGATTGGCAGTAAGATACAGCGTCTGTCCAACAGGGTCCCACACGGCGGAGATTGGTGGTTGGCCTGTATGGTGATGTGTTAAATCAGTATAGGTTTAAAGACCCTCAAACCGGACAGGGAGGCTAGGGGAACAAAAACGATAATATAATGAGAGAAGCAGACACTTACTTCCGTCGTGATTCACCCACTTGGGTATCGCTGTTGGAGGAGAGGGTGTGTAATCCCAAATCGCTGTCTCGTACTGCGATCCAGGGATAGAAACGCTGCCACCGGACTGAGGAGTGCTCCCGGGAACAGCTGTGGTTTGGTGTTTAAGAAGATAAGCATGCAATTAGATCAGGTCTGATGCAGTACGGACAAGAGTAAAAGGACGCGACGTACTTTGCACTGGTGCATCGCCCACGATAGCTGCATTGCTATTCGACGCGAGGATCTCAACACCAGGGGAGATAAGCCCCGCCAAAAAGGGATGAGAGCCAGGGGCATTCTGTTGTGAGAAGAATGACCCCCCTAGGTGTCAATGGCCATAAAGAACACCGCAAGAAGGACGCTTACAGTATCCGTAAAGGTAACACTGGAGGTGACACCTTGCTTGAAGAACGTAGCCGTGAATTGATCAGCCGTCGACGCACTGCCCACAATGTATCTGTTTTTTTATTGAGGACGATGAGTCAGGCATGAAGTCAATATATTTGAATATGCAACGAGGAAGCAAGCGGAAAACGCTGACCGGCTCTTGTCACCCGACAACTGAAGGAAACCAATCGTGTTCTGATCCACCACGCTGGAAACCTTGATCTTGCCCTTCCAAACTCGAGTGTCGCTGTTCTGAGCCCTCTTGGCAGCTAAAAAAAAGTTGAGGGAAAAAAATCAGAATCTCATGCCATGTTGACGGACGGTAAAGTACACTTACAGTCAGTTCGCGAAGCCCCACGCCGTAAAGTTGGAGGTAATAGAGGCAAACCCCTCGCGAGCCTCTTGGCATTCGTGTCACTACGCGCACGAAGCTGGGGCGCAACACGGCGTAGCTCACGCTTTTCGAAAGAAGGGAGGGCGAAGACGGAAGTGATGAGGAGGAGGAAGCAGAGAAGGGTGTGCTTGAACATGGTGTATGTCTTGTTGTATCCTAGTTGGTCTGCACTCTAATTTGGAATGCTAAGGCCTACGACGAAACAACGCAGCAAGTCGTTGTGGGAAGAGGGGGATGACGGTGAGTGAAAGAGAAGACCAGAAAGGGGGGGGGGTTCAGGTTCTCGGGTCTTATGTAAAAACGAGGGAAGGAGTTCTTTAACAGGAAAACAGTGAAAGAGGGTTGATCTTCACACAACTCACAACTTGTTCAGAGGAAGGCTGAAAAAAAGAACGAATCACACGAGTTTCCAATTCTAAGGTACCCTTTCAGACCTTATACAATGTGGCCCAACTCCATTACAAATAGTATCACGGCGACAGAACGGGTTCAAAAAGAAATCCCAACAATTCGGTTCCTCCTTCCTCGAGGCATTTGTGTGGAGTGATTGAATTAGTTGATAAGGCTTACACGCCATCATGCAACATACTACCTGACGTTATTTCAACGTACCAAAGGCAGGCCACGCAGGCACTGGTGTGTGTGTGTGTGTGTTCAGAACTAGAACCTCAACCCGCTTCATGTCACAAGTCCAGCTGCGTCCGGTTTTAATACAAATGTCAAGGGGAGGGTCAGCAATTCAATTCTATAATGAATAAGACATTTACATATGCGTCCCTGTCAATGATAACAAATTCCCAAAAAAGGAATAAACTTCGGTCCCAGTGGACCTTCCTGATTTATTTTTAGTCCCACGCCATTACATCAAAGAAGGTTAGTATTCAATCCTTGAGACTCTGTAGCCTGCGCCAACTTGAACGTCTTGGAGGTCTGTAACAATGTGTTGACTTGTCGCACAGATCGCGGAAAAGTTTGTCCCCTCCCCCTTAAGGCACGAACATCTCGTATTTCAACAAGTTTTGGATCGACCCCTGTATCCGTGTGAAACATCACGGCACCATGTTTACCGTGGCAACCGTCTCAACACACAAGAAGTACGTATGTTAACGTGGGCGCTTATACAGACAGTTAACACGTAAAATCGAGTAGCCAACTACAAGATCCGTCAGAATGGGTGCAAGGCCTACTTGCATCGTTCCTCCAACACGGTATTGACAAGTTCAAGGAACTCTGGACATCAACTTCCTGTCGATGGTGAAATAGGTTTCTGGAATGACTAATCACTATTTTCATATCAGGGTCCTGTTTGTGACCGGTAACGAATACGAGAAACTTAATATATTCTTATCCAAAAGTAGCAATATAACTCATTCATTGTTCGCCTGTCGATTTATTTCGATCTGACATAAAATATGGAACCGACCGCAGTGGCACGGACTGTGATCGGGTCCACCACGATGTTCATAGACTGTGATACATAAAGGCCCAGCCGTTATATTTACACAGCAATGTGATAGATCGAGTCCATTCTCTCCTGTACCTTCCGCAGCTTGTTGGCGGCCATCCCTATGTCTTGGCATTGGCAGGAATCTTCACTCAACGTTTGCGCTGAACGACCCTGTGTTCCTGACAACTCATACTATTTGAACTCAGCGCTTTTGCGACACGGTTGGCCGCGCGAACCGCCTGCAAATGGGGGAATTAATAAATCGTTGGAGCCATCTGTCCCTGAACCTCCGTTCGTCGTCATTTCACTTGCAACACCATCATGGACTCGCCATACATGCACCCATGCTCACCCGAGACTGCAAACATGGATGAGGGGCCACAGGACCCCTTTGGCTATGGTGGCAACTTGTTGAAAATCAGAACTGGCTGCCATCCAGGCACACAAGTGGACCTCTGTGTCGCAGCAAATACGCTTTTCTCCGATTTGGTTTTCAATTTCTGTGATGCATTCTGGTCAGGTAAATTCCCGCTGCTTCTGTAGCCGGCCTAGCAAGTTTTTCGCTGCAAAAACCACATGCCTCTGCAAGGGGTCCTCTAATATTACAAATACCCTAGGTTACGAGGATCCTCACCAGTTACATCCTCCCAACTGCCGTTTCCTCAACCTATCCAATTCCATATTCCCAGGTTAGGTGTGTAAATATCAAAATTGGAGTGAGGGTTGCGAGATGGGAAAGGTGAGGAATTTTCAGGGCGGTGCACTCATCGCAAGCACCTGAAAAAATCCAGAGGAAATTCACCATGACTGTGTTCGGCGAATCAGAACACGAATCACACTTGTTGGTGTCTCAAGCATGACTAGGCGCACGCCCTAACTCAACTCTCAGAGTGATCATATCAGAGCCGAGCTGCTTCCAACTCGAAAGGGAAGAAAACAACCCCTGAATTCGGTGAAGCATAGCGTTTCATAGGATAACGAGCGTGAATGAACAGGGCGTAGTAGTCCATGGGAAGGCATAGGACGCGGAGGCAGCGATCGTGCTTGTTTCCTGTGCATTGCGAACCCATAAACTGCACACCAATACGAATGGACGCGTTTCTTGAAATACACGATTCATTCTAGTCGTGATAGAACTGGAGTAAAGCTGTCCATACCGATACCGAGATACGTAAATTTGCGACCCATACACCCATGCACGATTTAATCCTCGTTCTTTGGGGTTACTTGGTCTTGCAATTCAGCAAGCCACCTTCAGCGGACAAGGTATCCGCGTAGAACAATTACCTTGCTTCCAAGGTATATCACGTCAGCCGTCGGTTTCCAAGTAGAAGTTATATTATCGATTGAGTTTTCTTCGCCTTTGAGCGTTGTTCAACTGCCAGTCTTCTTTCGAACCGGCACGCGCGCTGGACAACGACAAGGTGGACGCCCCCTCGCGGGGGTTCATAGGAAGATCTTCTTATGAAACCAGGAACTCGGTCGAATGCATATTCTCACACCTTGCGGAGGGGTGATACGATATGACATATTCCTGGGGATGCAGCTTGTTACAAAGGCTGGCCCTAGCAGCTTGTGCCTGTCGCTTATAGCCCTCATCCTCATCTCCATCTCCATCTCCTCTCCACCATATGAATAATAATTCATGGGTGGGGGGTTTCATTGGCTACTTACTTCACCCATGACAACTCCGCTTCCTGCTTCTGGATCGAAAGACGACCAATATCGTCCTATGCTCATGCAGTGCACTTGTCCCTCGCATCATTGTCACTTAAAAAGTACACTGATTTGTGTCGATAAAGCGACAAGAATTACGGCTCCTTTGTATCTGCTTCTACATGCCAGGGGTCAATGCAAATGCCAAGAATTCAATCAACTTGATATTTCTGTCATGTTCAAGAGATAGACTTTACGAAAGACGATACATAAAGATAGTGCCTAGCAGCGAAACACTGGTGGCACTACTGCTCTTTCATTCAGTACTGACCCTCTATTGAGCGATCGTCAGGATCATCCATCCACGTATTTTCAAATTGCCTGCTTCTCGGCGTAGACGGCAGTCGAGACATTCTCAGAGAGATGATTCTTCCGGTTCACCATCCCCTTGCTCGCGTGTAACAGCATGTCTCGCAAGTTTCGTGCCCTTTCCAGGACCGTGAGTAATTTGGGCGGACGTAAAGACCTCTGCGGAGTGCTCGATTGGACACCTGATTGAAAAATTGTCTGGGAGCCCAGCCGGCGTGGTGAAAAGTTGAAGGAGAATGCATATCAATACCGGTACCCCAGTTCGCCCTTGCCTATAATCCGCTAATTGGCTCGATACCTATCCAGTGTAGGGAAATGGGTATGGTCGGTTGACCAATACTTGGGGAGTTAACACCACGCTTAAAGCTCATCCGGACCGCGTCTGTTGGTTTGGCTACATTTTACACTTTTATTGTTACACTAGCTGTGGACTCAAACGGTTTCAAGGGCGAGACAAGACCCCCGATATTCAGCCCGGGAATCCCCAATCAACATTTTCCTCTCTTACAACAGATTGCTGGGATACTCATGTCCAGTAATCCCCACAAACGTCTCCTTGATACTCCGTGCGTTCACGAACCTATAGAAAATGTTGATCGACCCGGCCTTGTCATTCGTCCCGCTCCCACGGCTTCCGCCAAATGGTTGCTGACCGACGATGGCACCAGTACATTTATCGTTATAATAAATGTTCCCAGCGGCGTTGCGCAAGCGGCTGGATGCATGTATAAGCGCAGCCCGGTCTGTGGCGAATCTGTTTCGAGAATTTAGCGTCAATTCAGATTCAGAAAGGAAAACTTGAGATGCATACATCGATCCAGTGAGCGCGTATGTGGATGTGGTGTCGATGAGGCTCAGGACTTCCTCATATTCCTCCTCATCGTAAACATATACCTATGACTGGAAAATGAACTTGTCTAGCGTGTTGGTGCTCGACTGGGACTCACCGTCAAAACTGGCCCAAAGACTTCTTCGACCATTGTTATGCTCCTCGGATCCTTAGTAAGGATGATAGTCGGCTGAATAAAGAATCCCTTGAAGTCGTCGCCTTAACCGTTTGAGTTAAGCCCTTCAGTGCATCCAACGTTTGTGCTCCTCCAACGCACCAGAACCACCAATGAGAATTTCCCCACCAGCCGCCCTGGCTGCCGAGATGAGCCGAAGTATCTTATCATATGCAAACCTCCCGCTGTCAGATACCCAGATTAGATAGTGCACCGAAGGAGGTCACAGAAACATCGCACATCACGGGGCCCATAAAATTCTGGAAGGCCTCTGGCGGCCCGACTTTAATGGATGCAGTGGTTTGCAAAAGCTTGTCTTTGAACCCCCCATTCCACAACGAAGCCGGAACATACAGACGCGACAAAGCTGAGCATTTCTGGCCTTGATATTCGAATGCCGAGCGCACGGACTGCTGAACTGCGTTATCGACGTCGGCACTGGAGTGGACGAGATGAAAGTTCTTCCCGCCTAAATAGGGAAAAGTATCGAGAAACACAACCTGACTGGGTAACGTACCTGTCTCCCCGACGATCCTAGGATAACTCTTGTACTTCTCAATGTTATTCCCAATGCTCTTCCATAACGATTTGAATACCGCCGTACTCCCCGTAAAGTGCAGTGAAGCGAAGTCGGGATGATCAATCGCCTGTTTCACAATTTCCGGCGCAGGTCCAGGAACAAATTGAATAACGTTACCTGGGAGACCTGCTTCGAGGAGGATCTTGTGTGTGATGTAGTTAGCGTAGATGGAGAGTGGCGAGGGTTTCCAAAGGACCACGTTTCCGACAAGCGCGGGCGCTTCGGGTGGTAGCATAAATTGGGCAGCTTGCTAGGTTAGGTAGATAAACTTACTTCCGGGAAGGTTGCCGCCAATGGCAGTGAAATTGAATGGTGATACTGCTAGCACGAAGCCCTCAAGCGCGCGATACTCCACACGGCTGGCTTGTCAATGAGTGGTAGGCTGCTCCCTCCCCGTCGTAAACGACTCACTTCCATACACCGGGGGAATTCTTGACTGGCTGTTGGGCATACAACTCCTCGACGTATTTTACTCCGAAACGGAAAAAATCCGCGAGCTATCGAAAACGCACGAAATCGGAATGATTACTCCTAAGAGTCGCAGAATGTTTGCTGACCTCCGCAGCGGCGTCAATCTCAGCCTGCCAAGCGTTCTTCCCTTGGCCGAGCATTGTCGCTGCCGTAATCTGGTAGCGATACTTTCCACTGATGAGATCGGCAGCTTTGAGGAATATTGCGGCCCTGTCGTTCCAGGGAAGGTTCTCCCATGCTGTCTTCCCTTCCAATGCGCCATTTATTGCAGTGTCAATTAGCGCAGAATCGGCTTCGTGATAGGAGCACAAGTGGGTAGCGTGGTCAGCTGGAATAAATTGTTTTGCCTGCGAGTTTGTCCTGACCTGAGGGGGGACATTGCGAGTGATCTTGGTTCAGGCAATAGAATGCATGAAAGTTCAACGAGATGGACTCACCGCTTTCCCATTGATTACACAAGGGACTTCAAAGGGTAGTTCCTGCTTCATTTGAGCGATCGCCGCCTCAAGTACCAGTCGTTCCGGCGTTCCCGGGGCGTACACTCTCTGAAATGGTGATAAGGAGACTTAAGGCACTCCTAGACTCATGATCACGCACAAGAGGCTCATTTTCGACGACAGGAACTTTGAAGGTAGCAAGGGTCGCCATGATGGTCGGAGATCGGAAAACAGGGTTGCCGGAGGACTCCGATGCTCACTGAGATTTCCCACGCAAGAGACCGTTCAACCTCAATTGGAAGGAAACAAGCTGGTCTAGTTTCGGTACCCCCGGTATAATCATGGTGAGTTGGCACGCCCTCCAACTTCAAACCTGCGCATCGAACCGACTCTTTCATTATTATTCGGCGATATTTCAATCAGTGAACTAAGACTAGCAGAGGAATATTGACCCTCAAGCCCCCAGCCTCGGCCACCACCTTCATCAATCATGTCCCACGGGTAAATCACCAACCCATGTCCCTACGAGCTGCAGGGCTCTTCGCCACCATCCCGTTCAAAGTGCTCGCCGTTCACCATTTCCCCATTGAGTTGGCAGATCCCCGCTCCAGAGATGCCTTCACAATAAGTAATTGGCCGAGCTTGCGAGGCGATTGTGCTGCACGTATTAGCCTATGTAAATACCGGTTTCGTGCTTTCCGTGATATTGTTCCCGACTCTTCCAGCGATATCCCGTAGGCGTCCCCAATTGAGCATTGACGCCACAAGTGGGGGCCATTTCAGAACCAACTAGACTTACATCCGAGCCTTTCTGGTTTCAGCTTGCTCTCTGCCTTGCGATACTCACCTGGACGCGATCCCCAGCTCGGCCGCCTTAAATAATAGTTATTTGTATGTAATTATGCGCTGGAGACTGGTCTCGATGCCTGAAACGCGTCCTCCCAGCCGTATCACCAGGGATTCTTTGAGTCTTGAAATGGGCGCAGTCGATCTTCTGTGAGCTTCCATCCTCTATTCACCGCTTTCTGTGCTTCCCCGTGGATCTGACGTGCCCACTGACAGTCTTGGGCCCATGCTGTAAGTCATCTTGACGGAGTATGGCCAGCATCTAAGCATAGTGCTAGCCTTGGCCTCACCCTCAACGGTTTGCTTATGGGATCGCTCTTTATTCAATACTTCAACTACTTTACTGTGTCTGCCAAAAGGTATTCCCTTAATTTCAGGCGGCAAACTCCAGGTGATCGACCCCCCGTGAAGGGATCCTGCCTGGCTGAAATACACAGTGGGTGACGTGTGCATCTACGATGATCAGGCTCAAACACGAAGAACACTTCATGTGCAGGTCGCTTTCCTAATGATTGCTGACATCGTGAATTTTGTTTTTGACTTCACTTTTGTCTGGCAGTAAGTTGCTGTGCTCACGTTTCCACAACATGCGTTAACATGGCGCTTATCAGGTACACGATCACCCACTTCGGTTTGGACCTTTCACTGTCACTCGCTGTTGGTTCTCATTGCTTGCCAGGCGATTTTGAATACATTCAGAGAAGTACATGGGTCTTTAACACTGGTACGTTATACTGGATATGATCTTATTTCCATTTCAACTTGAGTTTTATGCACTAGACCCCGTCATGACGGTGAGATCTCCTCGCATCACAGCGATTTAAATTTCACTTGTGATTTTAGGTCATAATCTCCACTACTGTGCAAAGTTTCTACGCGTGGCGCGTTAGGAAACTTACAGGCCACACCTGGCTCTACGTGCTGCTCTTCGTCTCTGCGTCTATCCAATTCTGTAAGCGATGACACAACGTATCGCGCCGTGTTGATGACTGAATCTTTTCACATGTCTATGTCGACTGTGTTCATTAGTGAGCGGTAAGCGCACTTTCGCTCTGTAGTTCCGCCGTAGCTTGATTTCACACCACAGGGCTCGGGACAACCATTGGTTGTTCTATCGTGAAAGACTTCTATAGATTCCAATCGTTCCGTTCCGTCGTTATTGTTTGGCTTACCCTTTCAGCTGTCACGGATATTGCCATTGCTGCTATTATGGTCGAGTATCTACGCACTCACCGTACGGGGATTCAAAAAACCGAAGATGCTATTACCAGACTGGTTCGATGTGCGGGTTGCTGATTGGTCTCTGGCTGCGCTCATTGATTTACTGAATACTAGTCACTATCCAAACTGGTGCCCTCACCTCGATTTGGGCCATCGTTGATCTCATTGTCTACCTAAGCTTTGTAAGTTCATAATTCTACCTAATTCATACCATGTTGATTCAGGTCTGGGATAGAACAATACTCTGTGTGCAAGTCTCCTATCGAATTGCCCTGCCAATCCTAATCCGATCCTCACTTTCAGGCATCTCATATTCAACATGAGTCTTTCCAAACTCTACTCCAACTCTTGCCTCTCCTCCTGTGAGTCATGTGAACCAATGCCCGAGGACGGAAAATGATCTCTTATTCCAGTAAATTCGCGCGCCGCTTGGACCGAAAGTGTTACTCAAAGCGAGAAGAATCTTGTACGTTCCTCCCCTGCGTCTGAAATGAAATTGATTTATAAGTATTCCCTGGGGCACCTAAGGGACATGGCGTGTCCATCATGACGACCTCCGTTATGCATCATGACAGCATCGAACTTGACCAGACAGCTAACTCTTCCTCCAGCCATGTGCAGCGCCAACTCCGTCACGCTCTCAATTCACGTCGCCTAAGTAATATCCCTGATACGCGTGCTTCTCATCCGAAAGGACTCCAGTTACGTCCCCAGGAATCCAGCGTAAGCGAATATGACCAGGACCAAGGCGACTTCATCATGGATGAGTCTAAGACCGAGAATAGTGAACCTGGAGCCCTTTCTTTTCAGGAAATCGAATCTAAGCCTCACCTTCGAGATGACGATCCAGACCTGCTCTCTCCTACGCTCACCAATCTCAGTGTTGAGGGTTATAAATCCCCTAGGATCTGACCACACCGTTCCTTGCCTTCTTGTCACGCCCTTGATTCGGGGTTCGACTTCGCCATTCCACTGGTACTCGGCCACTTATAATTCCAAACTCATCTGAACTTTGTTCGGTCCATGTCCTTTGTTCTTGTCTCGCAAGCACCCTCGACTCCTCACGGATTATACCAGCTTCGCTTACGCTCATCGCTCTGCATATAGCACCCCTCGCCACCACCAGGACGTTGTGCACGGCTTGTATGGATTACAACAGAAAGGATTCTGCAGCATGAAGAGGCATTTGTAAATTGAATGTTGTACTACATATGTTCTTTGCAATCAGCCTCTCTGATATTGAAGCAGGCCGGTAGCACCAAATTCTTTAAAGTCCGCAGCCTTGATGGTCATAAAATCCATGAATTTGAACTATTACTCCTCGGGAGATAGGCTTGGGGAAGTGGGTGCTTCGAGGATTGCCTCTGAGCTACCAGCCCTTGGTTCCTCGAATTTCAACTTCAAGACACTTCCTCAACCCATGCATTGTTTCTCCGATTCTCCACGTCATTTTCTTCCTCGAAGACCGGTCAATGAATGGCGCGACGCAAGTCTGGCAGATGCCAAAGAACAGATGCTCCAAGATCCAGCTCAATCGAGCACCCGTCATCTCAATGGCCGGTTCTGCATTGAGCTCTAAGATGCTCACTGAGAACGGGGACCTTGTCTTGCCGTTCTCCGAGAGATTGTGTGTAACGAGTAAATCGGCACCGAAAAGCTCAAAGGCATTAGGAAGGGGCTGATAGCGCAATCTCAGGAGTCGCCGGGGCAATGATGAGTGATGCAGCTCACCTGGAAATGGACTGATGTCTCAAGCGCTGCTCGGAACACGTCTGCCAGAATTTCACAAACTTGATCAATGATATCTTGCACATTCTCCTCCGAGAGGCAAGAGTGCTCAAAGCTATTTGAGGGCGGTCCAGATAAAATCCGACAGCCAATCATTTCTTGGAGCGTCCGCACATTGCGGTTAGGGTCTGGATTTTCCGATGTAACCTTCTGCCAGGATGTATTAGTGAGATGCGCCTTTAGATCAACATCTTGTTCTCCATTCGGACTGGACGGCAGTTCGTATGGGCTTCCGGCAAACAGAACGAGGATGTTCTCGTCGACAAAGAGAGTCAATGCGCCTGAGGCAACACAGTAGACACGAAGGTGGAACTTATAGGGGAAGAGATTAGGCGGGTGAAGTAAATGAAACTATCGAGAACTGACCTTAGTAGGTCGATGATGTCGTGGAAGGGGTGAATCCCTGAGAGCATTGGCTTCCGTGGGATCCATTAAGAGAGGTTTATCCAGGTATTCCTGATAGACATGCCAGTCATTCATAAGACCCCAGATACAGAGTCAATAACAGGTGTACAAAGGACGATGGGCACCTGTATTACAAAGTGGCGGAGCTGCGATGCGATGATCTTGTCCCCACCGTCAGGAACTCGTTTGCTTATTCCGTCTATTGTCCTGCCTGTTTCTTCATCAGAGGATTCAGAATCAAAATCCCAGAAAATCCGTTGGAGGGCTTCTTTGCTGCTAAACAGGCGGATACCAACCCCCCTTTCGCTCATAGAAGGCTTTAGGATGAACCACTTCCTGTCGGACATTTCTAAACTACTGTCATTTTGATCCAGGATTTCACCGAGCTCCCATAGTTCGTCGCTCCACATTTCATCAAGCTCATCCACGAAAGAGATATCTATAGCCCAAGTCTTGGGAACAGACGAACGACGAACGATGAAGGCGTCCGGATGTTTGATGGCGTAAAAATGCAAAGATTGGTGAAGAAAACGCCCCGGACCAGAGATTTGCGTATCGTGTACGAAGAAGCCAATGTAGATACGGGGTCTCGTAACGTAAGCTCATGATCCAGGGAGTCGTAGGTGCACCATTGAAGGAAAGGAGATCGACACGAATCCGAGGAAGTTGTCCGATAATCAGAGGGAATGGTGTCGGATGACGAGATCGTGACCATTGGGAAGTTCTCTTTCAATGCGTTTAATATCAGCTTCTGAGCAAAAGGTGCTGCAGGGAAGGAACACCAGGCATGAAAACCACCCATTTTCAGGATCCTTCGAAATCAGTTTAGCTCAGAAGTTAGTTGACAATGAGTTGGCGGCGACGAAATACGTAGTGTTTGTCATTTTGTCCTCCACGTGCGTGCCTGTAACATTATGACGGAGTGTGCAACGGGACTAAGTACACTGATCAGAGAAAGACCAAGGCCAACTATTGTGTCTAGTGGACTAGACCTCAGCGACTCCACTAGCAATATGAGAAGAGATGGACACCAGATGCTGGGCATGAGACTCGGTGACTGCCGCTTCAGGTAATGTACTCGATATCGCTCCTGGCATGAATGAAAACTGCAGGAGTTTTAAGCCTTCTATACCGATCTTGATCTCTTCCCGATGCCCTTAATGTCGTGGACGTGATGATCTCGTTTGCTCACCAGAGGGATGCTCAGTATATATGGTAGGTGACGTGGTGTTAGGCAGGATCCCAGCCTCTACTAAAGTAGACGTGGTGTGCCGGTCGGGATTATGGGACTCCTGGGGTTTTGTTACATCTGAGTGGTGAGGAAAGGAGAAAAACCCTGCTATTGTCTCCGTCCGTCCTCGTAGTCCTGTGCTCTTGGTTTCTCCCAGCACCCCAGCTTCTCCGTTCGTGCTCCCTTCGTTTGTCGGTGGATCGTGAGTTCCATATGAAGTCTACTATCCCTATCGTCTCCTTCACCTTATGCATGAGGTTGTTGTTGTTGTTGGCTTGGTCTCCTTGTCCGTGGTGTCTAAACAGCGCGAATTCCTCCAGCGGCCATGCCATCGTATGTGTGGCTATGCGAGATGCTTGTTGACTCAACCATAACACACGTTCTTCCTTCCCTCATATTACTTGGAAGCAGGCACTTCATTATGGTGAGGCTCCCCACGGTTACCGGCGAGTCTGCTGACTTATTCTGAGTGAAAAAGGCAATTTGCCAGTATTTTTTGCGCGGCCGTTGCAAGTTCGGAGGTGCGATCTTCGCTCACGTTGCACTGCAGTACCCCCTAACCAACTCGCCAGATCGATGTATAAATGAGCATCCCAAAGATAAACCAAACATATTTGGAGGTTAGTTGAGCCTAATGGCGTCGCATAGTTCACTTGCGTGCAAGACTAATGCATGTGACAGTTTCTCAGAGTAGTTCTGGAAATTCAAAGCCAGAGTGGACGCCTCCATTCACGTAAGTGGGTTTTGTCCTGTTGGGGAGGGGAAAGTGACGTGTTTATGAAGAACCGAATCAATTAATCGAGATATGACGGAGGGCAAGGACAGACCTCTCTGGCCCTTCTCTTCCTACGGTCCAGCCAAGTAAGAGTATTGGTGTCTAGATAGATGCATCGCTAACATTCTGTCGCTCTTAGAGGAGAGCCAAATCTAATTTCGGGCCTTGATGAGTCCCCAGAAGAGATGCGCATCAAGTTCTGGCAGGCTAACATGCAAGGGAATCCGGCCCTTTATGTGCGTTCTCTTCCTTGCAATGCACGCCCCTCCCAGCTCATTGTTCACTGATAATGGGCGTCCAGACCCAATACGAAGCCACGCAGATGCAACTTACGAATAATGCGTTCGACCGGATACGCAATGACCTCAATGGTGCCTGGAAGCAGGCCGCCATGCAGTCACCGAACTTCCCTCCAGAGATGCTTTCGCAAGCCGGCTTGACGAGCTCAACACGTCCAGGCAACAATGCCTTTGGTCAACCAAGCGCATTTGGCAAGCCTGCGTTCGGACAGCCTGCATTTGGAACATCCGCCTTCGGATCGTCATCTCCCACATTTGGCCAAACATCAGCATTTGGTGCGGCAGCTCAGCCAACTCAATTCGGATCTTCTGGTGGATTTAGCGCATTCGCCAACAATCAGCCCAGTGCCTTTGCAACTGCCGCTTCAATTCAGCCCCCCACATCCATCTTTGGGCAAACTTCCGGTCCTGGCGCCAGCTTTGGACAGCCGGCTTCGGGCTCGAGTTTTCAGGGTCCTACTTCAGCCTTTGGAAATTCCGCATTTGGCGGCGAAGGCACTCGATCGGCATTTCGACCATCTGGAAATAGTGGTGGGGGATTCAGTGCGTTCTCAAACCCTGGTGGAAACGCATCTTTTGCCGGCCCCCCCACATCAACAGCTGGCCCATTTACGCCTCCACAACCGGCAGGCACTTTCCAGCAGCCATCCACCTTCGGACAACCCCAGACGCCCGTTTTTGGACAGCCATTGGCATTCGGACAAACAGGTACTGGTTCCACCTTCACTAAGCCCCAAGAACCTCCCATATCGGCGTTCTCTTCGTTCTCTCCATCCCAACCTCAGAACGCTTCCGGGACAGTATTTATACCCAGGGCAGGACCTGCTCCCTTGTCCCCCGTTAATTACCCTTTTGAACAATTACTCCCCCCAAACTACATTGACATCATACCAAAGGATGCGCGAGCAAAGTTTGAAGCGCCAGCCTTCGTCTTGGGGGAGATACCTGAATGGGTACCCCCTCCTCAGCTGTCCTGATCCCCTCGTTTTCCAGTTAAGCGACCTAAATTTGGGGTTTGCTACCTAGGATACTTGCTTATTTCATGAAGGGCGTTTACTCTTGGATCAATCACTTCGACACCAATAACTCCCATATTAATGACTGAATTGTAATTCGGAACATGCAACAACAACGATTCGTTTCGCAAGCATTTTCATCAAATTCTCGTTCGTTTTCGAGGCGGCATACCCACCAAACCTGTGGGCGGAGGGTGACCACGGTTTTGCGTGTATGAACGCCCGGCGTGAAGTTGATTCTGTCCGCCTTGAGCCGTGGATACGTTTCCCGTAGCGGGTCTCGAAGGCACCATTGCCGAAGCTTCATCATTCGTCACACGCCTCAAAGGGTAAGTCTGGTTTTGTGGGAGAAGTTGGAACGCGCTAAAGACGGTATTAATTATTATGTTAAGATAGGTGAGGAAGCCTACTTTTTAGTAGGTCGCGGTTCGGCAGCAAACCAGCGATGCTGTAACGCTTCCTTAGCAGTAATGCGCCTCGTAGGATCATATGTTAACAGTCGGTTAATAAGATCATATCCCAATGGCGCATGGAGGCGTGTGGAGAACCATTGATGTAAGGACGGGCGATGCCTGCGTTGAATCTCCTTAATACTTGAATCTCTGAGGATTGGACGCGTACTTATCCAGTCGCAACATGCTCTGGTACTCAGGCATATGAGTTAGCCCAGGCCAATGCTCGGCTAGGTGCCGTAGAATGAGTAGGGATTGGCATGGCAAGCAGGCCTAACACTGACGATCAGGGGTCCCTAAGACCTCAATTATCTTCGTGACTTGGTCCTTCTGGAACGGGACAGTCTTCTTCGCGTCCAGCTTTGCCTCCTCACCTTTAAAGATGGGTCGCAGGCTGAGAAGTTCCGCAAAAATACACCCAACTGCCCAATTATCCACCGCTTTTGTGTAGTGCTTACTCCCCATGAGCAATTCCGGAGCACGATACCAAATTGTTACGACCACCTTGTCGCCGACGTAGAGAGGCTGGAGAGGATTATGACATAGACGGGCAAGACCAAGGTCTCCAATCTTGACAACTCCACCGGATGTGACAAGGATATTTGCTGGTTTAAGGTCTCGGTGCATGATTTGTTGATTATGGAGGTACAGGACGCCATTGATGAGCTGAAAGAGAAGGGATTTGATGACGGGCACTGCTATTGAGGTGCGAAGGACAGAAGAATGATGGTGAATGATTTGCTAGGCGTGAAACCGCATTCAGGATGTAATAACTCGGAGATAGTGTGCGTCTACTGACGAGAAAGTCATGCTCGGCGTACTCGAACACCATGTAGATCGACTTGTCCTCAAGCATTACTTCTCGAAGCTTAATGACATTTATGTTCTCGATCTCCATATTCAGCTGCATGCGCACGAAGATAGTCAGTGGAACTCCAGCCAACTTCGCCACGCACTCACGGCAATCTCGCGACAAGCGCTTTGACTGATACCAGTGTAGGTAACAACCTCGCCCTCTTTGTCGGGTTTGAATTTCTTAATGGCGTATATCTGCCCCTCTGGATCAAGGCTCCGGGCCTTATAAACACGGCCGTACGTCCCAGATGATATGAAACCAAGGATAGAATATTTGTCTACAACTGGTCGACGTGCCTTGTCCTTTTTCGCGCGGTAAAGCTGCATTGCGTCAATAGGTGGGGCGTTCATGGCCGATATCACTATTCCCGTCGCTGTTAAATAACTTCGGCGCAGGGGCTCAGCAGCTATATTATCGTCACATGCATGAGAGTCTGAACGTGTGCATGCGAACCAAGAGCTAAGCACAAGGACTCGGGAGTGTTCGAACTCGGCGTGACACTAGAAGCGACTCCACAACATACACCGCTCAGTGGTTCATTCACGACCTCGCCCAGAGTCTCTGAAGAATGGATGGATGGGAAATGCGACAGCCTGATGACGACGCGAACCGAATCCCCCCAGTCAACCACTGGCTCCATCGCCCATATTATATCAACTGTCTGGATCATTGTTATGCAGGCAATGTTCGAACACCTAAGCACATCTCAAGCATACAAGCACCCTCTCTTACATTGGGTCTAAACAGTCGGCAAGAAACAGGAACTACAGTCGCACCTAATTGTATGGTCTTACGTCCGATGTTGCACGGATTTTACAGCATATCGGTCAATAGCCGAGTTGATCAGCGCCGGGAAGGAGCCAACGTATTGTGCAGCTAATGCGCAAGCCACGATCTACCCAAACACCATCGATGGTTCCACTCCCATCCCGGCTCTCAATGAAATCTTGTTTTACAGACTGTATTCCATGTTTCCATTGGTATCGGGCTTCTCCTTCCAGGACGAGGATTGAACGGGGTGGTAGCCAGAGGCAAGTTGGAGCGTTGGTCGACGCACCATCCTCCGGAGTAAAATCCATGACCACCCCCGAGAGTAGACTGAGAACGATGATCCCGTCGCCAAATCTTCCAAGCAAATCGACATGCGGCGAAATCCCTTCCCCCGGACGGTAAAGATTGAGTATAATCTGTCGGGCCGGATATCGTTGGTTTATTGAAGTCGGGGGGAACAGTAGTGTGTAAGTCGATGCATTGAGATGGGGTTGAAGCAAGATCGAAAGACCGCCAATGAGCTCGAGAATGAAGGAGGGGAGACCAGATGAACCAGAACCGAACAGCATAACTTGATTCACTGTGCCACCCTGGAAATATGGAAGGATATTCTGTACCACGAATTCCGCACGATCCTCAGACAGTCGCACTGGAGGTAGATGCAGCCCAGGAACCGAAGGAACTCTATCCACAATCGCGGGAATGGGCTCCCATAGGTCATCGTTACTATCTGCTCTGGGGAGACTGATTGCGGAGATCGCTTGAGATGTAAGTGAAGGAAGCTGGCCTTCTAATTCCTGATGGACTCCTTCCTTACTGTCGGACCTGAAGGGCTTGTCCTCGCTGGAACTACTCGATGTGGGATGACCCTGTTCACACATACGCGGTTACGAATTTGGTAAACATAACAATCGAAGCCTGCAAAGAGGAACAAGCCGATGGGATTGTAGTCTGAAGCTCACATTCCCTTATCGGGTAATGGCTACTCTCTTTCAGGAGATTGTGATCGAGGTCAATTGTCTCAATAAGTTCGAACGGCATCGGATTTACTTAACAATCGAGCGTTGTCCCAACCTGAGTGCTAGAGGGTGGCTCTTCAAGCATTCCCAAACTTCGTGGACGCAATCAATTCGGTCGTTGAACCCAAAATTCCCACGCAAGTTGGTCACGTCGTTGTCCTTCGTCTACCCGCCACGACACGACGCGGTGCACTTTGAATGGAGACTACTTTTATCCCCCGAGTATTGTCCAAGAGGCCTAAAGTTGCATCTTCAGGGCAGATTGTCTCGGTGCCTCAAGAGGATAGCGGCGCCGTTCAAGTGGCGCCTATCTCTAACATCAGGCCGGATGAAAAGCACCCTGACGTTCGTGGAAATACCAAAGGCAAGAAAGCCCAGGAGGGATACCTCTCCGACCTTGAAGTCTTAAGTCTTTTGGAACTTAGCCTTTCGGATTACGCGCTCTGCGTTGACATTGAAACTCGACTCTTCATAAAATACTCCGAGGATGGATGTGAGCTACTCTGTTCATATCGCTGGGGCGTGGGACCACACATAACTCAACGATTCTGATCCAGATCTTCCCCTCGAGCAGATAATTACCAGAAGTCCATATTTCCAACAAGCTCTGTCTCGATCCCACACAAAGCACCCTGTGCGGCTCCCCCCTCAAATATCCATAATTCGTGCTATCCGAACTTCGCCCATGAACGAGCTGCTTGATGTTCGCGTGCTCCTATCGGAGCCAACGCCCTGGCCAGCCGGTTCCTCGTCCTCAAGAGGCGGGGAAGAGGGGGATGATGGCGGCTTTGAGATACGAAGAAAGGACTGGGAGAATATTGACCAGACCCTGCAAGGCGTGACAAAGGAAGGGTGGGATACCCAGAGTGTCTATGTTGTGTGTTTAGCATGACCCTGTTGTTCGCCTGTTACAAGGCTAATGATCTATTCCTTTATTGTGACAGGAAAATGTTCCTCTGCATATCCGAACCATCCCTAAAATCCATCGTTTCGTCACTGGATTGCTCTGCGCGAACGCTCCAAACTCAGCGGTTTCCTCAAAAGTCAACGCAGATGACCCTTCGCCATTGTTTTCGATACAACATATTGCGACACACGCGGGTGCCCACGAGTCCGGTGCCCAAAGCTACGCGAAGAAAGACAAATGCTATGGCTATGCGTTTATTACATTCAAAGAGAGGCGAATAGGAGAGAGATTGCTGAGTGAATGGCCCTGGAGTTTCTCGGAATCCCGCGACCACTACAGGGCTGGCAAAATTTTAGCTGTGTCTGATGAAGTGACGGAGGCTTTGAGATACAGCTTCCGGACACTTTCAAAGTTGGTTGTCTTTCAGGGTAAACGTTGTATGACTAATAACATGACCAATAGATCCCGATGGTTGCAGCTTAAGGACGAGTATCTAAAGCAGATGACAGAGGCACTCTCCCAAGAATCGGCATTGCCACTTCAGGCAGTCCCCGAGGAATGTACTCGCAATTCCGCTCAGTCTAAAATCGTTGCTACTCCGGAACCAGATCCCCCAACGCGAATCCAGACACCTCCCCCGCCGAACTATCCAATAGGTTGTCTCCTCTTCGTGAAGAACCTCCACCCAGAAACAAACAAAACCACACTAAGAGAGCTCTTCTCGGCGGTCCTCAGGGACGCACCGCCGAAGGGCCAATTCTCTCCGATCGATTATGTAGACTACACAAAGAAGCTAGACACGGTACGGATTTTTGACCATTAATACGTTGAAGGTGTTTGGTCTAATCTTTTGCATGTTCAGTGCTACCTTCGCTTATCGGATTCATCATACTCTTCTATGATACAGTCTTACTTTGCATCCAATTTGGTGTATCAATCTTCGGGTACCGATAGTGCTGGGAATAAAGCTACTGCCGATACTCCATCTTCGCGGAAGCTGATCCAAGCGGAAATAGTAAGCGGGAGGAAAGAACGAATCTACTGGGAGAAAGTTCCGGAGAAGCTAAGGATGTCGGCGATCAGGAAAGCCAATACTGCTGCTGAAAAGCCTCTAGGGGGTGCGGAGGGGGCCAATGGCCAGAACGATCCGAAGTCGAGAAAAAGGAAGAAATGACGCCTGGCAGTCCCGTTTGCAATGCTGGGTGTATGCTAGTGTGTCATAAATATTCCTCTGATGTCCACGGAAACAGTGATAGCATTGGTGTGTTGATTGCATATGCACAAATCTCATTCTCCGCTGCTGACGGCACAATTTTGCGTGACGAGGAATCCTTGGTTAAATAAGCGCCAATGTGACTGGTGACAAGTCACGGTTGTTCTATCACACATCACGCAAGTGCGATCGACTCTTTGACCAGTCGACGCGTCAGTTATTCCACAGACCTACACTTCGGATCATTGACTCGCCTAAAACCTCTGCGCGATGATTATCAAAGTCAAGGTGTGCGGACGCCTCGCGATCGAGCTTGCCGGCACCGAATCTGACTTTGAATCACGGCGCACAGACTCTTACAGGGAAAGAGGTTCGCGATCACAATTTGAAGGGAATTTCAAACTAATTCGAATCCTTTGGGCGCAGATTGAGCTTGACATCGACCCCGATGACAAAGTACGTTGCCGCAATAAAGAAGCGCCCCTGCTGAATTGACTTACTTGACTGTCAACGATGCAAGATCAACCGCATCAAGGAGAAAGTCGAGGAACAGTCCGGTGTACCACCACCACAGCAGCGTCTGATTTTTGGCGGGCGACAAATGTGAGTCAACTGAATTTGGGTTTACCCTGCGCGCGTTGCTTTTGTGCTTATGGTTTGTGCAGGGCTGACGACAAGACGGTTCGAGAACTAAACGTAACTGCTGGATCCGTCCTGCATCTTGTCCTTGCACTGCGTGGAGGTTGTTAGTGATGGTTTTTCCGGTTTGAGATGTCGCAGGGGCAGGTTGAAGGGGAGGCTGTACATGTTAACATAGAAAGCATTTTATGAACGCTTTTGCAGTTCTGTTTGATTTGCAGCTCTCTCAGTTGGTGTGCACACCCCTCGGTCACTCGGCGAACACCGCTTGGCGAGCTTCGGGCAACGCACTGGGTTCTCTTACAAGAGAATGCTATGTGAAGCATACCTTTGGCGTGGCCGATTTCCGTGAATGGCGAGTTCTGATGGTGTGAACTTCGCCTCGTGTATCGATAATCCCGCCACCATCTTACCTAAGCACACGGCGTCTATTCGCTGACGTGGACTCAAGCGCCCAGCAGCTTCTGTACCATCGGGACACACCCTTGGGACGTTTATTTTGGCGGGGTTTCGAAACTCACGACTGCCTCGTGTCTGTGACCAAAAACCGCATCACTTTAATGAGGATGAATACTTTTCCTTCCCATCCTCACCTGCTCAACTAGTTTTCCTGCACTGGAGCACGCGCCTCCGCCCCCACGCCGCCAAAGGGCTCCTTTCTCTCTCCTTGCATAGTCTCAGATACACACTTTCGCTTAGCGTGGGCCGGGACCAGCTTTGAGGGACACCCGCCCCAACGGACCACCATGAGCACACCGGCTCAGCCAAATACCCAGCAATATACGCAGCATGTGGCTGCGGCACCAGGGGGCGTCTATTACGATCCTCGTGAGTTGCGATCAATGATCCGAATGCTTAGGAAGACAAAATATCTAACCCTTTCCCACCAAGGCTGGTACACCCATTACATCGTCCCCCCCAATGGTGCCTCGCAATATACACAGGGGACATCATATCCTGTCCACTACGCAACAGCTACGACGGCCAACTACCCTTCCCCATCCTATGATTACTATTCCACCTCTACTGTACCACTCAAGTCATCCGAGAATAAACCGTTGCCACCTTCACGTCCAAATAAACGCCCACCACCAAGGCGCTCAAAGGCCTTTGGAGGATTCTTTCCTTCAAGATCTAGTTCAGCGAATACCGTCCCCAAGGTGGAGAGCACACCTGTAGTACGATCGCCCCTACCGCAATATCCGATGCATTATCAGCAAGGATATGCACTTCCATATCAGTATACATATCTCTATCCGTGGATGGCTACTGCTCTGCAACAACAAGTACAGCAGGCTGCTGCAGCTGCACAGCAACAGCAAGCAGGAACAACTCCTGTTTCCAAGGACCGGCAGCAGCAGCAACAATCACAGTCAACCCCCATAATAAAAGCTGATCCTCCGCAAAGGAGACCCTCCACGCCTGCGGCACCGATATTACCAGAACCAGGCACCCCCGACACGTTCACTGCTCAACCTCCACCAGTGGTGACCCTCAAGATCCCGCACACTGACACTGAAGATGAGCCGGACGATGAGCCGTCGAGTGTCACGCCCCATCTATCACCACTGCAGCCTCCAGAGATCATCATCACAAATGAAACCGGGGAGTCTTCCGCGGCAAATCTCCCCTCACCTGTGGACCCTCACAACGTTGCACTCCCTCTTTCCCCTCCGCGTAGTAGTTCCCCCGCCATGCGAGGCTCGTCTCCTCGTCCTACTCCACCTGTCATGCCGTCAATAGCAGGGACGATGGCTGCTGTCTCTCTTGGTCCAACTCCCAACCCCCCCCACGCTGAGTCCGACGAGCATCGCATGCGGCCCTTCCACCAAGCGCCTTCATTAGCAGATGCTTCAAAGTCGTCTTCTTCGCAGCCGATTATACCTGCTGGCACGGCGCCGTCAGATTCTGAGGTCGAGACGCTGAATGCCGCCGTACAGGCAGCACGCCAAGAGCATCGCCATGACTTACCCATTTGGATGCGTCAAGATGGCAATAAAGGCACAGCTTTACCAAGCCGGAGGAGTCGAACTGCATCAAGCCATAATATCAATGGTGCCCCCATACTTCCCGGTAATCACTCGAATAGCGAAATGGGCCCACCAAGCAGCCGTAGGACTGTTGGGAGATCACGCACACTACCGTATGAACCTGTGGAAGGGAGTTTTCTTTTCCAGCCTCCCGTCTCGACCACACCCACACCCCCCGACGAGGATGACCATGTTCCTGAACCATCACCCGCTCCTGCATCGTCCTCGACCACTCGCCGCATCGGGCCATTCCCCTTCGGGATACCAAAGTTTGTTGGGAGATTTGGGTTTGGGAGAAAGGCACCTCCAGCTGCCCCTATCATTCCCATCATACCTGAGCTTTCGGAGGAATCGCCAGTAGTGCAGACACGGGCAAGTGCTGACCAGAGTATGCAAGTCAAAAAGGGGAAGTGGCGTAGTGTGATTCCGACATTAGAAGAAGACGACCGACCACCCTCGCTGACTCCTTCGGAAGTCACGACAAGCACTGTAACAATACCCACACCCACTTCATCCAGGTCCGCTCAGTACCAACAACACCTCGCGCAACAGCAAGGGCTACAAGACCATCATTATCAACAGGACCATCAGAAGTCAAAGCCCACTGCCATAATTCCGGACAACATCCCCCCTTCCTCACCCGAAGTGGAAACTCCCCCAACCAGACACCGACGCCATCGAAAGTATACCCCCATCACAGATTCAACTCTAGGATTCAGCCAGTCAAGGGAGGCGAATTCCAATCCACCTCCGCCACCACTGAAGATCTATTTTGGAGCGTCTTCTGAGCCATACTACGGCTTCTCCATTGCATCCCCTTACACAGTCTATTTTAATAACCGTCTATATTCCACCGCAGAGCACCTGTATCACGCGTTCAAGTTCATACCAGCGAAAGTTGGAAGACGGGTTGGAAGTGGGAACGGATTCATGGGAGTTGGTAGGAATGAGGCGTTGAGGATCGCGGAGGCTGTGAGGAACGCAGGGCCTCGAGGCCTGGATGCTTGGCTGGCTGCAAAGGCCTATGATGCGTGGATTCGACCTGATTGGGAAGATATCAAGGTTGACAAGGTACGGCGCTCTTTACGTTCCATTTCTAAATTTGATCGATCGCGGTCCAGATGGAGGAAGTCCTCTACCTGAAGTTCACACAGCATAGGGAACTTCGAGAAGAACTCATTTCTACATATCCAGCTCAGCTTATGTGGGGAACGAAGCGAGACGCCTTTTTCGGTATCGGACCGGACGGAGATGGAAGAAATGAGCTTGGCAAACTTCTCATGAGCGTCCGGGAGCGATTAAAGGATGAGGGAGGGTATGACATATCCGACTCCAGTTAGCCCTGAAATCCGATCATTCCCACTCTGTATCCTCGCTTCCCCTTGGGCTCCTAGTGTTCCTATATCATCCAGAATCATTCAACCACTTTTCCACCATACCCCAATCCCAAGCTCTGGACAGCGTTCAGTGGCTTCTCATCTTGTTTGCTTTCCGTCAAAATGCCTTTCTCTCTTAAACAATTTACTCTAAGTTTATAATCTTTGTTCGTTTCTTAGTGGATGTTTCACACTTGTACTTATTGCGAATCAAGATAGCACGCAAGACAATCAATCACAGCAAGTTACAAATGAAATGTCTGGGAACGATCGTGGTGTTACCAAGGCTAACAGCTTGATCCGATTGTTTCACCTAATCGTTGCGTCTTCGCCGGTAACGCGGAGAACGAGAACGCACGTACGGACTGCGAGAGCGTGAGCGACTTCTTCGACGGACAGGGGAGCGAGAGCGGGATGGAGACCTCGAACGACTCCTCGAACGACTACGGGGCCTTCTGTGCGGAGCCCTGTCTTCTTCCGCTCCTCCTAAGGTGCGATCGGGTGACCCTCTACGAGGCAATCCGCGGCGGTTAAGCGCAGCGCTACCACGAGCACGCCCTCGCTCCGAAAGCCCATTCCTGTTTTCCTCATGGCCTGGAAGTCCGCCCCCACGCCCGAGGAATGATCCTACCCCGCGAGGTGCGCCTCCTCGCCAGTTTTGAGTAAGTTTAGATTCAGTGTCGCGGGTCCACCGGGAAGTTGGTGCGCGAGGATCCCAATCCCCCTTCCCGCTCCACGAGTAGCCGCAGCGCCTCTAATACTCGGGCCACCAGCGCCAAACGATCCCGAGGCACTGGGGATACCGGTTGATGTGGGGACCATGACTGCAACGTCGAGCCAGTCTCCTGGCTGGACTCGGAGTTCTTCTATGGTGCGTTCTTCGGCAATCTTTTTGTCCTTTTCTTCTATTCTCCCGCGTCGTTCCAATTCGTCTGTGCCTTGCTCGGTCTCAAAGTCTCCTTCCAACAAGTTGATTTGCGTGAGGTCCCTGGCGTGGATCGTACCTAGGTCTTTGTAGGAAATACGCCCTCTGTCGGTGGGATCAGGGAAAACGGCACGGAAGGAGAAGCGTGCAGCGCCATGTCGAAGAGAACTGGTAAGTGGGTTTGGCGGCAGCGCACGGAGTGCAGTGACCAGTTCGCGGAGGGTTGCATCATTCCTATGATGACAGATGTAATTACAACACATCCAGTGCAAGCCACTAATCTTTGTACGTACCATGTATACAGCTGATACTCGTCGGCAACAGGTAAGACGTTGTCTTCGAATATGCTCAAGCGGTGGTGTCCACCAATTTTTACAAACGCCCGTAACAGAAACGGGCATATCTAGGACACATTCGATCAGTTGCACCATGGATGATAGTAGCACCCACTGACCTTACTACGGTCTACAACTGGTTTCGAAGTGGGGGCATCGTCTGCCATTAGTTTGAAAGAACCCAATTTAAGGTAGTGATCACATGGAGCTACAGTAGAATTAAATTAGTTCCCCCTACAGCGATATTATAAACATCACTATATGCAGCATTATCTGTTTCTCAGAGAACCCGTCACTAAGTGCTGAAGTACGAGACAAATTCCTACGCCGTGCGATCTCTCATTTAGACTCACCATTGAATCTCAGCCTCTCTGTACTACTTCTGACCCCGATACCCCCAGTTTTGATCACCATAGTGCATAGAGGGAGGCGTTGGATGAACGCAAGGTGAATATTTATGGCCACTCCACTGTGATCCCATAGTGGCCGAAGACGCCCCAGGCAACGTAACTAGTGTTTGTGGTCACGCTGCGATATCGTGCACTCAGAGCCGTATTGATCGCCCTTGATGTCAGCGGCGATTCTCATACAGCTAAACTAGCTTCTCAAAAATGGGAGGAAGCCGGCAATGCCGCTTCAGGCAGTTATCAGATTTTGCTGAGCAGTACATTCTGTCATAGGGATAGAGAAACGAATATTTTCTGCCTGAGGTCAGTCATCCAACAAATCATCATGGAACAAAGCTGGTCATGGTGGACTTTAAGCATGTGGTTAGCATAAAGTGAGTAGGCCAACAACGGCCACTTTCACTGTAGTCGGTAGTACGGAGATCGGGGTACATAGGATACTAGAGGTTTCCCAATTCCACAGTGCGTCCCCTGTCATGCACGCAAGTGATGCCTTCCCCATTCTGGAGATTAACGCGACTACTAATCGGCCAAAGCTTCCGTTCGCGAAGAAAGATGTCGAACATGCCTACTAGAGCCCAAGTAGAACGCACCCTATTCACATTAGTTTCTGTTTGTGGAGGCTGGCGAGTTGACTTTTCGCAAGCAACGTAGCTCGAGTAATTGCATCATAAGAGCCCGTTACGCCACGCTCACCCTGAGGTAAGGACGTCACAGTATCAATGACACCAGTTTGTGTGATGCCACCAATATCACCGTTAGGATACATGACGACCGCCAAGGTGCTTTCCATTAATGGCTCCTCGAATGAAGTGAGATCAGCCAGAAAGAATGATTCAGGGACTGAGTTGGGTAACGGGCTTGAACTAGGTTTGAAGTGGCCAAAAGTGAAGGATGAAGGCGTCCGTGCAAAGTTGAGTGAGAGAGGAGCAGATAGCGTTCTTGAGATGGTTGTCCTGCCAGTCGTCTCCGAGAAGGTGGCGGTAGGAAGTTGCGCTAGATGATCACCAATGAGAAGGCGGCAGAAAGAGCAGGATAACGGGCGCAAGAGGAGAATAAGCGCAGAACGCTTACTGTTCTTTAGTGCAGTGACCACAGCTAACAGGGTGGCGTCAAGGGCATTCCCGTCATAATTAATGCATGCAGCATCAATATAGAGGCACCATACCGCCTTCCCTGGCTCAATGGCCAAACTCTTGAGAGGCAAGAATTCGGAGCTATAGGCCAAGGTTTTAGTAAGCCACAAGTGTCAAATAAAGGTTGACGTGAACCTTAAGAGGGTTCCATAAATATACTGGGATATAATTTGAGCCTCCTCCCCAGGAGGACCAGTTTTGAAGAGAGGAGAGCACATAGCGGATAAATCAACATTAGGAACTACATCATCAGTTCTCGAATGAGCTACAGAGTCGAAAGTATGACTGATTAAAGGGCCTCACCAATGAATCCACTTGCTGGATGATCGATGTCTGGTTCAGCAACCTCGGCCTTGACGCCACACACTATAGTAGTGTCTCCAAGCCTTACGAGGGCCGACCCATCTGCGGTCGAAATGGATCCTTGACAAAACGCTGAGCTTCAATAGGTCAAGATTTGCATCATCATACCGGAATTGACACTGATGTCCCGCCAGCTTGAATCACCTCTGCCATCAGGCCTGACGCCTTCCGCAAGAAATCGTTCCAAGTAAGCTCGCGGATGAAGTCGTTGGAAGGTAAGCGCTTGGAGCGACGTTGACATTTTTCCCGCACAAATAAATAAATAAATCTCACGTGTTTTACCCGAGTACAGTTCCGTGCCGCCGCCAACAGAAGGGAAAGTAACAGCATGTCCCAAATCGTGGGGAATGTAAGCTTCAACAATCCGTACGTGCTTGCCTGATTTGTAGTCACTAGACTGCTCTTGCATATCACCGAGCTTGGCATCATGTTGACGCGAGCGGACGGATCCTCGGGAAGCTTGCAACACGTATTGCTCTTGTTCTGATGGGCAAGCATAAACCAATATATGACCGGTCAAGTGCGTGTGTTTCCAAAGCTTTCAGAAATGATTCTGAGGTTTATTGGCCCCCCAGTCGACTGTGGCGACTACGTTACTGTTACCAATTCTCGCGGTATTGTTGTGTCTGGGCAGAAAGCCGAACAGAAACTTTACCGACATCACACCATGTACCCTGGTGGTTTGAAGGAGATACCATACAAAAGAATGATGGAAGTGAAGCCAGAAATGGTGAGTTACCTGGAGTCCAGGCACCCTGCCGCCATTTCAATCCCCCTTCCCCCAGATTCTGCGGAGAGCTGTATCAGGGATGCTACCGAAAAACAAATTAAGAGAAAGGCGATTAGAGCGGCTGTTCATCTTTGAGGGCGACGAGAATCCTCATGCTGCAAATGTCATCAAGCGATGGGAGGACGGTCAAGTACCAGGGTTAGGCCCTCGGCCACGATATCCAGCTGGGGTCAAAGCTACACTATATGATCGACTTCGTCGAAGATAGCACAAGGAAGATGGGTACTCATGTATCATAATCATAACATGTTAATATGAAATCTCGGCCAGAAGAGAAAGCCATGCTGTATGATTTGGAAAGTACCAATTTAACGACACTTATTCCACCTCCCTGAACCTTCCCGTCATCGGCAAAAATAATCAAGATCGGGCTCCTACGAAGGGACCCAAGTACAAGGCACCGCTTGTGCTTTTGTCGATCGTCCTCTCCAACTCCTGCCTCTTTTCCTCCCAGGATTTGAGAGACTTGACTAACTGGACAAGCTTATCGTGGTTTCCCTGTCGGACATCATTAATTGAGACGCTTCCCATGCGGACGTCATTGTCCAAAAGGAAATCGAAAAGGATGAAAAGACCATCGAGTTTCTCGTCCGTTGGTGAAGATGGAAAGGCAGAATCTGTGACCTCGGACCCATAAGGAGTGCCTTTAATATGCTCAGCCACACGGTAGAGAACAAGGCCTGTGGAGAGTGATGCGGAGAGGTCGGTCGCCCTATGTTTCGTTCCTGCAAGATGTGAGTTGACCCATTTTAGGAGTTCGACGTCTTGCGGCTAAAATAAGAGTCATCAGGACGCTGTACACGGCATACGTCATGTGGCAACTTACGGATTCGACGGGAATACTCTTGACACTGTTTTCAACCTGGCGCCTTGTAGGTCGGGCAGGCGCACTTGCAGTTTTAGGCGTGCGATCTACATGTGGCGTTGAGGGGCCCAGGGTTGAGCCATCGCCTCGTAATGTAGTACTATCTCCTGTGATGTCCGAGACAGCACCACTTGGCCCATTCTCAGATGGCAGACCCATTAGGACCTGCGCATCGCGACTTGAGAGCTGGCTAGTGTTTTCTCGCCGAAGAGCACGCTGAGTCGCATCCCGGGCTGTGGGTGAGGGAGGACGAGGTGCAGGTGACATGGCCTGGGCAACGCTGAGGGGGATGGTGGGAATGTTGACAGATGAAATCACGGCCTCTGTACGAATAGATGTGACTACAATGCCCAACAGCAGCGTAGGAAGGACCCACTTGAGTAGTCGCGTGCGATGGTAGCCTTCATCAATGCCTTCATCCATTCCCGAATGGTAATTTGTTCATCTGAACTGAAGTAATGAGTCATGCCGGTGTCGTGAACTATCCGGAATCCATATCGGCCAGGATATATGTTTTCATCGGCGATGATGCGATATCCTTTGATGTTAATGTAACCCTTGATCTTCGCTTCCTAGTTGAAACAGAGGACTGTAAGTGTGTATTCAATAACCTTGGATTGACTTACTCCCTTCCCCCGCAGATAATACAAATGTGGCCCTTTCAGAACGAAATATCTTAACTTCCATGTGTTATACCTTTCACCCTTCTTCCTCATCCATCCATCATGATCAAATTCCTCTATCTGCTCCAAGAAAGATTTATCAGACTTCAGAATCACGGGGCCATTAGCGTTGGCTGGAGGCTTTTCGGTTGGTGAAACCTCAAGTATTTTCCTCGGCTTATCCTCAGCATCTCCACTTGAGCGACGCTTTCCAGCAGATGAAGGTCTACCTCCTTCACCACTTCGACCTTTTCTTGTGGATCCCGAGATATAGAGGCGAGAAATACCGCGGGATACCTTTTCATGTCCAGCAGATGTAGGAGAAATCTCTTGACTGGATTCCCTATATCAAACATTAGCAATCGTGTTCGAGCAGCCTGGCGGACAGCACTCACGAGTACCGCGGAGCGGGTTTTCGTGATTTACCTAGGGAAGCGCTGAAGAACGAAAGCCGTTGGGCCTCCGCGGAAGGACTAGGGGTTTTGGTCGCAGAATCTATGCTCCTCTTCGACTTATGATTAGAACGCCTTTCAGAAGCTGGGGGCATCTTTTGAGGGCTAGATGGAGCATTAGCCCCCTCTAAACCTGCCGTTTGGTCCCGAGACACGGATCGCATGAATCCCTTCTTTGCCTTGCTGCGAAGGCTCGTCGGAGCACTCTCGGTCTGTGCGAGTATGTAGATAAGAGCTCAAGGAATTTTATCGTGAAGTCGATATGTACTCACGTCAGTTGCCGCTTTGTCTACTCCATCCGAGACCTGGGAAAGGGCCGCTGAACTTGTGCTCGTCTTCTTGGAGTGTGCAGACCACAATCCCTTAGCTGATAGGGCGCCATCGCTGGGGGACAACGAGAGAGATGCGGGCCTCGACTTCTGTATTTATAGAAAGGCTCATTAGGAACATCTGGGAGATGAGGTCGACGTTGTGTGAGTGATCTAACCTTTGTGGTCTCAGCAGTAACAACGCCAAGCCCAATCAATCGTCCTTCGGTGGGTATACCTCCGAGTTCAGTGGCCGCCAACGCTCCTGCGTGGACGGGAACAGATGCGGACACCGGCAGGGCAAACGATGGTGAGGCGGCCAGGTCGCCTGTATGCGGGGCACTCTCAGGGCTATACAGCATCACACTGGGGCTGCGGACTGAATGAGGCAATGATGATGGGCCCTGAAGTTGGTGCTCGGATGGGTTGGACGAAATGGCAGAAATAGGCCGATTGAGGTGATTCTTGAGATCATTGATCGCATGCGCTATTTTCATCCGTTTGCCAAGCGCATGAATCTCCAACTCTTTCAACATATTGACATCGAGTTCGAGGAGGACATCTCCACTGATCTCATGTTCTTTACAGAGATTGGTCAACTCAGTATGTCAGAATAATAGATCCATGTCGTACCAATAAACTTCGCGCAAATGCCTTCATCGAAACCTTAGTCTTCAGCCATGCAATTACTTGATCGACAGTCCAATCGGTGGTGAGACGTTCCCGATGTCCACAGAGATATCCGCTGGAGGAACCGGAGGTCCATGAGTAATCTCCTGAGACAGGTGTGATGGCTTGAAAGATGAAACACTAGGCCGCTTGTTCCGAAGAGACTTAGCAGAGGAAGACGATACTGGTTTTGATGCAGAAAATTGGGATGGTTCTTGAGCTGGGAGCTCAGTGATGGTGGTGGTCTCGGAGATCGGTTGTTCTGCAGAAAGACTGGTGGATGGGGGTATGGACTCCTTATCGATATAGGATTTTTCAGCGGGCATTCCAGGAATGGGGGTGGGAGCTCGGGACTCCTCTTTCTTGGCAGGTAAGGGAGGTTGGACCATTGTAAAGGTGCCATTTCGCAAGTTTCCATTAACTGGAAGTTTGGGCGTAACAAAGGTACTCTGTTGATCATGCTGTTTTAAGCTATCTTCCGTCTCCTCGTTAATTGCTTCCTGAACTGCTGGCTGCACCGGCATATCCGACACAGAGTGAGGACTTTCGCTCACATCCTTGTGTGAAAAGACTGCTAGCTGAGGACGAGGCGGGAATCATCCTCAGACTCGGACTCGTCTGACACTTCCACTTCGATGGGGGGCCGATGGGACTGTAGAACCTTCTTGCTATTTTGTCGAGAAGCATTCTGCGCCAAGAGAGCACGCGTATCCCGATGCGTATTACCACTATTGTCCTCAGCACCAGACTTCCCTCATCGTCTGTAGGGATGTCATCCTTCGTGCTAGCGAACGAAAACGAGCGGCTGGCATCCCCATTGTTTCGGACGCCAAGTTGTTCAATAGCTTCCTGGATATCTGTCATGGTAGCATGCATAACGGTGTCGGGCCCGAGGTGCGAAGTGCCTCAGGCTCCTCATGATCCCCTCCCTGCGAGTCGCTTTCCTCCGGGACGCTGCCAAGTATCTGTGAAGCAGGAGCCATTGGCACAACAACGTCAGTCGGCGGATGAGGAGTAGTATAGCTCATTGGAAACAGGCCAGTCTGGCCAGCCGGGTTTGTCCCCTTCCACCATTCGTCTTGATAGAGGTCATCTTTCTCAACGACGAGTATTCGATCACCCGCTTTGAAATCTATCTCGTCCTCGTGCTCCCGCACGAAATCATGTAAGCCCCAGACATACTCCATGCCTCCCAAGGAACCGCTGAGTGGTCTCTTCACTCGGTTGGTCGAGGTAGCGTTGACGGCTCTGACGAGCGCTGTACTTGCGGCAACCGGTATTTAGATTGGATTTGAGTCCCACCTCACGTGCCGATAGTCCGACACCTCCCGAATTTATGTATGGATTGAACACAAACGGCACAAGATCAATGACAAGCAAACAGCCTTTAGGAATCAGGGGAGATAATAATCTTTTTGGATAATGCTATTTCGGCGTTCATGATGGAACTCGTTGCTGCACCGATCGCAACATTGTTCGACATCACAACGAACTTGATATCTAATACGGCGCACTGCCGTATGCGGCCGACATGAACGCAGGAGCCATCTTGGGAATCTCGGTCTAGGCGTGGCTGAGGACGATCGTTGTCTTCATGCACGATAATTGCGTGCTGAGGGGCCGAAGGGACTCGCAATGACTGAGCTTCAGTAGAGAACTCAGCTAAAGTTTCACGGACTTGTTGGGGACTAGGCGGTGGTCGATGAGAGAAACGGACCGATACGGTTTCTGTATGGCCTTCCGTTACAGGAACCCGGCTACATGACGCTGAGATACGCAACGGCGACTCCGCGCGTAGGTTGAAAGATGTACCATCTTGGGTGAGCCCCCCCAGTATTTTGGCTGTTTCCCACTCCAATTTCTCTTCCTCTCCTCCGATGTAAGGAATTACATTATCCATAATATCCATGCTCGGACCCCGGGATACCCAGCCCCCGATATCGACTGCATTGTGCTCACCAGTACCGCATCCAGCGGTCCGTACTTTTTCTCCAATGCAGCGAGGGGGATTACAAGCCCAGTAGTTGAGCAATTTGCGTTGGTGACAATAAATCCCCGTTGGAGGCGTGGCGTTTGCACGGAGCGCTGGTGAGGAATGATTGCAAAATGCGCAGGATTGACTAGGGGGACGATGAGTGGTATCTGAGCATCGCGTCGGTGATTCTTCGCATTTGAAAAAACTGCGAATTCAGATGCACGGAATGCCAGCTCTGCCCGAAACGGGAATGGATAACCGAACAGCGGTTAAGAATTACTTGTGACTCCAGGAGAGAAGGTGACACTCACCAACGTCGCCAGCTACATCTGCATCTAAACCGGAGAAAATGACGACGCAGCCCTGAAAGCGGTCGGGGACACATTCCTGGACAACAAGGTCCCTTGCTGATGCTGGAACTGCCGTCGTTTGCTTCCAGCGGCCCTTCACGGCTTGATGATACGGTCGTCCGGCAGATCGGGCTGAGGCGCCTAGTGCATGGAGGCGGAAGTATGGATGTGCTGCTATAAGCTTGATGAATCGTTGGCCAACCGTGCCTGTTGCGCCGAGAACCCCAACAGGAAAAGGGACATGCACGCGTTCAGCGGCCATCGCACTATCCAGGAGGGTGCGATGACCCAAGTAGGTGGATCTGGCGTAAGCACCCACTGGAAATTTTGAGTCGGCCGACGGTATTCAAAGAATTCTGATCATGTGCCCTTTTGGCCAGGAATAGGTGCAACAGTACTACTACTAGTACTTGTTCAACAGCAGCATCAGTGGACCTCCCATTTTTGAATACATTGCACACATGTCCCAGCTTCCAGGTTAGTTCCGTCGCTGATCATTTCTACAATTTATCCTCTGTCTGATAAGTTGGATTGGTTCAGAGGCAGATGCAAACGCAGCACAACTCATCTACCCCCCACACGCCACAGCAAACGCAGCAGCACTCGCCAACATCAAATTCCTTGCTGCATGCTTTTGTGGTGCTGTCGCCGGCGTTTTGGGGCTCGAGAATCACTATGGATTCGCCCTGTTTGCGGCGTCATCAGTGGCCACGGCTCTAGCCATCTACCTTGTGCATATTGCAGGGAATCGCGCATATAGGGATGGGACTTCATTGAAGGGATCAAACGATACGAACAGGTCGTCTAAAATCAGCACATTCGTGAGAGGAGGGGTATGGGAGATTCTGAATCCAGGGCACGAGAATTTTTTCTCATTCATATTATTGTGGACTTTGTTCTACGGTGAGTTGCTTTTTTTATTGTCCCTTGATTTAGATGGAGTAATGGGTTTGTTGGGACTAATGGTCTTTACGTTATTGTTTCCCTTCTGTACAGGTATAGTGCATGGTAGGTCGAGCTTTTCATGCGTTGGGCAGTCGTGCCACGATTTGATGTCCTTCCCCTAGTGTATGATTGAGGGACGCTTACAAGGTTATTTTCCCCTCTCCGGCCGACTGAGCTGCTTGTGAGTTGCAAGATCCATTATCGATCGGTTGCCTGAAAATTCCAACCTTCATTTGTTGCTCTCGCAATTACAGTTACAGTACTTAAACCAATATTTGTGAACTTGTATAGGTGTGAGCGCTGTTACTAAACTCGAAATCTGTGTTAAATGCGACAGCACCCTTGTATTGCTATTAATATTCTTTCGCTCTCTTTAATGGATATCACCCCTTCCGTTTCCACGAGCCAGCCACGCGACCGAGCAACCACGTTGCAAGAATTCAAAACTCACTCAATAGGCTGATTTCATATCCTTCAGACCGCTCAATTCAATATTTGGCACCATCTTACGCGTAGTCGACACGCAAGGTACGGGAAAGTTTCTTCCCCTCAATGCTGCCCGGAATTTTACAACCATCATCTTTACGAATCGAAATGATTATTGCTCGTCAGAACTATATAGTGCCAACCATTTGCCAGGCTTATGAACAGCTTTCCCCCTCTCAATCACAATATCTTTTCTCATCCCCCCTTCGCCCGTGCCGCTCAGGTCCGAATCTACCTCGACACACCCCTCTCTAAGGCCGCTGACTCGATCAGATGCCTGCGTCTGCCCACATGAATGCGTTCACCCTGTACGACCTCTCCGGTAGTCTCACATCTGATAATGAGTTTAGAGACTCGGAGGCGCGCTCAGCCTACTACTGCCAAGTTCTGAGACAGAACCCACTTTCGACAAAAATCATCCGTATGGCGGACTGGCCACTGCAGTCGCTGAAAGACCCTGCCAGCGCCTGGCTGTATTTTACCTCAACCGACAAGATGGAGGGGTACATTAAATTCGGGTCCAAGGAGCCCACCCATTGGAAGAACATCTTAATCAGCTACACCCTTCAAGCTCGTACGCCGTGATCGAGGGTTGGGCGGACCGGATTGTGTTTTGACAGTTTTCTTAGATCGCGATGGTTTACCGGACTAGATGGCGGGAAGTACAAGTGGAAACCAGCTTCGCGCTCGTTACATGTGAGTGCTTGCGTGGGAGTGTTGTTACCGTTACCTCAGATCCCGATCTCATGATTTTCTTCGCGGAGACCAGTGCTACGATGAGAACGAGCGGCTATTGGCGGTTTATGAGTACGGCGTAGATGATGTCTACTTCGCGAAGCTGGATATCAAACAAGGTGCCGAAGACATGGTGATAGAAATCATCACGACATTGTTGTTGAATCGTCACAACATTCATCGCTCCCCGTAATTTTGCCGCTTCAGGAGGGGGGGGGAGAGACCTTGGAGCCTTTCGTGGCTTGTTATTTCCTAAGATTTCAGTTTACGAATATGGCTTGTAGTCAAATCTCTCCTTCATCTTTGGAAGTTCAATTCGTCTCTGGATAGCGGCTGTTGCACCTGTTGTATTCATGATTCGCCCTGTATGTTGGAGTTGAGGTTTTGCATCATTTATGTTCACAATCTCATGAGATTAATAACATGGTTTTGGCCGTATCCACGGCGGCATGCCGGGTCAGTCTAACCATATGGGATGTCACAATTTCTGGTGTTTCCGAAAGCAGCGAGGTTCGGTATCTTGCTTTATGATCCCCGTACTGACCTGAATATATGACGAGGGGTAACTTCATAAGACACGCGAGCGAGGAAACGTAAAGATGCCCCTGGCAACTAAAAAACATTCATAGAAACAATTAGGCCAAATCACTTGGTCGCATCCGTAACGCATCGTGGCCTGATCTTCGGTGCATGATCCCATTGGATGAGTTAGCATGGTGTAACCGCAGCAATGAACAAAATCCGCCGAGAATGTCATGAGGAAAAGAAAAAGCCATGCGTTGCTACCTCAGCGTATCAGCAGATCAGCCTTTCAGCTCATCCAATAGTGACTGCAGTCGGCCCCATTCTGGTTCCTCTTCAAAATATGCTTTGGTACGCCCCATGAAACCCCTCACGATTGTTCGTGCCTGGAATCGCCAGTTTATCTTCTTCCCATCAGATTCGAATGTCATTTTGCTATGATCATCCTGTGACCCTACTCGTGGGCCCAAATTACGCATTATATCAACCAATTCCTCAACTTCAACCACGCCTTCGCGCCAGCGATCCATATCAGTCGTTACGGAATCGTCCGTCCCAGTGCCGCAGCGATATGCACTTATATGAGCTTCCAATGCATCGCCCCAGCGGTTTTGGTAAGTCAGGAGCCTTGCATAAGCTTGAAAAATGCGCGGTGAAGAGGATATTCGCGGGAGGATCGTACGAGTGAACAAATCCGACACTCTCGGCAATAATGCCTTTCCCTCATTGGGATTATACATCTCCACTCCATCCGGGGCGCCGGCGTCCTCGCAGTTCTTGTTTGCGTCCGGTCGCACAATTCCATCAACAAGACGGTCTAGCACATCCACGTCGACCGCGGAATCGCCTTCTTTCTCACTGCGCTCCTCCACGATTCGTCCAACCGCACGAGCAGCCTCTGCCAGCTCACCTACATCCATGCATACGACCATATAATTCTGCCACATGCGCCAGTTTTCCCAACTGAACTTGAGACCTTGTTTCAGTGCACGGAACGCCATCATTTTATTTTCAAATGGGATCCTGTCACTCCTCAGGCTCATTTCTGGGAAGGGCACCTCCTAGCACGACGAATGGGTCATTTCCAATAATTAGCTTGGTGATGGTGTTGAGTACCTTGGGGTATCTGTCATCGGTGTCTGCAATTTCGAGCAGTTGGCCTGTAGCCCCCATTCTTAGATACACACTTGCCAGATTGCTCCAACTCTCTCCATCATCTTCGTCGATGGTCACGCATCTCGCGAATGCATCGCGGGCATCAGCCCACTGCTCTTCCCGAAGACATGCACAACCAAGGATAAACCAGGTCCTCGATAGCAATGGGTTTATGGCAACAGCTTTCTTTAGCCATTCGATTGCAGAGGAAAATTCATTCCGCGCAAAGTGATACCCACCCAATGAGCGGGCAGCACGACCAGACTTGTCCTGAGACACTTCCCATGCGTGGGTGTAATGCGAGTAACAATATTCGGGCTCCAGATCCCCAAGCAGACACCAGAGCTTCGCTTCGCGGGCTGTGTCCATCGCTGCGCGCCTCGATCTGGAACGACTTTTTGCCCGCGATAGAACAGTTTCGGATTCTTCCTTGCGGCCGTGAAGAAGGTCATGGACGATGCTGATTCCATTTTCAGGTCGTTCCATTGACTGCCAGCATTTGACAACCTCCTCCCACATCTCAAGACGCTCAAAGATATCCATTGCTGAGCGAACAACTCCAAGGGACAGATAACGGATAGCCATCTCACGATCCAATTGCCACTTACTTGGAAGAGGGATGGAGTGAATGTACAGCAATCTTTCCGATACGGGAGAATCAGAAGTGGGCATCTGGTCAATAAGTGCTTGGAGCTGAAGGGTAGAGCGCTCGATTGTTCGTGTCCTCGTGCCTTCTAATCTCGACCGAAGGAGGAGGGCCATGGTGTACACTGACCAGTTGCGAGGATGTGTGAGGATCCGCTCCACGTAGGGAGACATTTGTTCTGTGGTCAGTCCGTGATGAGGCTGGGTGTTGTGAACATTGAGACACATGGCAAGAAGAACGCTTTGATCAAGAGGATGGAGAGAGGGCTGACTGGAGGGATTGATATAATCTAAGAGACCATCCCCAAGATCGGATTTCCGTTGGGATGATGTAAACTCGGTATGTTCTAAAAGCGTATCATCATTCATCGGAATGGTGGCTGGAAAGTTACTCCGTTCATCCTTGAATTCGATAGGGTTTTCTCCAAGTCGCAGACGTCCCTGCGCAAGTAAGACTAGTTGCGAAAGATCGTTCTGCTGAAATTTAGTGCGTTTGCCCAGCGCCCCCGTGAGCAAGTATTGCAGTCCGAAAATCCCTGCAGCTTGAACGAAATGCAGGGAAGCTTCTCTGTCGTTCCCTAGAATATGGTAAAGAAGACCGCGTTCGAGGATGATTGTACCTCGCAGGTCTCGCAGGCCATCCTCACTTCCTAATTCCGATAGCAGCTCATCCAATAAGTTAAACACTGATGATGGTGGGGCAACGGGTTCGTCAAGGATTTGCGTGTGTATTTTGGTGGCTCGCAAATTCCACCATGGGACGGTAATAAGATGCGGGAATGGCTGGGCGAAGATAATTTGTGAAAGACGGAGGAAGACGGCCTTCTTAGCGAGATGGTATGCAGGTTCGCCTCTATATGCTAACTCCCTAAGGGCTAATATGTTGAGAGTAGACGTTGCGCCATCGTTGCTGGGATTTTCGGTGGGAGAAGAGAAGAATAGGTCACTAGGGTCGAGTTGTAGATCAGGACCTGTCCAATTCTCTTGTAAAAAGCAGTGGAGAAATGCAACACCGATCGTGAGCAAAGACATCTCTGCCTCTGCATGATCAGATGAAGGGGCTACGGGGACATTTAATAGATATTCTGTGCCCTTTTGGGCCACAATGCCGAGAGATTCTGGTCGGACAAACAAAATCTTCGCGAACTGACTCTGCAACACCCCAGTGAAGTCTCCATCGATAATCATCCCCACTAGTTTCGAAGCATCTGAGGAAGTATCCGTCAAATGAGGTTCCCTTTTGCCGCTAACGAGTGCGAGTTCTATCGATCGCATGGGATTGCCAGTGTCCATGATGAAGTTGAGAGGTTCAAGAGTCGAGGCCACTAACACAGCCCTTTGCAACGTAGGAAGTAATGTGTAAATGCCAGTCTGAGATATTTGGATACGCCGAGGGCACGCTGCGACCTTCGTCCTCAAAACTTAGCTACGACGCAATTGGGCTGTCCCATTCAAATCATTGTGATTGGTCACTGTCAAATCGGCCAACCCCGCATCGATTATCAGCGTGCTGAATGTTGACATTCGTGTGTCAGGGGGAATTAGCAGGCGAGTGCTTCCAATGCGGTTCGCTGAACATGCGTCCATATTTGTATTCGATTCAAGTAACGCCACTACCAGCCCCGCAATTGTTCAATCACACCTCCGAATCTGCTTGCACTCAGCTAATGGCAAAGACTTTCTTCAGGTCTAGAAGCTTTTTTATCTTTTGTTGCTGTTTCTTTTTTACCCTATCGCGTGCGTCGTTCAAGTTGATGACATGCTGCAAAGGCTTCCATCCATTATGCCATGTGAGCAGGAAGATGCTTCCCAAGCGCGTGTTGCGGGTCGATCAATCATCAAGCTTTCCTGGTTCCTTGTCGATTCTACCACCCCTCCATACCGCGGTTTCTTTTTTTTGGACTCACTTAAGAGCAGGACTGATTAATTCATCCGCTGTTTCTCGAGTGGGATGTGGCAGCCTCTGATCGCCAGAACTGTGTAGCGCATGATCGGGGATCGATAACCAATGCAATCGAAATCCTCTGAACGCAACGGGTGCCGTAATGCCAGACTCGCATCTATGCAAAACTGCGACAGTCTTGAGCCCTTTTCCATGGATTTTTGGTATGTTTGGGAGATCTTGTAGCCGGCACTTCATGACCGGACCCTCAACCTCCGTGGCTAAACAAAGTCACGCCTATTCGAAAAGTCCTGATATAGAACAACCAATCGTTGTTCTTGGGAGATCGATGCTGCAGATTTTCGACACATGGGGATTGTGCTAATATTACACTCAGTTCCTAGTGAATCGCAGGTCCCATCCATTCATCTGTGTCTGAGGGCTTTAGATATGTTCATTTATTGCACAACAGTAGCACTCCGCAGAGGCAGCCATGATTGACATTTCTGAGTGCTGTCATGCGTTCCCTGGCCCCTCTTCCCTGTTTAGAACCTGGAGTATAGTGTTCTGCAGACCCGAAAAATGCATGCGTATGTTAGTCGTTTTGGGCTAGATCAGGAGGAGGGAATTTATGAGTCGTGTCCCTCAATGTAGGTTGGGTTGCTGAAGCAATGACGGGCGAACGACCAAGTTTTGATATTTGCATTTACATTGGTAAGTGTTCATGTTCTTCACGAGCTCCGCTCGATCTCTCCGAGCAGCATGGTCCCATCGGTTGAAGCAGTCAACACTGTTACATGTCCAGAGTAAGTAGCCACGATACAGGCTGGTTATGTGAGCTTACCGATGGGTTCCTTGGGGTGGAAATCGACAGCGGTAACAGTCCCTTTGTGTCCCGGAAGCTAGTGGAACAGTTCAACACACGGAACAGGGAAGAGAAGTTTTGTAAAGCCAACCTTATACAGAATTCTTCCGCTCTCAACGTCCCATATTGTTACGGTACGATCCGCACCCCCCACAGCGGCACGTCTGCCTTCATCATCCCTACTCCAAGCACATCGACTCAGAAGCTGCTCAAATCCTGCCGGTGCCCCTGGAGCGAAGGGATACATTGGTATGAATGAGAAAAACACTGAGTAAATCTGACTAACCCTGTAAAACACGGTGTACACGGCTGGGATTGGGGGAGAAGGGCCGCACGTCCCAGATGATCGTGTTGGAGGAGAACGACGGGGATAAGAGGTGGTTTCCAGAGGGGGAGAAGGAAAGAGAGGATGGTGTGTCGGTGTGCCCACTCAGAGTCATCACCTCGGCGCGTTTCCTTATGTCGTATACCTAAGGGCAATATGTGAGTGCAGTGAACAGAAGGTTGGCATTTACCTACATGAATAGCATTGTCCAGAGACCCTGCATATATCTGCGCCCCATCTGGTGACCAGCATACAGCAGTCACAGGGCATCCGATTTCCCATTCGTCAACCGAATCTTTCGTCTCCCCAGTCCAAATTTTCAGAAGTCCATCATCGGCTCCAGAAGCAAGTAATTCTGTCCCTCCCGCTATTACACGGTCAATCGAATTGATCACACCTCCATGAGCACGAATACGCCGTACTCGGAGTCCCGTGGTCAGGTCGGACACGCCCAGGGTTTTGTCCGCCGACGCAGTGAACAGATTCGTACTCGTTAGCGACCATTGAAGGTCTAAAATAGCGGCTTTGTGGATGTTCTGAATATGTCCATAGTTAGAATTTGGCGAATATGTTCTCCATAACGACACGCTGCGGTCGCCTGAGCACGCCGCGAGGTTTTGACCAGTAGAGTCAAAGCGGCAGCTAAGGATTTCGGCCTGTTGTAAAATAAATTAGCACTAACATATCGGCTCAAATACAAGCTACCGAACACTGTGCGCTCCTGTCAAGCTGACGATTGGTGCCTCGAGGCCAGAGGTTCTTTGGATGGAACGGATGAGTCCTTTATTCCGGTCATTTCCAGACGAAATCGCAATTTCTGTGGGAGGTGGCGTCTGACCCCTCAAACGTTTTACAAGCGCACCCGAAGGAGGAGGTGATGGTGCCTTTCTCTTAGTGTGGCTCTCCATTTTGACTTGCAAATTAAGACAACAATATTCAGTGATTATTACGGAACCAAAAAGCACGTGAGGATTCTCAGGAGTCTGGCTGGAAAATAATTGATTACTCTTCAAGTCTGCACGTGGGAAGCTGGCGTCATTAACATCGAGTTGTCCCATGCATCCCAACGTATCCAGTGGAATGACATGTGGTGACAATGCTTTCCCGTCTTGATGCTTTTTAGGTAAGCATTGGCATCGAGGGAGGCATGAGTCATTGGCATCGAAAAGTTCGAAGCGACGACAGCATTTCCCGAAAGCTTGTTCGTTCAGGGTGACACATGATCAACGCCTAGCAGGTTCCTGATGATGAAACTCATCGTCAATTTGCGAAACGTCAATTCGTAGGGTTGTGTAGGGGCCTATATGGTTGGTGAAACGTAGCGATAGCGTTTCTTAACCGGTGCCCGAATTGTGAATGGCGGTGATTGCGAGTCGGCAACATTGCCACTCCCCTCTGGAGAACACATTGTTTTCCTGGGAGGGCGGACAGCCTGGTAGATAACCTGCTGGACGAGTATTCCTGGAAGACATGAGGACCGTCGAATCAAGGCTGAAACATCTTACCTAATGCCAGCATGGCGCTAGGATCCATGGACCGATACATGTTAAGCCCCGGTTTCGAGTTCGATTCTACTATCTGTTTCGCCCTCTTTTTCTCATTACTTTTTTGCACTCCCAGAACACGCTCCTCGAACTTCGGGTGGTACCTCCTCCTTAGCAATCCACGAGTATCCCAATGATTGCTAGCTATCGAATGGATGGCCTTCATTAATTCCTGGATATACAGTGAGCACATGTGAAATTAAAGGAGGGTTGAAGAGCGCACAATGGATGGAGTAGGAAGTCCGCTATGATCATTGTTTTCTTGATGAAGACGGTAGACTTGCTCATCTTATGGTACATAATAGGCTTTGTGAGATGTTCATAATTCAAGCAACAGAAGAAGCCAACCATCATCATCAGAGGCGCCAGCCTCATTATCCCCGGTCTCATGACTTGAGAGTTCGCTGTCTGATGAGTCCGTGGTTTCAACGACACTTTCACAGTTGGAGGTCCCGTTATGTGGATTCGGCGGGTCAATAGAATCCGGATTTTTCTGGGAAGCTTCTGACGTTTGTACGCTAGGAGATTCCGAGAGCAGCATTTATGTACTTGCGTCTGGGGCAGAACTGACCGGCGAATCCCGAACCGAAACAAGCAATCTGAATTTGTCAGTTGCGTGCCAAAAGTTGCCACCATGCCAAAAGTTGCCACCATGCCACGGCGGATCGTCACGTCTGACGATGAGAATCACGCATCGAGCGTTCTTGATGATCGGAGTAATGGGATAGACACGATTTCCTCCGACAATGACGCGTCTCATTCCACTCAGCGCACTCGGAAACGTGCTCGTGTCTCGTCGGGTGGCAAATCCATCAAACGCGAGGGTGACAAGCGAGAGGCCAGGGGAAGGGCTAAAGAGAACAAAATAGGGCAGTCGCTTGGAACCCCAGCGGCTTCTGGGGCAACGCAAGAGGACGATAACAACGACGATGACGAGGAGGCGGCAGCCGTAGCAGCGCAGGTGCCCAAGGCGGTGACTCTGCCGCGTGATATTGACGGGTATATTTGGGTCCGTCTTGTCCTTGCCTGTGTGCTAACTCTGATGGCTTAGATACGTGCCAGGCTCCATCGTTCGAGTGAAGTTACATAATTTCGTTACCTACGATGATGTCGAATTCCGCCCAGGACCATACTTGAACATGATCCTTGGTCCTAATGGCACTGGAAAATCCTCTATTGCTTGCGCCATTTGTTTGGGCCTTGGGTTTCCTCCTTCGGTTCGTAGTATTTTGTAGTTTGGAGCATTCTACATTCACACAAACACTCTAGATCCTTGGGCGTGCCACAGAACTTAGCGCTTTCGTCAAGCATGGCCATAAGGAAGCATATGTTGAGATTGAGCTCAAAGGGCGATCACGGGAGAGAAACATTGTCGTTCGACGCAAGTTATTTTCCAACAAAAACAGGAGCGAATTTACCCTCAATGGGGAAGAGTCTACAATGATAAAGGTCACCAAGAAGAGGTCAGAGCTGAATGTTCAAGTCGGGAACCTCTGGTAGGACGACCACTTTTTGGGCAGTGACTCGATTTAATCCCCTACAGTACATTCCTTCCCCAAGACAAAGTGTCTCATTTTGCTCAGCTCACTCCACAGCAGTTGCTCCGCGAGACACAAAAGGCGGCGGGGGATCCACGCTTGATTGAATGGCACGATCTCCTCATTGATGAGGGAAAAAAGCTAAAGAACACAAGAGAGGTTTTTACATTGTTTAATGACTTAGTACATTTGGATTAACCTCCCTACATTAGTCCTATGGGAGCATCTCCGCGAAATTGGCTTTCGAGAAAGCTCAGAATGAGCGCATCAAAGCTGACGTTGAGAAGTTCGAAGCAAGACAGAGGCTGCAGAGCGAGGTATGAGCGTATCAATGTACGGGATTCGTCGCGGTACTCAGGAGATCCAGCTTGAATTCTGGGAGCTTGCGCTTCCATACATCCGTTACCTTGAAGCCAAATTGGCCATGCCGGCTTTAAAACAGGCTAAGTTGGTGGCCCAAGCAAAGGTGAACGAAATTCTTGGACGGAATGCGCCTCTGAAGGCACTATCTGAGTAAGTTTTCGCCTTCAGTCTGTAATCCGGCGGCGCTTACAGATGTGTTGCGTGGAGTACATGGAAAAAGCAGGCCGCGACTCTTAAATCTAGGAAAACGGAATATGAAACCGCACTGAAGAAAAAAACAAATGATCTAAAGGAGACAGCGAGCGGGGCTGATCGTTTAGTACGTGTTCCTGAGTCGTTCATCATTATCCTCCTCATGAGGATACACAGCACACAACATGTGAGCGTTTTCATAAGGAAATGGGGATCAAAGAAAGGAACGAGAAGACCCGAAGGGAACGACTAACTCAAAACGCAAAACTGATCAAGCAACTTCAAGAGAAGCTGGAGAATCCGCCCGATGTGCCTGAGGACATGGAGGTTGTGAAACGCGAATCGCAACCCACTTTCGATGCTTTAAGTCAAATTGCCATTCAAGGTAGTGATGTCAAGCACCAACTGCACGACCTAGATCAAGAGAGAAAGCGCGCAGAGGACCTTGTTAGCCGAACAAAGCAGAAGTACGAGTCTTTCACGATCCAAGCCGTTGGCTTCTCTAAATTTTATTACTGCAGTCTCGACCGAATCATGGACCCCCTTCAACGTAGATGGAACAACTTACGACAGTGGGATGATGGCACGTTCCGAGCCGCTTGCTGGCTGAAGGAAAATCAGAGGCACTTCAATGCCGAAGTATTCATGCCCCCCTGCATATCTGTTTCCGTGACGGACAAGCGCTTCGCAGCAGCGATAGAGTCCAACATTAGTGCATCTCACTTCAAAGTGCGTGGTATTGTGCAGAGCGATGACACTGGTGGCATTTACACCTGTCTGAAGACTTTCATCTGCCAAAACGAAGAAGATTATCAAACATTCAACAGGATCGTGAATGACAATGGTCTTTTTAAAGATCAGGGCGGAAAAGCGGCTCGTATCAATGTGTGGTTCCGACCCGCGACGGAATTGCCTGAAAGGGTCTTCAATGCAGAAGATGTAAGCTCAGCCTCCTATTTACACTCAGCCCTTATTGACAACAAGCTAGTTGAAACGTCTCGGCTTCGACGTGTATGCGTTCGACTACATCGAATGCCCGGATCCCGTGAAAATTTTTCTTACAAAAGAATGCAATCTCTATGCGATGGTGAGTTGTTAGCGATGAAAGATGTTTTGATTCCTGATGTTTCGTCACGTCAAGCCCGTCTCGTTACGGGATGGCACTGTCAATCGTGAAATCGTAATGGCGAAGTTGTCGGAGTCGAGAGCACGCGGAGGATTGTTTGTTGAAGGGAGAACGAAGTACAATGTAGGGCGATCTCGCTATGGCAGTCGGCTTCCCTTCATGAACACGAGCCAATTTAAAGAGGCACGAAACCTCGGTGATGGAGGAGGTACGTAATTCGTTTACTGTGTCCCTCGCTCCGAAATAAAATCTTGCGTTGACCAGTCGAGGAAACCACGAAGCGGAGGTTCCAGGCTGATCTGGGGAACGCCGAGAAGCAGCTCAGAGACATTGGGGACCGTATAACTCAAGTGCAGGAAACTGACGAGAGGCTCAAGGAGCGCAGGAAGGAATTCGAGGAGCGAAAAGTACGGTTTGGAGTAGACTTATTGGGCTCTGCCGTTAATGTATCATTAGTCGTCCTTTGACAAACGCATCAAGGCCATTCAGGACGTGAGGTCCTTCGTCGCCACCACAAACGACAAGCTTGGTACGTGTTGTCTCTCCTAGCGACGGAGTTTATGTGGGTAACAATGCCACTTCAGAGAGAGCGGAGCGAGAACGCGATGCACTCATGAATGTGGAGTCTCTGGAACAGCAGAAAGCTTCCATCCGGGCGAGATTGATGCAAGAGCTAACAAAGGGCTCAGAGCTCACGGAGAATTATAAGGTCTCTGCTATTCATACTCCAAGTTCTACACTATAACCTGATATATTGGCTTTTTAGGAGGCCTTACTTCAAATGCTGAGTCTCCAGGAGAGGATCACCAAAATCTCGTTAGAACTTCTTCAGGCTATTGTAAATGACCAAGTTTTGGATAGTATCGTGCGCAAGCAGAATGCTCGCGGTGACAAGGCGCTAGCTTTCTTCAACAAAAGTGTGTCCATCTCACCGGATGAGGGCCGTTTTCACAGTATTCTTTATCCATGACAGAGAAGGCAGCCCATGACGAAGCAAAAACGACGCTGAAACGGCTACAAGAGGACATCACGAACAAATTCGACAACCTTGAAGAGTCGCTCCGAGCCCGCTTTGATGCTGTGCCGAAGGTATTTTCATCCCGTTCCATAAGACCTTAATGGCTTATAGATGCTCGTAGGAAGAGAAAGACGGCTGGACAGTCGAATTCATCCAGGACAAGATTAATGAGTACGAGTCAGCCCTGGAAGCCAACTTCAATATCCAGCCTGGTGTTGTTGATCAGTATAAGCGTCGCCTCCAGGAGGTAGGGATCTGCCTCGTCGACTGGTGCACCGGGAACTTACATCTTACCCAAGATCGAAAGCCTTGAACGGAGAGAAGTTGCGAGCAAGAGCGATCTTCAAAAGGTGGAAAGGAACATCGAGAAAGTGAAGGTACTGTGGTTGAGCCTTGTTACCCGTGAGGTAACTAAGGATGGGGATCTAGAGTAAATGGTTGCCTGCTCTGCAAAATTTGGTATCGAGCATTGGGGAGAAGTTCTCTGCAGCCTTTGATCGTAGGTCGCCTTGCTCCTCTCCCCATAACCCTTGGTTGACAAGGCATCCCAAGGGATGGGGTGTGCCGGCGAGATTCGCATATCTGAAGCTGACGATTATGAGCACTGGACGCTCGACATATTGGTCAAATTCCGGGACAAGGAGCGACTTCAGCAGCTGACTGCACAGCGTCAATCTGGGGTGAACGCTCTTTATCAACAATCCTGTACCTGATGAGCTTGACGGAGCATGCCAGAGCTCCGTTCTCGCTCGTGGACGAAATCAATCAGGTGGGTCCAGGGAGTGTGGAACAAATTATTCGTGCTCACGAGTCTCTTCCCAGGGTATGGATGCTCGTGCTGAGCGCGCAGTCCACGATCAACTCGTGCAAGTGACTTGTGCAAACGAAGTCGGTGGACAGTAAGTCCCTGTCATCTTCGATAATAACGATTCCTAGACGGTGCCGTTTCCAGATACTTTTTGATTACACCAAAGCTACTCCCAGATCTGACCTATCATCGTCGCATGCGGGTCCTTTGCGTGAACAACGGTGAATGGCTCCCTGATGAGCCCATCGGGAATCTCAGATCTCTTGTGGACGATTATGTGGCTCACAACAAGAACTAAGAACTCGTCCTTGGTGTAACTGCGTAATTTTTCTTCCGGGTGTATAAATTTTCATTTGAATGTGAGGTGCCTTTGGTTGTTCGATACTCCCCTTATACTTGTACATAGAAGCTCCCTAGGAACACTTACAACTCGGCCATTAATGAGATTCGTTCGTAATCGCAGGGTGCTAGCGTGCTTGTCCACGCGCAAGGGCCGTAATCGCTGGATAAGGGCATCTTAGATGTCATGCATGCGGAGGTTCTGGAGAGGTTGATTGGACTTCGCAGGCAAGAGATCATAAATTGTGGCATGTGTACTTGTATGTCCATCATGGTGGGTCCTGCGCCTTACATATAACTCCCATAACTTGTCAGAAACGGCCATGTCCCACATGAACACTGTATGTCATTGACACCACAGCGCAATATTTTTGGTTGAAGGATTCGCCGACTGTGAGTAGGGAAACTAGTTGGAGTATTGGATAACACGGAATGCCTGGGCTTAATGGGTGCCTACAGTAAGTTAGTCAAGCCACGAGCGGTTCGGGCGAGGTGAGTCTTGGGGGAAATGACAAGAACCACAGCACTTAAAGATTCTCACATATTCCGCCACTCGGCTTTAACTGGCAGTGCGTCCCGAGTCCTATGGCCGTCGATGGCTACCTCCAGATGCCTCTAAGTACTACATAGTATCATCCAATCTGGCCGACTCAGTGATGAAATAGATCACGTACGTGCATACAATTAATAACTTGGCGATCTGTTAAGGCCTTTAGGATATATGCTTTGTCGAGTTATACCTTGTCATGCATGTGGCCGGACTGACATTACTTTACCACACGCCTGATGTATTATGAGTATGACGGACCCACCGCAGAGCACTCGATCCATATATAATTGCGATATTGTACTCAAGGATCAACTGCTCCGCTGTTAACACATGTCGCTTATTCAGCCTCGATACAAGACATCAGTTGATCTGATGGATAGTGCTATGGAATGGAACAAAACTTGAAAACAAATATCCACCCGTCATCTACGAACTCCCGAGCCCTTGAAGGCCGCGGTATTGTACACACCGAGCCACGAACCAAGAGACCTGGCCAAGCAGCAGTGATCAGCTTTGAGATTTACCCGATTCGCCTAGATACTCCTCTAGTAGGGCCCGTTTCCTCAGTTTCAGCAAAATATCCTCCAACTCCTCTTTAGAAGGTAGGTCCGGGGGCTGGACATCGGCAGAACTAAGCACGGAAAGTAGAGGTGGCAATCGAATGGAATTTCCTGCTGCGACATCTTCCATGTCGACATCACTGTCTACCTTTTGGTTCCCGGCCGATGGTAGATTTGACTCCAGAGAGAGATCGGCAAGTGAGCTGAGAGCGGTAGGCTTTGGACGAGGAATAGGGGGAATGTTGTCGGAAGGAGGTAGTTCAAGTATTTCTGCAAGTTTTTGATAGGCATGTTCCCACGCTAGAGGCACCCAGTTTTCAGAAAGGAAGAATGGTGAGAGGGAGCACTCACTGTACCTTTATCTTCAGCTTGTATTTCATACTGAAGAAGAGCATCATTGGCTTCGTCCAAATCACCATAATAAGCGGGGCCATGGTTTTGATATTTGCGATAGTACACTGCTACTTGGTTCTCCTCGTCGGCCTCCGAGGCTACATTTACACAAGCACGAATGTGGTCATAGTCGTTATAGTGTGCACAACACTTACTACTCTTTTCAAAAAGCTCCTTTACACCAGGGAGATCCTTTGCACGACCAAAATACCTGTGGCATTGATAAGACGGAAGAGCGGCAATCCGTAGGACAGACCTCACTTATAGCCCTTTGTTCCTGGAACCTCCTTTCCCTCGCTATCCAGCATAGCGACGTTCCGACGATAGTTTGCCCCTCCCAGAGCTATGATTTGATTCTCCCAATGCCGCTTCTCTCGTAGAAGCTTGTTGATTTCGTCATTCAAGTCCCGAATTTCATAGTCCGTCAAACCCACTAAATGCAGCACCCGGAGCTGGTCCAACAGGGCATGAGGTCGAGCACGAGGATAAAACACTCACTGTCTTGGATCTTGGACACTTTCCGACTGATCTCTCGCAATATTTCGCCTCGCCAACGTTCACAGTCACGCAAACTTTTACAGGAGGAAGCCATTCGAGGGCGCTTGTCACTCCTACCTGCAACCCCTAACTCTGCCGCCTTCGCTTCGCGGAAGCGATACAGCATGGACCTGAAAGAGCCACCTTTGCATGGTCCTCAAGATAGACGGGAATCGTACTTACTGGGCTTTCTCCTCATTACGTGCCTAAGGACCCCCGCTGTTAACATTGCAAGCGATAAACGTAAGTATTTTACAAACCATAGTTCGGATTAGACGTTAGAGTTGTTGTTGTTGTTGTTGATATCAGATTTGTTACCCCGTCGTCGCGCTCGCGTTAGCACGTGACAGAGCGGCACCAGATGCATTGACTCCATCCTCCTTACGAAGTCATAGAGGCTGGAGTCCTGCCTACATCCCTCCATCTGTTCTTTCCCCTCCGGGTTTCCTTCAGGATTCGTACTCTGGACCGATGCGCGATCATAGCTCCCCAATGGCCATAACCTGACACCACGCTCTCAGTTTGAAACCACGTCCATCACTTCAGTACCCCCTCCATTCCGACTGAGAACAACGCTATGACCCCCGACGAAGATCTCCACAATTGCGTCCTTGAACAGGACCATGGGACGCAACATGCTTTGGTGTTGAGATCGGTTCGTTAATGTTCCTTACGAGGCCGGTGTGAACCACTGACTGCTTAAAGATTCGTCTTTTGGTTCATTCGCTCCCTTTCACTCCCATCCTCCGATCAACCCGTAGCGTCCAAGCCACACTAATACGGCTACAGAAATCTCTATCTGTTGGCCACTGAGAGTTTCATTTACTCTGCTTGAGCGCGTTTTTAGATGGGGTCTCACTCTCAGTCATTTGGAAATCAGGACTGGAGAATCCCCTCGCCCTCGTCTTCACTCCCGTTGCTTATTACGCCGCCAGCAGAAGAGAATGTTCTATGTGCCGCCTGTTTCTTAGTCTGAACTCTGACACCGTCTTTCAAAAGGAGTCCCAGCGCTTCTGCGACTGACCCCAACCCGTGTATGCTACCGGTTTGTAATACCCGCCTTATCGACTACCTGTTCATTCTGAGTACCACAACCGGTTGAAGGCAGTTCATTGGCTGGGTAGAAGTAAGTCATTTAACAAACAAGAGCCCAACCATGGGCCAATGTGGTCTCCTGGCCCAATGGTAAGGCGTCTGACTACGGATCAGGAGATTGTCGGTTCGAGTCCGGCGGAGATCAGGTTTTTGTTTCGCAACCACTGAAAAACATCGTGCTGCGTTTTTCAGCATGGATGTGTTGGGCTGGGCTTTGGGTGGCACAGCGATTTTCCGGTCACTGTTGGAATAAGTCAGCCAAGACTCAAAAGGTTTCTTCTACGTCCGGTTGAGATCAATAATACTTTTGAGTCCAAAGTCCAAAGAAACAAGAAAATAAAGCAGGAAGCGGTTAACCAACAGCCATAACAACGTCGCCACTGTCTCTCCGACTTGCTAAAGCGCTACTTGAATTGTAGGGAGCGATGGTTGGTTCAGGTCCTTCCTCAATGGGTGTCCCGTCCCACAACCGAGGCCGCCGAATAATGCCATCCGAAGTCGAACCGATCCCTCTACCATTTCCAAACGAAGAGAAAAATAGCCTCCTGGGTAGAGGTGAAGCGTTGCTCGCAGCAGTAGCTGAGGCAGTCGCAGCCCGAGTCCCATGGGAGTGTTGGAGATGGGCAGGAACAGCGGAAGCGGGTGGCAAAGACTGTGGGAACGCTGTATGTTGGCGATAGGATGATCGGTTACGATGGAAATTGAAGTTGGAGGAACGGCGCGAGAAGAAAGGCGTGACGTTCCCGTTGACAGGTGAGAAGAGGATGGAGGCGGGGTTTGATGATTGACCCTCATCGTCGTTATCGGAAATGGCGACGTCATCGTCAGAGTCATATGCATGGGGGTTATGGTATAAATTTCGTGAAGGACCAGGCGCAGAGTAGTAGTAGACAGGGTCGCCATATTCCGATACAGATCCTTCCTCGTCCTCGTCATCTGATTGCGATGATAAACGACTTCGGAGCGCCTCCTTTACTCTGCCTAGATTGCATTGGTTATATGGGTGAAAATCGCATCACGCTAAATTTAACATACGTCTGATCCGGATATCGAGCTCATCTTCGTCTAGAGGATCATCAGGAGTTAGTCCCATGGACTGAGCCGCAGTATGCCTGGGTGTTTCATGCGTCTGAACGCTTGGAGCAAATGGGAGATCACGAAGGTTCTCTAATACAGCTTGTCTAAAGGAAGCACTGAGAAACGAGAAGAGTGACTGGGAGGGAAATGGGAACCTACTTAGTGCTCTCCAGATAGTTTTTTTGCACATTCTCATCTGACATATTGTTTGTTTGTACCTCAAGCCGATATCTTGGACCAAACCACTCGAGATACTCATTATATGGGAGATTCGGATCGAGGTCCCGGTCGATTCCAATAGCGCAGGCCGTCTCATATGTCCAAACACAAGAGACGTTTCTGACTGTGTACCCCCCTCCTCCGAGGAGAACAAGGGGCACATTCGCCTTCCTCAAGAACCGAACGCAGTCTGCATGGCCATTCATGGAGAGATTAAAACTTCCAAGCTTGTCGCCTGACAATGAATCAGCGCCACATTGCAGGACAACAGCATCAGGCCGGTACCAATCGAGTACATATTGAATAACCTGGAGGGTTGACATAAGCGCACCCCGTTCGGCCCAGCAGGACAGTCCCACCTACTGGCTCAAAAACGCTTTTGAAATCTTCATCAGTAACACCTTGAAGGAAGGGTACATTGACCGCATAGCCTTTCCCTTTGCCAAGTCCTCTATCTTCAACTTTCCCGGTCCCAGGAAAGCAATCCTTCTGTTTGTGGAAGGAACAGGTGAGGACTCGGTCCGTGGTATAAAAGGCTTCCTCAACACCATCGCCGTGGTGAAAGTCTATGTCAATATACAGCACACGTGTGTGCAACCTGAGCAACTCGAGTATGGCAAGAACTGAGATGGAGGCAGTCAGCCACGTATGAGATGAGACCAGCCGCGAACAGCACCAATGTCGTTGATATAGCAGAAACCTGATGCTTCTCCTCTTTTAGCATGATGAAGGCCGCCTGCCCAATTAATGGCGATGTCAGCCATTCCGGTGTTAATTCTGTCAGCAGCAGCTATAGGGTGGGTGGGTGAATTTCTGTACTGAACGCGTCGATTTGTAAATTTTTCCCACCAAGAGAGCCCCCAGCGGAAATCGAACAGAATTCAAAGAGACCGTCAAACGCAGGATTATCTTCACCAGTGAGAACTAGCGTTTGCAAATATTAGTGTATCGTCATGGGCACTAATGTTCGCTCCTCACATCTGGATCCTCCACCAGTCATATCCATTGCAGTCTCGGGAGTCACCCGATGAAGGAAGTCTACGAACTCATCCGTGTGGAAGCGTGTCATCTGAAGAGGCGACGCTCGATGAGGCCGCTGGTATCCGCATATTCTTAAGAACACATCTAGAAAGGATAGAAGTCACACGGCTTACTATAACATCCATACCTGGCAACATGTTGTAGGCAGCTACGAGATTATGGGTTATGCGCATCCTGAGAGGCTTCATTGGATGGCCCAATCCATATGAGAATGAACCGATATCAGGATCGTAGTAGTATGCAACCCGTCTTTTCGACATCCCTCTCGGGTCCAACGCAATGCCGCGAGCTAGGTAGCACCAGTAAAGCGGTAATGCGTTGGGATTTAATGTACTTAGGTACGATGCAATGGGACCCCACGTGATGTCACGGGCCTTACTGTAATCAGGCAGTGGCCCCGCGACGTGCCGCTCATTAACAGACCCAGCTCGAGGGGCATACGGGCGCAGTTCAATGGCCTCCCCAAATTCATCCAATCTCGTGGAGTAGTAGGTAATTCTTGTATTTTACCGCGCCTTCTTGTTAAAATTCTTTGGAGCACGTTCCAGACCTTGTTTAGATGTGTCAATGGCCAACAATCTATGGATGGGGATGTCCTTAGAAAGAGTCTGATGCTCCGACTCCCAAAATTATGCAACTGTGTGGACCCCTTTCCAAAACCTTCAGTGACATCCAGCGCAGCCATCCGTTCCGGGTCCGTCAAGCTTTCGGACGGATTGACCATAAAAGTAGACGATTACCAACAAGACATCACCTGGAAGATTAGCGAGCGCTTTGCGTTGGACGAGATTGAAGCTTTCGTTCTGCTCCGTTCCTTCCTCTACAATGAGCAATACCACTACGCGCCCTCTTCGAAAGGAGCAGATGCTGATGTTGAAGCCGCGCTCTTAGACTCGATCACAGACTTCTATTTCGAAGAACGTCTCTTTCTCCTCCGACTCCTTCCCCCACTATACCGAGCTCAGGCTGATGACAGCAATCTCCTTCATGACTTAGCTACTGAGATTCTTCACGAAGCTGCACCCGACCCCTCCCAATACATAAAAAATCTCATCGCCAACTTTGTGCGACGTACCAAGCAGGTTATCCCGGTGAAGCCCCCTCCAAACCAGGCGACGACACCACTGAGTGTACGCTCAAAATGGGCAAAACAGATCGTACGTGAACAGATATGCATTTTAGAGGTCATCTTCTTCGCCACGTATAATATGAGGAGCCAAGGATCATTGGTGGCCGATTTCTATGAAGCAATTTACTCTACATCGCTTGGTGCTGCGCAAACAAATGCGGAGTCTCTCATCGACCTGGAGTCGGAACAGCTTTTGAAGGATCTGGAGTCGCTTGCTATTATCACTGCTGTCCAAGTCCTATGCGTGGAGGCTTTATATGATCAGGAACTTGATCTCGATGTGGTTTCCTCTGCACGACACGGGTACTTGGCAGAGCCAAAAGAGCTTGAAAGAATGCACAAGCACGTACTTTCTACTCCGCCCCAGCCGCGCTTCAGTCCAATAGTTCTTGCATGGACATGTGTTGTTCGACGAGTCGTTCAGGCAACCGAGAATGACAGTTATCCACAGGAATACAGTTCCCTTGTGTCCCTTCTTGTCCCAGAACGCGACGCGCGGGATGCTACCTGGCAAGACTTGACGCGTGTGGCATTAAATCCTGCAATGGATATCTTCGGTGCTATACAACGTTTACTAGTCTCTCCATTACTTGACACGGAGGTTGCAGCCAAGCAAGGATCCTCTATCATTTTCCCCAATGATAACGTTGTGCGTGCCATTGTCAAAGGTGAGCGGTGAATATCTCAATCGAACTATCACCCATCACTGTTTTTAACGCACCAGGCCTCGTGATTGGATTAATGGACTTGATTCGCGTTGAATACATTGAAGATATTGATTCTCTACTAGATATTTGGGTACTTCTGTTCGGGTCTGGAGAATGGCAATCCGTTGCACCCCTCTGCGCAGACTTTTGGCAGGTGGATTTCCCCCGCGATGCATCGAACCGTCGAGCCCTGTTGGAAATGACGCGCGACCGATTCCCCGTTCAAGCGCGACCCTTCGTCCGCATCCTTCGTTCACTAACCGCCACGGGTAATTTCAAAGGTCTAGAAGGATATGTTTGGGAGCGGGAATTGGATAATGATCGTGCAGGATGTGCCTTGTCTGTTTTCAACTACTTCAACTCGCTCATGTCATTCACTCAAGTCGTTGTCTTGGGCAAGCCGGAGCAGCAAGGATTGTTCGAGGTTCGCAACTTTGCAGGAGGCACTGTGTATACGAACACACGACCGCTTCGTCTTCCTGGCGGTTCCATCTTAGCTGCACGCTCCCAAGGTACCGTGATCAGTGATGCGGAGGAAGGTGCTCCTTTAGTGGTCCTATGGCAGCACAACCATTCCGGTTGGAAGATCGCACTTGCACTGCTCAAAGAGTACGTTAAAATCAAACAGGTCGCGTCTGGAGGTGCCCGATCTAGGTTCGGCCCGCTCGATCGTGGAATTGGCGCCTCAGGTGTGCAGTCACAGCTCTTACCGTATGATCTCTCTTTCGGGGATCTGGGTATCGACGAAGGCTCGTTAGACCAGGATGTCATTACGGACGTTCTCGAGCTATTGCGCAGTGTCTTCCGAAACAACCATCTCCTCACTGAAACGCTCATGGAGACGATGCTCCCAGAGCACGACGGCTCGTCCAGTGGATGGGGCCGCGCATCACTGATAGAGGTCATTCCTTTCATACTTCAGGAGGCTCTGCATTCAACCTCATTGAGTAATGATGGTTTGCATTCCCCAACCAAACTTGTCACCAACATTCTGGGCTTGATGACGGCCATTCTCCCTCATCACCCAGGAAGCGTGTGGACATCTTTGCGAAACTCAACCCCTCTGTTCGGAAGTTCACGCCACCGAAGCTCTACACCCAACTTCCTAGCACATGAACGCCAGATGGGTGCATACCCCATGACTCTCGCACTGTTAGAACTTGTCCGAGCCCTCCTTGATGAGAGCGTGAGGATGATGTATGAAGTAACTCCTTCATTCCGAGTGGTCAAAACCGAGGTCCTCCTTCGTGCTCTGTCCTTTGTTCACAATGAGATCTGGATAGAATACAACGGATGGAAGTACTTAGCCTTATCGGAAAAGTTTGAGATTGGGTCCAAAATTGCGAACCTCTTCGCCGATATTCTTGTCCAAGCACCAAGCTTAGATTTACAATCCGATCTGTCTCCCACTCCGGAAGATACCAGCTCTACGCTCTCAACGCTGGCTAAATTTGTCATGGATGCCTTCTTCGTCAAATCCCTACCGAACACCGTCACCCCGCTAGTAAATGCTATTGCAACTGGCCAGGGGACTCGGGAGTCATTGCACAAGGCCCGACGGTTCAACGACGCCCACCATCTGGACTTGCTCATCGAGGTTAGCGTGCACTTAACTCGTCTGATCTTAGTTCGCAAGAGCGGAACACCAGCCACAAAGACATCACTTCTGGAACAAGGTCTCCTTACAGGAGCTTTGGCCGGAGCCATCACTACAGACCAACAGAAGAATCAACTGAGCCCCCTCGACATAGTTGCGCGCCATTTCACTCGTTCCCCGCATGAACATTCCCTCAAACTCGAGTCTATCAAACTTCTTACTACCTTGTGTGTATCCATCTCCTCGTGTCACCCCTCGCCACCCTCCATCCTCGGACGTCTAAGTGATCCTGAGGACGTAGTCAAATATTTCATCTCGATTGTGCAACACGCCGATGATGAATCCTCAGTCCGACTGGCTGCCTGGAACTTCATTTCAACTTCCATCGAAACGCAGCCCCCTCTAGCCTCCTTTTTTCTGACAGGCAAGGCCATGCCGTCTACCTTGGAGATGACTTCGAGAAACCCCTCCGCATCAAGTAGTTCTGAGCCTCCAACAGCCTTGGAAGCCGCGCGGGAGACTCTGGCGAGATGGAATACTCTGTGGGAAGCCAATCCTGCCATTCTAGCCACTTGCATGTCGTTCCTGGACTTGCTATGGCAGCATGGGCATGAGCATGTCAATGTGATTGAGGACGTGCGCAAGGATGAAAAGTTCTGGGGTGATATGAAGAACCTGATCGATGCCAAATTGGGGCCCGTCCCTTCGACCGATGTGATGGATTTAATGGACGTTGAAGGTCAGCTAAGATCGACACTAAATGAGATCGCATCGAGCCATTCCTATCAGACGGTCGTGAAAGCCCATGCCATCCACCTGATTGCCCTTGACCTCTCTATGCCAGACAAACGATCTCCCCTTCCACCCTTCAGCAGCTTCCATATCATTACCAAGCTCCTTGATACCCCTCTCAAGTTCACCGAAGCCGTGGAGGAGGCAATGGCTAGCCCCGTAGAGCCCACCCGTCACCTACGGGTACAGGCAGATTTGGAAGCCGCATATCCGCTCATGCCGTTGGAAAGTCTTCGTGCAGTGGCGCTTGTATCTGAACGAGTTTTTGGCGATGACTATCTTTTCCCCTCACTATTTGTTGAGGAGAGGCTGCACAACTACTACACAACCACGCATGTCCAGCCCCCCACTTCCGCATTAATCATGCACAAACTCGTCCTTTCCCTTAACCTCGAGTGGTCTCTGATTGATTCACATATGAATCTGACGCGTTCTTGGTCCAAACTCCTCCATTTCGCCAGGAAGACCATCATTGCTCGGAAGGATAGTTACAAAAGTCTCTTCGCCTCTGCTACTTCGTTCGCCCGTCTCATCGCAGGGGAAGCGCGGGCAGGTCCCGTGATCGTGGCCGTACACTCCGAGCGACTTGCCATTCTCCTGGCCTTGTTGGAAGCCATGTTACCTTACGAAGCTAGCGCTGAGGAAGTTCACAATCTTATTGTCGCGTTGGAATGCATCGTTTCCCTTCAAAGTATTTCACCATTACAGCCCCTGTCTCGGCTAGTTCAGCCGGAATTCCAGCAACTGCTCCTTCAAATATGCTACTTTTGTTGCCACAAAGCCAGGTCAGCAAAGCTGGACAAACTGCCGGCTGCAAAAAGATCATCAGTGATACAAGCCGTTGGGACGATACTCCGATTTTGCATAGATGGCCTGCGGATCGTGTTAGAGCAAGCGCGCTCTGTGGATGATCCGGGATTGGATGAGGATCTCTCCTTACTAGTGTCGGTGTTTGAGGAATGTATAAGACCGGAGCACGGCTCGAGTCAGTCTCTTTGGTTATCTCAACTTCAGGCGTCCAATTCTATTCGGCTATCTCTGGAGGTGCTGTCCAAGGCGGATCTGACAGGCGAAGCACACCCTGCAACTATCCGTTCCCGTCAGTTCCCCTACTATGCACGCCATGTTCTCCATTTCCATCTTGCCCTCGCCAGCTTACCATCATCGGCTGAACGTTTGGCACACGAAGGTGCCATGTCGGCGTATGCCAGCAATTCGCTCACCTCCTACCTGGGACGTGGGTCTGTTGAAGTCTATGATATTTCTCATCGCTCATGGTGCTCCATCCTTGCTATCGTCACAAGCCTGATATTAGCGCTGGGATCGGGAGGGACGCACTTCGTTAAAGCTGAAATCGTCGGCTTTGTTCAGCTTTATGGGTCGCAATTGTCAAAAGTGCTGTCATGGCGTGTCGGAGATGCCCTTTCGACAGCCCTGGTGCGCGAACTGGAAGCAACCACAGCGTTATTCAATGCAATCGCGGTAACGACCTCGCAAAGACACGGCGACGGTCTCGCTGCGCGTGATATCCTGCGCGCGTACAGCGAAAAGGCACTGTTTCTATTGCAGCAACTTAATGCAGCTGTATCTTATCCGAATCAAGTCGCCTCCTCCTTGGATCCCTTAGATCCAGCTGAGCACTCACTGTTTGAACAGGAGCTCACTCTTGGAAGTGTGTCATCCTCGATTGAATTTCTGGATGATGGAAAGCGGCCAATCCTAGCGAGTTTTGTTCAAAAATTCGTCTCAGTTTCCGCGACGACTTTGGCAACACTTGCTATTGTCGGTGGAAGTGATGCTATTCTGATGCGACATGAGTTCAAATCAATAGACACAATTCTCACTACGCCGGTAAGCATAAAGGCCGTTATAAATATGGGCCCGCCAACTGACGCCCCCTTCAGAGCTCTAAAATATCTCCAGATGAGCCAGCTACTGTTGGCACATTAGTTGAACTTGGTAACTGGGTCGTCCAGCTCCTGTCGCATCTATTAAAGCGGCCCTCTTCTCCAATTTCGGTTATTTCATCCGCTGTCGATATTGCGCCATTCGACAGATCGACGACCGTGAAGAGCTTGGCAAGTTTGATAGAAAAGCTTATGGTCTATGCCACAACTCAACTTTCGCGCTGGCTCGAACGTGACCTTACGACTGATTCGGATGCGGGCATTCTCACGCAAACTAATGGGCGAGAAGACATGGACACGACAGGCACGCCAAAGGGCACGCGGGGTGGCAGAATAACACTCATTCACGCGCAAGTGCAATCCGCCGTTCAAGATCAGGCTAGAGATTTGAGTCTACTGGCAACTCGAGCGAAGGAAGTGCTGGGGAAAATGGCCAGTGATGATGAGGGCTCAGCGTTGATATTGCTTGAGATTCTGATTGGCTTCACCTCCGCCAAATTACTTCCGACTCCCAATAGTGGCAGATGAGCCACAAGCCAGGGGTTGCAAATCTCGTTCAAACATTGTAATAATCTTGCTGGTTGTTTGCTGGTTGTTCACGGTGTGTAGTAACTCAATGCTTAATGTCTGGGTTCGTAAGTGGAAAATCGATTTATAACAGGTCGGGCGCGCTTCCACCTCTCGAATCTTCTGGCGACCGTCCTGTCGCTGCTGTCAAAGAGCGCGCACGCACGATTGGATGCAGGCGGAAGACAATATCTTAGGTGGAAGAATTGATGTAGTAGAATGTATATGAATAACCCTACTCTGCGGCCATTGTACATGTTCAGACCTATGAACAGACGGCTCGGCACTTTGCGTCACTGCCCTAGCGAACACTCGTTATACGTTAGGTTCATTCAATGGTGAAAAAGAGCTCAGATTACCTCTCTGAATCAGTATTCAAAAATCTCATGCTGGATATCATAGTAAGAAAGTCAGGAGGGACTGATAGTTGCACTGGATTGGTTATACATATATCAAGACGCGACGCCACAGAGTTCAGGGCAGGCGGAGGAACGTGATTACCCATCAGTACTAGTAGCCTAGCTAGTGAATATTACTGCGTACTACTCGCTCAATGATTGTGGTGTTGGTTCGTTGCGGCCGACAGAGCTGGAATGAAGCTCAGCTGCCATCCCCTAATTTTGGCATAATTAATTCCACCTTGGATCGGCCAAGTCATGCATCTGATGGCCGTCATGGCCGAATGGCTGGATCGAATTGCAAAATTGTAGGCTCGTCAATATCCTACAAAAGCCGTGCCACGACTAAATTAAAGTGATGCCTAAATACCAACTTATGCTCGATGCAACTCCCAATATCGAGCGAGGCCCTGGTGTCAAATCTTGGTTTTATAATAATCACAGTGGTCATGACAGGAACGGTCATTTCTCCGCCAACTACCACATGCACATAACTTATCAGGCGAAAGCCACATCAGAGCGGCGGAATTCTTCCAATCCATAATTACCCAAAAAAAAGGAATACGCGTTGTGGGCGGCCCCACGCACGGCCAAAACCTAGGATCCGCTCCGGAGAGCCAAACCTTGAACCATTTCTTTGCACTGATTGGGGGAAACGAATTTCGGTCTGAGGAGACACGTTCAAGCCTAGCCAGAGAGGCCGATCTTGGAGCCCTCGCTGAAGCGTCCCTCCTGATACTCATTCCACAAACAAGGCGTAAGTATTAGACGTTTCTGTACCAAGCACGGAAATTCTGACAGTGGAAGGGCGGTGCTAATTATATTGACACCAAACTGCGGAATTAGTCTTTCGACGGAAAGGCCACGTTCCAGTTCAGCTTGCGCTGTATTCTGGTTGATCAGGGTCATCTAGAACGCGTATGCTCACAGTTGTCACCACGACATGCATGAGCAGCCTGATGATACATATTCCAAATTTGCATGCATGACTAGTACTGGCACTAGTATAGTTCAGCGTGCCGGATGCGAACAGCGGTTAGGAGCTTTGTCGGGGATGTAACGAGATTTCATTGAGCGAAAAAGGGTGCCGAAGAGCAGGATTTTCCATACCTCATAATCCGGAGGTCCTGATTCCCTGGATGATAGTAGAAGCCCAGTATAGCAACTCCAATGCAACAAATTTTTAATGCCGTATCGGTCCAAAAGGGCGTTTTTTGGATCAATATTCCAGATGAGTGAATTGCACCTTTAGTTTCGAGATGTATTTACAGTATGCAGAGTACGTAGCGTCGGTGTTGTCGATGGTGAAGCCGATCTTATAAAGGAGAATTCTTGAAACCCACCCCAAGTGGTTGCTTTGCCTGGAGTATATATGTCGCCAATATATGGTACGATCGATCGGCCCACGAGTACCAGCGAGCAGCACCACTCGATAAAACCCGGTTCTCCATCCGTACCAAGGTCAAGTACTCATTCCCCTGGACACATCAGGCCGAAATTGCCAGACCTAGACAAGCCAACAAGAAGCTTCTGTTTTCATCCAGGATGGCGATTAATGCACAGTAGAATGTAATACTCTAAACGATGACCCTTTAGGGCTTGAAGGTATTCCACGCTTCATTCAGTGTCCCAAATACTCCATTTGCAACCATGCGTTGCTCAACTGTGGTATTCATTGTGCAAAGCTTTAAAGAAGCGGAATTTAGTTCGCTCAACAAAAATCTGGTGTGAAACCGATCCAGTAACTCGCCTTGTCAGGATGCAACCTGGAAATCGCCTTCATATACCGCACCTTCACCTGTGCCGGCGTAACTAACTCGTGCATACCAACCTTCTGCCATCCTAACTCGGACCATAGGACCGTGTCAAGACTCGCAATCAGCGCTCGAAGGTTGTTCTCCTTTCCGTTTTTCCATGCTCCGAGTTTCCCATCTACCGCATCTTTCAGCCTTGCTCGCTCGAGTTCCTCAGCTTCAGCGGCTTGGTTGGCTGCACGCAAGCGATTTGATGCTTCCGAAGAAGTGGCAGGTTTGGGAGGCTGGGGTCGTCGGGTCGTCACAGGTTTAGCGAAGGATGTCGATCCTTCGCCGTCAGCTCCATACTCAGTGGAAAGCATCTTTCTGCACCTTGCCGCTCCACGCAACGCTTCTCGTCTCACACGCTGTCCAGGCGGCCAATCAATCGTGACGAGCTTTTCCCAATCATGTTTCGCCTGAATCCATTTTTCACCACCCTCATATGCCTCAGCTCGCTTATACAATGCCTTAACATATGCATCACCAAGATTGAGAGTCTCGCCATCAGTGAAAGGGGGTGCGGGTTCGTCTTTTGCAGGGTGGAAGTCTTCACCAATGATCTGGAGCACCGTGGTACAATCAGCAATTGCCCCTTTCGAATCACCGGTTTTAAGGCGAGTAGCAGCACGATTGTTGTGCAGGGGAAGGAGGTATAAATGTCCAGAGGGAATGGAGGCGATGGCCGACGTGTATGACGCCTCGGCTTCCGCGAACCGACCGAGCCTGAACAGCCCGGTTCCTTTCGACCGGTAGGACTTGGCAGTAGCTAATACGCTTTGTGAAGCCGATACAAAAGCCCGCTTTCTTAAACGCGGGGGGGAGATGGGACGAGAGGCAGGAATGGGTGAGGCACGAGCGCTCTGGTCTTGTTTCTTGCCTTCAGAAACGGGGTCAGAGATGGTGGCAACACGGTTGCGGCGTCGGCGGTGAGGAGAGACGTAAGTAGTTGTGGGTTCCTTGGAAAATAAATCGGCCTGCGGCGGAGGCGCAACAGGAGAATCTGAACGTGTAAATTGAGGTCGCTTCAACGGTTGTAAGGAGTTCTGGAGGCTTGTCTCCTCTGCCCCTTCGTTCCCGTCATCATAATTGTCTCGGAACCTCGATTGAACATCGACGGGCTCCGGCAGCACCGTGGCGGAGGGATCTGCGGCCCAGCTTAAGCGTTCACCTGTCCGCAGCCTAGATCCCGAAATATTGGTTTCAGAAGCACCCCTTCTGTCTTCGTAAGCCTTTTGAAGCTGCGCCCTTCCCTGAGACAAGAGTGCATTTGCCTTGGTGAACATGCTGAGCCCAATTTCGCTTGCTTGAGCGAGATACTTGTCTGCCTGCTCTTTCAACTGAGCAGCGTTCAGGCCAGAACCGCCGATTTGTTGTTTCAGCTCTATTTCACGAGATGGGGAAGAATCATCTGACCCTCCTGCCCCAGTATGATGACGACGCTCGCGCCCTCGTTCTCGCCATTCATACCCAGCTGTCTCGTCTTCCGCTGAAGCGGGCCGTCTCGGTCGTGGAGATCGAGGTGTGTCGCGTGACCCGTTGAGAAGGGTCTCAAGTGCAGCCTGGACATCAACGCCTGATGCAGTGGAAGCGAGGGCAGCCCGTGCCTCTTGGGGCGCAAAACCCATTTCAACAATTTGGCCAACAATATGTGGCGGAGGGGACGTGTTTTTAGGGTGAGACGACTCTTCCCATTGTTGCGGGATCTGCTGTAAAAAAGAGGATCAGAAGCCGTGCGAGTTGTACACATTCGAGTCACGTACGGAATTTGAAGCTGGTTGAGGTCGCGACCTTACAGGACGTCCAAACCCACTCAGCAGATCCTCCTCACCATCTCTGTCATCCTCATCAATGAGTGCACCGGAATTCCCATCGCCAAAATCAAAATCGCCGGGTGTGCGACTTCTAGATTGGGGACGCGAAGCGCGTGAAGATGTTGGCTTAGGCTGCCCATCGAGGGCAGAAAAATCAAACAGTTCCTGTGCCATACTAGTTTGGTATGGTATTGAAGGTGCAGGCTTGGGTGCATGTATAGACGTGGTTGTATCCGTTAACGAAAGAAGATCAAAGTCTTTCCAGGAATCACCTGGATCAGTCCCATTCGGTGGGAGGGATGTCTGGGACTTTGATGAAGGAGCAGCGCTACTGGGTCTTGGGGAGGGTGTAAGAATAGTGGGAGACAACAGCGAGGATGACAAGCCCATTAGAGACGACGATTCTCCGGTTGCAGCGGACGACTTAGGCCCACGGGCCCCAATCGAATCGTAGCGATCCCAGAAGCCATTCTGAGACCAGAGCTCTTCACCGGGGCGGGCATTCTTTTCCGTTCGTTCGCGTTCAGCCTGGGCCTGTCGCTCCGCAATAGTCCTATCAGCATGAGACGTTGTCTCGATGGAAAGGAGACCACTGAACGCTTCGTGAGAGTTAGAAACAGCTATAGGTGGATGAGAAGCGGGAGTATATCTTCCCGACTGAGAGGGGAAGCTTGAATTACTGCGTGATGGCAGGGGCCGTGAGGGTCCACTGGAGGCGATCGCAGCGAAGGCATCATAAGGTTTTGACACATTGACTCGTGAGGGTTGTGACAAGCCGGAACCCAGGGTCTGAGGCTGGCTCTTAGGCTTAATCGTAGTGTCACCCCATACAAGCCCAGCAAAGTCGTCCATAATAACGTTATGCTCGCCAGGGAACTCCGTCAGAACTCTCGGGCAACGTGACGGGTGTGTCCAATTGTTGACATTTGTTTGTATTTGGCCAGAACGTCTCAACAATGTCAGAGTACTCTGGTCTCTTCAAGGCTGGTTTGCAGCGCGCGATCGGTTCAGAGGCAGTCACTTCATCCTTTAAGACACAGGCGTTTCCCAATGCTAATTTTCCCGGGCCAGCATCAAATGACACCCGTCGTTTCTTGCATCCTCCCTCCCAGGCCTTGATAGCTTCACCATCACGACGCATACGCTTCGCGCAGCCATCTCCCCGGAGGAAGCATCGCTCTTCTTTTGCAACCAATGTATCATCTCCCCTGGCAGGCATTAAAACTCCGGTAAAAGCTGCAGAGATCGCGGCCCGCATGCAAAGCATGATGCTTTCCCCATCGAGGGCCATGTGCAGGCCTAAACATTCAGTACCCGGACCAAATGATGGATCGCTATCGGGTGCCCCAGTGAAACAGAGGCCGTTCACAAGGTGAGCATCCTTCACACAGATCGAGTTTTCGCAATGCTAATCTCATGCCCACGTTAGACTGCGCCGTCTTCCACCCGCACGGAAACCACCACCGAATGTCCCCATTCCTGACATCCCGCCCTCAGTCTCGAGTATGGATTCACAGCCTTCCTCATCAACCTCATCGCCCTTTTCGCTCATCGCATCTCTTCCACCTCCTCCACAACCTCCGTTCTCACCTGCTGCTCTACCAGGTTTCAGGATCCAGCCTGCAACTCCAGATACGCCTCCCATGCGTCGCCAAATATCTGAAGTAGACGATGTATTCAGCTCCCCAGTGCTGCATCGCCCTGTTCCAAGCCAGTCACGGACGGTGGCCCAAGCTCTGCAGGGCCCCAGGATTGGTCTTGCGAACAGTCAAGTCCTGGAGAGTTCAGACATAGAGTACGAAGATGATGCGGTTCGTCCCGACAGCAGCCCGGTACACTCGCCCATGCGGTGGTAAAGTAACTCACCGAGGGGCTACAATGATACAATGAAAGGGTGCATTGAGCAAGTGGAAACCGCCATAAGCTACATCTTGGACTCACTTCGAGCACATTCCGGCTTCCATGCGGTTTAATAACGTTTTATCAACCTGCATTAATACTCTGCATATTGCTGTAACATTAGCCATCCTGTGACGATAGATAATCCATTCCATTCCACTCCCAGAACCACCAGGACCAAATGGTACAATATGCATATAGCAGAGAACATTTAAATTGCAAGACCCTGTTCTCACACACCCACGTCAACGCAATAAGATCTCGAGATCACTAGCCTCAGGGGCAATAAACTTACCCTCGGGAACCCCTGGACCGAATTAAGCAGTGAGGATCACAACGCCACCGTGCGTGATGAGGACGGTGTGCTCGGCTTGAGCACTGCGTGCACCGCTATGGGAGCGAATTATAAGGGACATTTGAGTGAGCGTGAAACTCAGCCATTGCACAAGAAGAGGAAAGTCGCCAAATCTCACGTTTCCGTAAGTACTGTCCAACCATCGGGAAGCACCCAACCTCTAGCATCATCCCCTTGAACCAGGCAAGGCTAAAAGGGATAGTAATCTGTTCGTGATCGAAGAGGGAAATGCAGACAACTGTCACCTCAATGGTGAAGCAATGACCTGGCTTCATCACTCCTGGTTCGTCGTTTTCTCCAAGAAAGGAACACGGCATTAGTTTAGTTGTTGAGGCGAGGAAAAACTCCACATACTATGGTGTAGAATCCACGGGGGAGAATGGAACGCCTCTCCAATTCCATGTCCAGCCAAGTCTGCGCTAACCGAAAACCCTCTCGATGCTGCTAGTTCCGAAATAGCCTTTCCAATGCCTTTGAAAGGTCTCCCAGGACCGCACGCTAGTATCCCGGCTTGCAATGCGCTGCGAGTCGCAGAGATGAGTGAGCGGCCTTGGTCGTCCTAGGCTTGAGGGTAAGAAAAAGCGTCGGCGTCCTGGTGCTCCAAGACCAACCACTTCTCCGACAACGAATGTGTCCGAAGTATCGCCATGATACCCGTCTGCATACACCGTCACATCTATGTTTATCACATCACCACTTTCAAGCGGCCGACTGGGGCGCCCTGAGACACGAGAATCGTCTATAGGATATACACTCACTCATCAGGAATACCATGGGCAATGACATTGTTCACGCTTGTACAGCATGATTTGGGAAAGCCCTTGTAGAGCAATGGGGACGGGTACGCGTTGCGAGATATGATGAAGTGATGTATCCGGTTGTCTATAGTCGCTGTTGTTACCCCTGGCTATGTGGGCTATGAATATACTGGACTATTTGAGACAATATAATTCGTCACCTTCACCAGACTCTCTGCAAAAACCCTGGTTTCCTTCGCAAGTCTGCAGGCATTTCTCATCTTTAATTCCTCTTCCCCGCCTAATTCCAAGCTCCTCTCTACTTCATGGATATCCGCACGCTCGCGGGTCCTGAGAGTTGATGAATATGGTGGACGGATGATATGCATTGGCACCAAGTTAGGTGGGATGTGCCGTGTGCCTTCCGCAGTTGGGCAACTGGGGAGCACCAGGTCGTAATCACCAAATTTCAGAGTTGTTTCTCCATCTGGTATTTTTCGCGTGGAATACGGCAAGTAAAAACGAGGATGACGCGTCCTTGCACGGCCAAGGATGCTGGACAACAAACGGGATCCCAAGCTACACATTTCGTCACAGCCACTATCTGACAAAGAACTAAATTTCCGCAATCGGTGGCCTGCCAGGTTTGATTTCCTCCTACCCACTGACTCCAAAAAATACTCATTCAGCTGCAGGCTGCAAGTCGACCTCGAGGCAAACGTGTGTCCCATTACGTAAGCAACGAACCGAACGAGTGTCGACCCATCGACCCCAATGCCATCGGGTACAAAAATCCCTACTCTGTCTCCTTTTGTTGCTCTTGCTGCGTCACTGCCCCTTGTCGCATATTTGCTCCATCGCGCTACTACATTCCCTTCACTGGATTCCCTGAAACTCCAAATTAGCCCTGGACTCTACGCTCTTCCTCCAGGACCCGAAAAGGATAGATTGCAAGAAGTGTATCCTGAAGACCTGTTTGGGTCGAACGGGGCTATGCTTCACTACCGTATGGTCGTGTGAAGTACTCTCTGCTCGGGCCAGAGGATGGAAGGAAGGCAAGCGGCAAGATACATCACAGGAGTACGTGTTACTCATACTTATACGTATTTTAGGTCATTTTCATTCATGGATGGAGCGTTCCCAGCCCAATTTACAAGGTCCGTTTTCTTGAATGATTCCAAAGTCACTTCTCCCACTGAGACTCGTTAACCTCTAGGACATAGTAGATATTCTTGCTTTAGAAGGCTTTCGCGTTCTTGTTTTTGGTTGGCGAATCATTAGTATCAAGGAGCTGCTATTGAACCCTGGAATTGCTAGATCTTTATGGGCGAGGCTATTCAGATTCTCCAGACGTTCCTGAATCCCCGCTTCTGTACGTTACCCAAGTTGCCCTTTTGATGCAATATTTGGGTTGGACGCGTGCACGAGTGGTTGGGGTCAGCATGGGTGCTGGCATTTCGGCGACGCTGGCTGCGCGTCTTCCCCACCTTATTGATAACGACATTGTGTTCATCTGCGCCGCTGGCAACCTTCCAGTATGTTTCTTGAGTGTTCCCGACTGAAAATCAAAGAGCCCCATTCTGAGGCCAATCTACAGGCTAATTATCATGGGAGAATAAGGGCGCTGCTCACGACACCTCCCTTCGTATGGTTATCAAGCACTAAACTAATCCGAGTGCGTTGAGCCTTCTGTGAACAACTTCGGCCTTTCTAATCTATGTCACTCTCCTCAAGACTTGGAAACAGCTTCCAGACCCTCCCCTGACCCCTGACGATAAGATGAAGCAGGTGAGTACCCACCACCGAAGCCCACCGCGGATAGTACCATACGCCTTTTAGCTATTGTTGTTGCAAGCTCGAACGCTCCCTCATTATGGACGGGTGTTAGCATCCTCCCTTCGAAGGGGCCCGGTGAAGGGCATCACCGAAGCATACCGCACAGTCGGGAAGAGTACCAACCGTGCCTTGATCATTCATGTGGGTAAAGTTTCCGACCGGCTACGAAAAAAGAGCCGACGTTCCAATCGCTTTACTCAAACAGGGTACGGAAGACACCACCACGCCATACCATCCATTCGCGGACCCCATCCTGAGGAATCTTTTGCCAAAGGCCAAACTTGTAGCAATCGAAAATGTAGGACACGACCTCACCGTAACTCGCCCAAAAGAGGTAGCCGAAGCCATACTTGCATTCTTCAATGCCGAGCCCGAGGATTCATAACCTATTTTTGTACCTACCTACCTACCTACTGGAATTTTCTTGAGCCAGATTACAATCAAATGTAGCGAATGCCGCCATATCCAGCACAAACACATCTCTAGCCTCACGCGCGTGCAGTGTACGAACCGCACTTTTGATTCGCTTATCGCGACTTGCGATGTGGCAAGTGAGCTGAATTCAACGATCGGACACGGCAAATCCCGCACTCTTACATCCTGATTGTTGCTGTGAAGAAACTATCCCATACAGCCAATTAATACGGTGGTATCTGGATCCAGACTCGTGTTATCGTGTCCTTAGCCTCTATGTCATCAGCCGACGTTACTAGCCCCGATGGTCCGTCCACGGCTGCGGAAGTAGAGCTACCTCCACCTCCGCCGGCTGCACTTGACGTGATCTACTGCGGCGGTGCGTATCTGAACTCATCGTCGACACTGACCCATACCATAATCCATCTTTCTTATCATGGCGTTCAAATGATGATTTGACGGGTGGAAAATACTGTCATTATTCCTATGGAATTCTGTCCTACTACGGACGAACCTTCACTTCCGATTACGCGCTATCTCAATATGTGTCTAACACGACCCCAGTCTGTGGTTTTCCGCCAGAGTACTGTGAATTTGGCTCCAGTGTCACGCGGTGCAAAAAATGGCTCGAAGAAACCCACCCAGACATATACCCAAATTATTATAGCGAAGGTATGATCATGTAACCTCCCATTTGAGAAAGTCTAGACCAAAAATCCGGAGCATGAGGGATCATGGCCGCCACACAAGTGCGCCGCCCAATACATCACTGAATTGCCCATGATTTTCTGTTGGGAAGCTTGATCTGATGGCTGTTCCCAGCTCGGAATCTCCATTTGTCGACTACCAACTTATTTTCCCCATTTAACATCCCCAATCTGCTCATCTTTTTCGCGATATTGACACGGCTCCTATCATGTGGACAGACGCCTTAGCATCGAGGATTGGGACCCTCTCCCTAGAAGCCCAAGAAAAACTGGAACAAGAAGCGGCGAAAAAGGAGGCAAAGGCCCAAGCCAAAGCTGATGCCGATGCGAAGAAGAAACAGGTGTGTATGGGAATTTCGGGACCCCCAAGCATTTATATGGTCGCTTTGCACCATTCCCATCACCACATTTCTGGTTAATGTGCCAGTTGTTTTTCCGTCGGACTGACTTTTTCGTACCTATTGTTTCTTTCCGAGGATCGTGATCTGACACCCTCTGTACGGTCCGTAGGCCTCCAAAGTGAGTCAGGCAATTGTGGCGCTTGTTATCTCCCTCGGTAGCCCCCCTTGCTAAAAGGAATCGTGGATTTTTGCTGTTGCCTGGGAACTCCGCAGGTCACCATCAAGCGTATCGAGCGGACGAAGAAGAAGCATGTGACGGCCATACATAATTTAGATGCATTCGGTGAGCTTCCCGTCAGAACCCCGTACACACGTCTCGCCTATGCGCAAAATCGAAATATTTCCTCACTCGCTTCTTGCGTTTACACCCTCATGCTGATATTGCACGTGAGACATTCACATTTGCACCTTGCGCATTTGATCGGCGTGGAATTTCTTTCCGCTCGATCCCCGCTCAAGATTCTGTTTCAGATGACTTCCGTTGTCACGGACTGTCACTGTCCTGCATCAGGACTCTGTTCACACGACCTCCCCTGGCCCCGAGTTGTTCCTCACTTCACTGTTGTGAGAAGGCTTACTGCCTCTTATATGCTTGATTTTCCCACCACCATCCCAGAATTTATCCGATCTTATTGTGGAAGTCGATAACATGTGGCGGAAAACCTCCTCATTCATCTTCCGCTTCCAACTTCACAGACTGACGCATTCTCCTCTTCTCGTATATCCACATTTCACTCACTTTTATTTATTCCCCCTTATTATTATTACAGGCATTGACCTCAAGAAGGCAGCGAAATTATTTGCGCAGCGTTTCGCTGCAGGGGCGAGTGTCAGCAAAAACACTCAGGGACAAGACGAAATCGTGATACAGGGAGACGTGTCGGACGAAGTGGTGGATATGCTCGAGGAAGCAAACGCAAAGGGCCCAGGGACCAGTGGTGTATCGATTCTGGCAGGCGTTCCTGCGGATAACGTCGTCTTAACCACAGATAAGAAAAAGAAAGCTGTTGATTAATTGTAATGCGACGGACCCCTGATCAATCGTTCGACAATTCACGTCTGTGCTGAGTAGCAATCTGCTAGTCACATTGTAAGGATTTTTCTGGGTGGGGAGGATGTTGCCAAGTACGTGGAGACGCCTTGTTAGGTAAAGGAAGTTCTGTTCAGTCACAAATCAGTGCCTGAACGAACACATCATTGATCCCTTTTCTTTGTCCCAAATCCTTCAAATTATTGCAATATATTCGACGAGAGCCAAAAAAAAAAAAAAAAAAGAAAAACTGCTTCGCCGGTCCTCCCAGAGTGGTGGATATATATAAATCATCGTTTCCATGCCATACCATTAAGCCAAGCTAGCCTACGTAATGATCGACCTTTTGCTGCGTGGAAATTCCAATCCAATGTTGTTCCTTCCATTCCGAAAGATGTTGTGCAAAGTCCCCAAAATTCGAGAATTAACAGTACCCGTACATACAGCTAGGCCCGGTCCTACCTAATGGAGATTGAGATTTCCCCCCCCTCTTTTGGGTTACGCACGTTGCGAAGAAACAAGATGAAAGATGGGCGCGCGCGTGCACGCAGAAATTGCATGGAGGAAAGGGGGGGGACACAAAATGAAAACCATTACCATTCGGATCGTACATTCGCCGATATACTATGCGCGTACGTGTACTACGTCCACGAATTGGCTCAAGTATTTAACTTGGGGATCTTTTAGCAACAATTTAAATTTGCATACTTATTACTAATGGGAATAAGGTTTCTTCGTCAGCAAGAAGAGAAGACCATCTAGCTTGTCTTCTATCCGCTGTAGTATAAGGATGAACAGTCGAACCGATATGATGGATCCCACAGGACAGAATGCATCCCACGCCAGCTACACGTTAGCTACCCGTGCAACACACTGGGGGAGGGGGGGGGAGGGAATGGAACGTTAGGTAGTGTGATCTGTACCGATAATGAAATGAAATCCAGCGGCCCCCACGATCGTAATTAGGGCTCCGAGAGAGAGAGAGAGATGATTCGCGCGGCGAATGTGAGACTGAGTGGCGTTCAAAGACCATACGCGTACATCCCATGTTCAAGAGAATCGAACTACTACTACTCTCAGGTTGCGAGTCCGAAATTAGCTGGAACCCGAGTATTTGCATTGATCAAGGGCTGCCCCCCCTCCCTCCCCCGAGAACAATGAAAGGGTCAGCAAAGAACTCGCTTGTTAGAGAGAAGAGAGTAACTGTAACTGACTTCGGGATAAGAAGCATGCAGGGCCAACAAGCTTTATTGTGTCACCGCCGATACACAAGTAACAACTATAGCACAGTTGGCGTGAGAGAGGGGCCAGCTCACGACAAATACCATGTGAGCACTTTGAGACTGATGGGGCAAGTGCCTTATTGGAGTAGAAACCCCGCGCGCGCGGGGGGGGGGGCGGTCGGGAAAGTTCATTCACCGGCATGCATGCATGCAAGAGGTGCGCGGATCGCTCGCGCGCGTCCAAATCGAACTGTTGGATGGCCGTGAGTAACACACTGGAAAGCGCTCGTAACACCCCCCCTCATACCCCCTTTTCCCCCAAACTGGCAGGAATCAGAATGGAGATGAACGGTACAACGTTCTGTTGTAAAATTAATGAACTGGGTTCATATTGACCTGAATCGATCGTTCTTCAGGGAGGACTCCAAGGTATTAACTTCTTGGGAAGAATGATGCTGAGAAGCATGCCTTTCGAACTTTCAAAGGCTGCGTTTAGGGAATCAGCTCCAAGTCTGCAGGGCCGCCAGGGTTGGCCCAGGTGATTCGAAAGTAGTATAAACATGCACGGGTACCAAGGGGAGGCCCGAGCACTGCAGGTCGAAGTTGCATGAAACTCTAAACCCCAAGGACTTGCATCGGCCATGAAACGGGGTGTGCCCGGTCCCTGGGCTGTGAGAATAATAATAATGATTAGATTGCATGAAGATGAGCTTGAGACATCATTATTATATACATGCACGGCGCCCGCACTGGGATAAATTTTAACCCCCCCTTTCCCCTCCCCCCCCTTCCCATCCGCACTGAAAATCGTGCGCCCGATCCGAACTTAGTTCGGAGACGGGGCGGCCGGCGGCAATCACGGTTGCTAGTGTACAAGAATGGGGCATCTCAACCGGTAGAATTATAAAGAAGAACATCATTTTATGTACTATACTATACCGATATGATGAACGAAATGAATGAATGAACATAAAGTATGTACTACCCCCCCATGCAAGGCCGTCGCTTAATTTTTATCTGTCCCCGGAAACGAACTGCGGTCCGATCCATGATGTGGGTGAGTGGGCTTTTTCTTTTCATTTCATTATTCACATACATACCACTAGCTTCGCAACAAGCGCAATCAACGCATCAGTGCTGCATGTGCCACTGTGTTACTACCATTATACCGACTGTTCGGTATACGCAGTAGTATTATTGCCACCGGTAGTAGTAGTACTAGTACTAGTTACAGCACTTTTACTTAAACGTCGATCCGGTAACTTGCCACATGGTTTTCATTATCGTGTATGCATTTTCGACCCTAAATCGGTGAAAGGGGGAAGAGGCCGATCACCTTCTGCCTTCCTATATAAATACCAAAATTTATCTTTTTTTTCATGATGCACCAATGGGGACCATGGATTCACTATATTAGTATCTGATGAGGGAAGAAGACACTCACTGGTAGGAAAGAAATCCCGCGGGCACGAGTACTAGCTTATACAACCTTCCATGCAATCTGATCTGGGGATCGGCGGCAAGTGCCATTATATAGCTAGCTAGCTGAGCTTCAAGCTAGTACTGACATTGGGAATAAGGCGTATAAATTAATCATCCGCAGCTCAAGCTAATCGTCAATCAATGATGTCAAGGGCCCAATCTCTGATCGACAGGTGGCTGGGTCCCCCCTCCCCTAATGACAATCATAAAGAAGAGAACTCAAGACTCGGGCTCCTAGATCAGCGAAGAAAATAATGTCTAAGCACATGTCGATAGTGTGAATGTGAATTGCGTGGTAGGGAGAAAGTCAAAGGAAAATCAACTTCTTTATGATCACTATTCGGTGAGTTCCGTATAGTAGTACGATTCGAACGTTCTCCCACATTATATACAAAGCGTCCAAAATATCAAGGAATGAGAGAGAGAGAGGAACCGTAGGGCCCTCCGGACATTACTTGTAAAAAAAATGTACTGGGTATTAATTTATCAAGACTATATAGTCCTTTTGCATTAAGCGCGAGTATACATATAGTATGTATCGTTGATGCGAAATGAAAGTGAAAGTGGGCGCTTCTCTATGAAATGAAGAGATGCCAAGGCGTGTAAAGGAAATTCCAACTCTCCCCCCCCCCCCCCAACCCTTTTCTTCTTCTTCTTCTTTTTTGTTTAATTTGCGCAGCAGCATATCAAGAACTCTTACAGAACATCACGCTAACTTTGATTGTGGCGGAGGTAGCCTAACGTCGTGGAAAAAAATATCGAAATCAAAATCAAAAATCAGAAACCAATCATTATTTGCTGATCATGAGCAATAGCCTTGAGTGCGACGCCACGCTCATATTGGCAGAAAGAAAAAAAAAAGAGAAAAAGATTGTCCCACATGTCATGAAATCACGGATCGAGAAACCTGGGGGTTCCGATTCTCCATGGGAATAATTTTTGCATGAGTGCCAAGTCGGTTTGCCGGACCAGGATTCCATGGCGAGGAGGGGGAAGGGGAAGGGAAGGACCAGCCGGACCGGTTTTCCAGCTAGACCAGGTGTGTGTCGGCAGCACGGCCCTTGATGAACTGATACACACCCACGCTACTATAGCTAGCTAGCTTTTCCAAGCCAAGTCACTGCATTAATGATTCAGATTCGCCACGGACATGATATCGGCTGGGGGTTACGAACCGATCAAACACGTCAAGTCCGCGCGCGCGCGCGAAGTCCTCAGGCCCGGGTCCACAGCAGCATCGATCATGCATGGCTACGCCAGGTCGATCGATCGAGGTGATTAAGGCTGGCATCGCGGCCGCGGCCAAGATACCTTATCTAAGACAACAACAACAACAGTACTCTATGATGCAATTTTTTTCATCATCATGTGGTTTACACTGGGCGCGTTGGTGATCATGATTCATGATTCTAACCCATATTCCAACTCTCCTTACAAGCAACAATAAGTCACCGGAAGTTCACATGCCAAAAAGCCTAAAGCTCGCCCGAATAAGAACTTTAGAATTTTTTTTTTTTCCCCGGGATCAACCTAGTATAGTATACTCTCACAAGCATAAAGTGGGGTGGGTTGGGGGAGGGACAAGAGATTTTTTTTCTTACCGGTATTATGACGTAATATGATGATGTTGCCAATCAGCAAGCAAAAAGCAGTGTTAGGAATGAAACTTTTGTGAGGTAGGGCGGCTTAGGTGTAAAGGGGCTCGGTCCATGCGTATGTAAAATGAAACTTCGCGAACCAACCCGATTAGGAAAAATCGAGTGGCGTCGACCAAACACAAAAACACAAAAAAAACATATAGATCCCGGTTCGAGAAGAAAAGAGGATTTTCAAAGCATCCTCGTATATTAATATTCGTTTAGTAGGACCCCCAGCCAGGATGTTGTATCAAGCCGTCGATTTTTTTTTTGTTTACTTGTACACGATTGGCATGACCTCCGCGTTCGAATGGCCACTGGCACGTCACACAACAGGGATGTTCTTAGCACCTGCATCGTACCTAGCGTTCACTCGTGCCTTTATCGCCACATGAATTAGTTGGGGAAACGAGCCGGAGGTAAAAAAAGACGGTCCATTTCCCTTTCCCTTTCCCATAAAGGATTTCCGGAAGAAGAATCTCGGACGCTCCTTTTAATTAAGAAATCACTTTCTCCACTGACCTGCCATTATCGAGACGACGCTGATTAAGTTGTAAAGGACCAAAGTAAAACCAAAACGGCGCGGGAATCGGAAGCATAGTCATAGTTTGCCTCCACATTATGGCACTACTCACTCATGCTCATGTGTCCGTTCATCGCGGAAGAAGGAGTAAAAAGATTGCAAAGGAGTAAATAAATGATGCTTCGTTCCTGCCAAGCATCCCCAATGGGTTAACAAGTGGACATACTATTGGCTATTCGGACGGACGTATATAGCCGTTTATGCACTAAAATTGTCGATATACACGATAAACCGCATTTGACTGCTATTACTAGCTCTGGTGTAACCTGTTCAGGCCCCAACCCCTCATCGGCTAGGATCGGGAGTGTGATAGCATAGTTCCTATATTGAGCATACCCGAATATAATCCCTCAACGATTGTGAGGTGGCATGTGGCCTGACGTTGGTGGCGGCTGCGAGCCACGCCGTCCGCGTGCTTTTTTGTCCTCTCCTTCATGTAGTAGTATGTCATACATCTACTATACCCAATGTGGCCCTAATACAGCACTGTCATGGTGGCAAGCAAACAGTGTATAGTAGCATATCCATTGGCAACTTGCAACACAAAGCGTAAAGTATAAAGTGTTTATACCGAACCCGCGGCCGCGCCGGAAACTTATACCATATATAGAATTATACACAAAAACCCAACCCACCACCATCAACCACGATCCGAGTTTCATACATGCATATTCCGGAATTCATATGTAATGCAAGCGCTTGAACCATGGACGATCTCCCGAGCACCCCATTTGATCTCCTCCATATATAATATATTCATCAGCAATTGATTACTATGTAATATCCCAAAGCCGCAATCGATCTAGTAGGTGGGGTCCGTGCACACCCCCCGCGGCGCCCTGGCACAAACAACCGTGGGGACAGCCATCATGAAAGAAAAAGGAAACACATGAACACAAAGGGTTAATACCTTTCTTCCAGCCATGACAGTTTTTACTGACGCCACACCCTGTCCCTCAATTCCAAGGATGAAAATGGTATCCATCAATCTCATCGATCCCCCTCGCGGCCTCCGCGGAGTTTATGGGGGGAAAGCTCTACCTACCTCTAACCTGGAAGTCCGATATATATTCACTCACTCAGGCCTAGCTTGGCGCACCCGCATAAAATCGGGACATTCACGCGCGTTGCTGTGAAAATGGTAATGGTTCTCATTTGTATAACAAATAGGTTAGGTATGTGTCATCGGAAACCAGTAATTGGCCTGGAGCGCTCTTTGGTTACTTTATCCGTTCTCATGACAGTTCCGTGGAGCTACTACTACTAGTATAGTACCCCCGTACTACCACTCATTAGCGCGGACATAGCAGCTACTGTTACTATTACTACTACTACTAGAACAAATCTATTCAAGGACCTAAATTTCAGTAGTTCGTCCGAAAAGAATAATTGCACTGCAACGACGTTCGTGCAATGTATCTATGATGTACACAACGAAATTTCTGGAGCTTTTGATAAGCGTCGATGGTTAGCTACCTAAGCTAGCTACTTCATCTTAGCTCTTTCGCTATTCGTTCCCTTTTTTCACTTGGGGGTACGTACAATTGCCATCCATTCGAAAAAGGTACACGAACCATCATAATATACTATATCTACTATATATACCCGTCACCAGGCTGTCAACCTTTGCTAGCTAGCTACAGTGCGTGCAAGCGAATCAGATGAAATCAGGTCAATCACACACACACACACATAAAAAAAAGCATCATCGAAGCTAGCTAGCTAGGACCGGAACCTAATTTCTATTGCTATAACAGAGCAAGAGACGTGATGTGATGAAAAAAACAGTACAGTATAAGTACAGAGTTGTTTAAAGATTAAAAAGAGAAGAAGAAGGCGTGGAAGAGCTCGAGAGAAGTAGAACAAAAAAAAAAGAAGGGGGGGGGGGAGGACCTCCCCACATCATTCATGACATGATCAGTGCCAGTGGCGTGGGTCGGTCCTGGCATATCATGATGCGTGGTGAATCATCTTCCAAGGCCAATCATACACACATATGTATGTTCAAATTCCTCTCAAGATTTTCCTTTTTCTTTCTCTCTCTCTCTCTCTCTCTCTTTCAAGTCGATGATACGAATTAACCCCCCCCCCCAACGGTTGATCACATAGAACATCTATATACGGATGTGAGTTGTGTAGGGTTTCGTTCAACACAATTAATCGTAATGCCAGTTGAGACCGGATGGCGACCACGACGAAAGAAATCAGTCCTCCTTGTTATAGTATGTGGTGGTTTTTTTTTTTTCGTTTCAGAAAGTTACGGCAGGGGAAGTTGATCCAAGTCGTCGTACCTTAGTCGGATGCCAAGTACCACCTACCTAGAAACAACGGAAGGGAACGGGAGCAATATATATTGACTTTGGGAAGGGAAACGCTCAACCCATAGATGCTAAATGCCGAGATGAAATCGGACATCTCCACAAACGGGGGGAGAAGGGTGTACAGTAAGGGTCGGATTGGATACGTTAGAATGCTCATATATATATATAGGGTACTACAACACTACCCCAAGTCAGAATTAGCATTGCATTGCAGTTGAGGCTTTTAATACTTGGGGAAGGGGGGGGGGGCAATGCGAATGCATGCATTCGATCTCTAGTTGATGGGAAGTTGTTATGCAAGGGATCATTTGCATGATGGAGGAAAACGAGGACGTCCGAGGAGATCAAAGGAAGCGAATCAATACCTATAGGATTATACTAGACGTGGGGTAGGGCCGAGTATGACATCGAAGCTAGTATGCACCGATGTAGTACTACGCGCTAGCTTGTCCCAAACTGGGTACCCAGAGGCACAA